CTCGCTCGCGATGGCGGCCAACAACGTGAAGCGCTTCTTTGGGTTCGTGGCGCTCAGCCAGAGGGACAAGGCACTGTTGGCCAAGTTCCCCGAACAAGGCACCCACTTGAAGCTACAGTGGGACAACATCACTGGCAGTTACCTGTTCCAGAAGAAGCTGGGTCTCCCCCTCTACAGCCACCTGCACGAGTGGGCCCAGGGTCCACGTGGCAAGGCCAGGGTCATCAACATGGAGATGGCGGACCTGCTCCACCACCCGGAGCCCCAACTTACTGCCAGCCCGACTCCCAACCCCTGAAGCACCATCCTTCCTCCCGCACCGCTGGCTCTGGGGGAAGATTGACTTTCAGAGGTATGGCGTGCAGAGGAGAAGGCAGCAGACCGGCCACCCCTGAAGGACAGGCCTGTGGACCTGAAGAAACTCAGGCTTCACAGGCAGGAGTCCTGGATGCAAAACCTCAGTACCAAGTTTTCCGAGCAACACCCGGGAGTGACTCCCTAGCACAGCCCCAAGTAGAAACCTGACAGCAGAAAACCTCCAGAACCCAACTGGCACCATGCTCAAGGCCACTCTCCACACACTCGAATGAGCCTCACCCAAGTGGGAACCGGCAGGAAAACCTAGGTATGCGGGACCTGTGGCTGAGATCGCCAAGTCACTTGGATCGGGCCTGGGCCCCACCCCCCCACATCCCCCGTTTTCCAGTAGCTTGGCAGTCACACCCACTAACTGCCCCTGGCCTCACGTAATCTTATCAACGGCCAAGATCCAGAGCCTACAAACTAAAGTTCCTGGTAGAGAGGGTCTGAGAATTTCCTAATGCAGCTGCTTGACCTCTAATACTCTAGCCCTCTTACATACCAAAAGTAGCACACGTTTCTTTGGTTTGAACACACTTACTTGTATTCTCTTATATACGGGCTTAAATGGCTCCAGAATGAAAGTGAACAACCTTCTCATTGCAGCACTCTTTACAATAGCCAGAATCTGGAAAAAACCTGAGTGCCCAAGAACAGATGACTGGTTAAAGAAACTTTGGTACATTTACACAATGGAGTACTATGTAGCTGTTAGAAAAGATGAAGTTATGAAATTTACATACAAGTGGTACTACATGGAAAGTATCATGTTAAGCGAAATGAGTCAGAAAGAGCGGGATAGACACAGAAAGATTGCATTCATCTGGGGAACATAAAGCAACAAAAAGGGAGAGTGACACACAGGAATGGCTGAGATTAGTACCAGGAATTTTGCTCCATGAATGGAAGGCCAGCCACAGGCTCTAGGTGAAAAGGAAGCTCAGATAGAGAAGAGAGTACCAAATGAAGGGTGTTGTGAGGGCCCTCCCAGGGTGGGAGAAGCATGCTAAAAGTAGTCGATAGACCAAACATGATTGCCACTCAAAGCCTCTCTTGCAAAACACAGTACCCAAAAGAAGAGAGAGAGAACAAGGGGGAATACCCTGCCACAGAGGCAGGATGGGACAGGGGTGGGGGATGAGGGTTTGGGGGATGCTGGGACCCATGGGGATGGATGACAGGCACTGGTGGAGGTATGGGGACTTGATCATTGTATAACTGAAACCCAAGCACAAAATTTGTAAGCCTATAACTGTACCTCATGGTTTTTCACTAATAAAAAAAAAAAAAAAAAAAAAAAGAAAGTGAACAACCTTCACACACTTTCCTCTTGTGTTGGGAGGATGCTTGGTGGTGGGATTGGTGTTTGAATATTGCCTGCAATGAACTATTGTGAACTACTTTATGAAAATAAAATATATAAAATTTGTAAAAAAATAATCACTGTATCACTGTCATCCCGTTATTCATCCATTGTTCAAACAGGCACCAGCAACATCTCCATTCATCCCAGCCCTGAGATTTTAGCAGCCTCTTTTTACTTGTCCTTCCCAACAGTGCCGTATTGGAGGCTCATTCCATGTCAGGGGAGTGAGACCCGTTATTGTTCCTGATTTTGACATATCGAATATGCCATGGGGAGCTTCAAGGCTCTGCCGTGCAGGCGGGATATGCGTGGTAGCTTGCCAGGCTCTCCAGAAGGGACAGAGAATGTACATACATTCTCCGTAAAAATAAATAAATAAATAAATAAACACTGGCTGGAGAGATAGTACAGAGGGTAGGGCTCTTGCCTTAGCATGTGGCTCACCTGGGTTTGATACCCTGGACCACATATGCCAGGGGTCATCCCTGATCAAAAAAAAAAAAAAAAGGCATGGAGTCACCTGGGTATGGGCAAAAAAAACAAAAACAAAATCAAAAAACAGCATCCTGCTCCAAATTCTTTCACTGACGCCCTCAGAGCTCAGGGCCCCACAGTCTGAAGTTCCCACCCAGCAGTCCTGAGATTTGGGTTCGACTTTCGGTTTGGTTAGTTTGGGGGTGGGGTGGGGGAAAGGCCACACCGGTGGTGCTCAGGGTTTACTTCCGGCTTGGTGCTCAGGGGTGGCTCCCAGAGCTGCTGTGAGGCCATGCAGAGCAAGCAGCACTGAGGACCGGACCCCAGCACTCCTGCAAAACCTGTGCTCCATTTCTTCCAGCCATCACACTTCTCCCAGGCCCTGGGGTGCTGGTTTTTGCTTGTTTTCCCTCCACCCTAGATTTGCTTTGTTTTTCAGTTTTGGGGCCTCAGCCAGCATGGCCCAGGGCTTATCCTGGCTCTGTGTTCTGGGATGACTCCTGGCAGGCTCAGGGCATCATCTGTGGTGCCAGGGGTTGAACCATGCAAGACAAGTGTCCTACCCGCTGTCCAGCCCCCTCCACTCAGGTCTGAAGCAGCACCAGAGTGAGCTGAGACAGGGGTGGGGCTGCCTGAGAAGATGATTCAGCCCAGGGCAGGGGGGGAGAGGGGATCCTTCCATCTCCCTCTCTCCCCAGCTGGGGCAGTTCCTCAAGGTCGGGGGGGGGGGGGGGGGGGCGTCAAGCCTCAGAAGGTGACCCCCTAGAGTCAGCGCTGCAGGCAGGGGAGTGCCCTCTCCCTCCTCCGCCCCCCTGCTCCCTGGCTCCTCCCCGCCCTTTGCCCTGCCTCGGTTCCCACCGCGGGGCTGACATGCGCGCTCAGACCAGCTGGCCCTCCTCTTTTTCCGAAGTGAAACTTTCTGAAGTCACTGGTCTCCAGCACAGAAGCAAAGCAGGAAGGCGGAGGGCAGTGCCTGCGGCCTCCACCCCTGCGAACCTCTGGTCCCGGAGCCGCTGGAGAGGACGACGCCGCTGCCTGAGACCCCGCAGCCGCTCTCGGTAAGCAAGTCGCCAGCCCTGGCTGTGAGTTTCCCCAGGGCAGAGTAGGGCTGGTCCCCACACCCGTCCCCCATCCCTCCTGTTATTGTCGGCAGAGTCTGAGGGTGCCCCTCCCTGGCCCCAGCTGTAGTCTCAGGAGAGGGCCTGGGCCCTCCTCAGCTCACCCCCACCACGGCCAGGACTCTGGAACCGTATTTGGGCACTTTGCACCCAGAGTCTGTGCTCGCGCTCACGCTCACGGGAATCTTAACGCCGGGAAGAGCAGAGGCAGAGAGAGGGCTGGGTGCCAGCTCCCACGTCCCCACAAACTCCCTTCCCGGGGAGCAGGAACAAGCCAGGATCCCTCTAGGTGTGGGGGGGTCAGATCTCTCCCCTCCCCTCGCACACCCCCACTCTCCGCTCCTGGCACCCGGCAACCTTGGCCTGGCTGGAAGTCTTGGCAGCTAGCAGAAGGGGCGCAGGTATAGGGAGGGGCCCCCATGGGGCGATGCTGGGCAGACGCCCCACTGTCTGGTGCCCGCAGCCCTCACGCCAACCCAGCCCCCGCCCTAAGGACTTTGGTTTTAACTCACAGAGATGGAGAGAATAATGGGGAGACAGGCCACACCCCGGCCCCAGTCTCAGTCGTGTGGGTGGTGCCTGAGGGGTGAGCCCCGTAGAACTCTCTGTCCTGGGGCCCAGACTTCCTGTCGCTGGCGGGCCGGGGGGAGGCCTGGGTCCAGGGTCTGGTGGTCAAGGCTACCAAGTCGGGAAGAGGAAATCAGGGGAGAGAAGGTTCTCCAGGGTCTATGGATGAGTAAAGAGCAAAGCCAGCAGGAACTGGCAGGATGGAATTCACTTCACCCAAGCCTCCTGAGATCCTACTCAAAAGTTCTGCCTGGGCACCTCCATATTTGCAGTTTGCAGGGGTGGGGGGCGAACCCAGGTCTTCACAGGTAAGAGGCCTGAGCTCTCCCTCGAAGCCATATCCCCCACTCCATGCTCCAGATCTTCCTGGGGGCATTTCCTGCTTTTTGCAATGCAGGGCATGGCCCCTTCTGCGTCTCTGGGTATCACCGTGGGCACAGCAGGTGATAGATACAGAGGGCCATTGCCAGGCCTCTGCACTCCCTCCCTGGCCCTCCCGCTTCCCTGAGAGGACAGGGGCCCAGAGGAGGTGCCGGAGTGGGCAGAGCTGGGAGCCAGTGCCTGGGACTCTCCCCAGCCCCTCGGGCCACTCCACAGCACAGGGTCACCTTCTCCCCCACCAGGGGCTCAGGTCCCCTCCCACATCAGGACACTGGCTCTCCAGACCACTGCCTGGTCCATCCCGCAGTCCAAAGGGCAGTGAGCGTCCCCGTTGCTGCTGGAAGGCCACGGGGCCCTCCTCAGCCCTCCAGGAAGAAGCTTGGGAAGCCAGGAGGTCTGAACATCCGAGGCAGGAGGGTGCACAACTCTGCCCCTTAGAGGCCGCCCTGGCAAGCCACTGCCCCTTCTCCATGAGTCTGGGGGTGAGAGCCCGCTGAGGGATCCCAAAGATGATGCGGACCACCATCACTGTCCCCAGGTCCCGCGGGGCATCATCCTTGTCAGACTGACCCCAGGAGCTGCTCCTGGCATTGGGGTTCAAAGCAGACATTCTTCTGCCTCCTGCTGTCCTACAGGAGGTGCCCAGCAGACCCCAGCATGAACAGGATGGCCCAGCCCAGCCCTGCCGCCAGGCGCCCGCAAGCCCACACTTCCTCCTAGTGCGGCCCCTGCCCCGAAACCATGGCCGCCCTCATCGCCGAGAACTTCCGCTTTCTGTCACTCTTCTTCAAGAGCAAGGATGTGATGATCTTCAATGGGCTGGTGGCCCTGGGCACCGTAGGCAGCCAGGAGCTCTTCTCCGTGGTGGCCTTCCACTGCCCGTGCGCACCAGCCCGGAACTACCTGTACGGGCTGACGGCCATCGGGGTGCCCGCCTTGGTGCTCTTCCTCGTCAGCATCATCCTCAATAACCAGACCTGGAACCTGGTGGCCGAGTGCCAGTACCGCAGGGCCAAGAACTGCTCGGCCGCCCCCACCTTCCTGCTCCTGAGCTCCATCGTGGGCCGCGCTGCCGTGGCCCCGGTCACCTGGTCAGTCATCTCCCTGCTGCGCGGGGAGGCCTACGTCTGTGCACTCAGCGAGTTCGTGGATCCGTCCTCGCTCACAGCCGGGAACGAGAGCTTCCCTCGCTCCCATGCCACGCAGATCCTGGCCAGGTTCCCCTGCGGAGAGAGCCCTGCCAACCTGGCTGGCTTCCGGGAGGAGGTGAGCCGAAGGCTCAAGTATGAGTCTCAGGTGAGGCTGTGCTGAGGGTCCTTATCCCTTCCCTGGGAGGTGGCGGGGGCTCAGTGCCCAGGCGGGAACTGATCCTCAGGAAGACTCCAGACTTTGGGTCCTGTTAATTAGTGGCAACCCTGAGGCAAGATTCTTTTTTTCTTTTGCTTCTCGGGTCACACCGGGTGATGCACAGGAGTAACTCCTGGCTCTGCACTCAGGAATTACTCCTGGCAGTGCTCAGGAGAACCATATGGGATGCTGGGACCGGGGCTGCGTGCAAGACAAACGCCCTACTTGCTGCGCTATCGCTCCAGCCCCTGAGGCAAGATTCTTAGTGGGACAAGAATCATTTCTAGTTTCAAGTAAGAGAGTTTTGTTCATTTTGCATTGCTGGGAAGTGGGACCCAAGGCAAGGAGAGTGCTCTATCGCTGAGTCATTTTCTCAAAGTACTTTAAGCCCAGTCCTCTATCTGGACTTTAAGTACAATAGTTTTAGTTAGGGGAGGGGAAGAGAGTAAGAGGGAGAGTGTCAGGCATTCTAAAGGGAGCATGAGCAGAAGGGAGGGAGCGAGAAGCCCCAAGGTAAAAGAGGAATTACACACTCAAGCTGGGGTGCGGCTGGCCCAGATGGGGAGGTCCCCACTTGCTCTGGGAGGTCCCCACTTGCTCTCACAAAGTTCCCCCAAACTGCCGCAGCTTGAGGTTTTCCATGCAGATCAAAGTCTGTTACAGGGCTGGAGCGATAGCTCAGTGGGTAGAGCATTTGCCTTGCACACGGCCGACCCAGGTTTGATTCCCAGCATCCCATATGATTCCCTGAGCACCGCCAGGAGTAATTCCTGAGTGCAGAGCCAGGAGTAACCCCTGTGCATCGCCGGGTGTTACCCAAAAAGCCAAGAAAAAAAAAAGTCTGTTGTTAGGGTGTTGTCAAGGGCAGAGTTTGGGGGAGTCTTCTCGCAGCTTACCACAGCCTTCAGTTCCTGTTGGCACCAACCTATGCCAGCTGGGTCTCAGGGGGCCTGTGTCTGCAGCCACAAAGGGCCATGCCCTGTGCCTTGGGCTACCGTAGGGCCGTAGGGCCGGCAATAGCTCGGTGCAGAGCTCTCCAGTCTCTCACACCCAGTCTGCCCTGCACCTAGGTCCTAGCTGGGAAGTAAGAGCCCAGGCTTCTGATTCTCTCCACCTGCCGACCTGCACAGCTCTGCTCTAGATCCCATCTTGGTCCTATTGCTTCTGAGAAATTCACGGCCTGTTCCCTTCTACCTTCAGCCTTGGCTTCGCTCCAAGGGGGCAGAGGGATCAGGGCAGAGTGCAGGAAGCAGCCTGGTGGGGGCTGAAGGGGCAGAGAGGAGGCTGGGGAGTGGCAAGGAGGCACTGACCCAGTCTCGGAACATGGCAAACACCGGTTGGGGCTGGGAACAGTACAGGGCTAAGGTGCAAGCCTGGCGTGCACCCAGCTCGATCGGGTTCAATCTGGCACCACATGGTCCCCGAGCACTGCCAGGTTCAGCCCTGGAGGCTCCCTGAGCATCACTGGATGGACCCCAGGTGTCACCAGGGAAGCCTGGTCACCCCCAGCCCCGCAGGGTTCGGGCAGTATCACATCCCTCGGGCCTACGACTAAACTGTGAGCCAGGTTGGCTGAACTATCACCAGTGACCCTTGGTCCCAACACACACACACACACACACACACACACACACGAACTACAGTAGAGGGGAGGTTGTGAGCAGCCCAGGAGATGGGAATGGAGATACGGGAATGGGATGCCATTGCTCAGAGCTGCACAGGGCTGAATGCAGCAACACCCACCAAAGGGAGCCTTTGAGACCAGCATGAGGCTTTTTTCTAGCAAGGTAGTGAGGGTGAGGAGGAAGTGGGCATGGGGGCACTCCCAGAGGGTCCCGGGAGGTGGCATGAGGCTGAGCCTGGCAGTCTGAGCCAGACTTGGTGGGGCTAAGATGTGGGGAAGGAGGGAGGCCCCGGGGAGGAGGGAAAGGCAGCAGACATCTGCAAAGTTCAAGCAAGACCCTATGCCAGGGAGAGAGAGGGCAGAGGGACGAGTCCCGCTGGGAAGGCCGGCTTCTCCTTCAGAAGCAGAATTTGCAGCCGGGGAGGTCCGAGCCCGCGGGTTAGGGGCCGAGGGTCAGCTTCACCCCGGCCGCCCCAGCCCTCCTCAGCCGCCCCTTTCTCTGACCAGCTTTTCGGGTGGCTGCTCATCGGCACGGTGGCCATCCTGGTGTTCCTGACCAAGTGCCTCAAGCACTACTGCTCGCCACTCAGCTACCGCCAGGAAGCCTACTGGGCCCGCTACCGCGCCAACGAGGACCAGCTCTTCCAGCACACGGCCGAGGTGCACTCGCGCGTGCTGGCGGCCAGCAACGTGCAGCGCTTCTTCGGCTTCGTGGCGCTCAACAAGGAGGACGAGGAGCTGGTGGCCAAGTTCCCCGTGCAAGGAACACAGCCGCGGCCACAGTGGAACGCCATCACCGGCGTCTACCTGTACCGGGAGAACCTGGGCCTCCCCCTCTACAGCCGCCTGCACAAGTGGGCCCAGGGTCTGAGTGGGAAGAGCACGGCCCCCGACATGGAGATGGCCCTGCTGCCCCCCTGAGGCCCGTCCTGCTGCCAGCCTGACGCCCCACCACCACCCCCTGAACTGCATCTGGGGGGAAAGTGAGGTGGAGAGGCCTGGGGTGTGGCCGCCCCTGAAGGACAGGCCTGTGCACCTGAAGAAACGCCCTCGGTGAGGGGCACTGGCTTGCCAGGCTGAGCTCAGGCTTCGCAGGCAGGAGCCCTGGACGCAACACTAGTGCCAACCATTCCTGAGCATCACCCAGGAGTGACTCCGAGCACAGCCTGGATATGGCCCCAAACTCAGAAGTCCCTTCCTGTGCCAGCATCCGGCAGCGGCTGTGGAGGAAAGAGCCTCCCCGGGACCAGCCTTACTCGGACATTTCCGGGGCTTGCTGATGGGGCTGCCAGCCGTCAAGCAGGGACAGTGACACTGCAGCGGGTTTTGGGGGACATCGATTGGGCTGTGAGTCTATGTTCGGTAGCCCAGTGGTCTGCCGGGAAGTGGCCGTCATGTGCACCGGCTATGTTTTGTGCTCGAAAACTTGGATAAAGCTTTTCTTAGGAGAAAGGGCCAGCGTGGTGTCCGTGATCACACGTCGCCAGCTGAAATCCCGTTCCCTGTAGAAGAGAGCAGGACAGGGCTGGCAGCAGGGGTGTACGGAGGGTCAGGACTCAGGTGTCCCCACAGTGGGCGTGAGACTTGCTCTGGGGGGGGGAATCACAGAGCCTCCCTCGTGGGGCAGCTCAGCTCCCCAGCACCGAAAGGTCTCGTTCCCTCGGGCGCACTCGCTCTGAGGCCCGCATGGCACAGCCCCACACCCAGCCGGGCTGCCCCTCCACCCCCAGAAGTTTCTGGTCACTGCCAGGAGTGTCCCATGGGAAAGTTTGGACCTGGCACCAGGGACGGAAAACATTTCATTGCCTGAAGCCCCGGGTGGCCGACTGGCCTCAGCTGTGACTGCGCGGACCTGAGCAGGGAACCCTCAGGGAACCCCAGCTGGCGGGACCCCTGTCCCCTCTCCTGCCCCCTCCCACACAGCTGGCAGCCTTGCCCGCAGACAAAACTGAGGACTATACCACTGGCCCGTGCATGTCCGTGTGTGGGCACAGCTCATACCCTACAGTCCCCAGCAGGGAGACTGGCCCTTAGGCTGCTCTTCAGGAAGGGCTCTGGGGGGTGGGGGGCGTCCCCAGCTGTTCTGAGGCAACCACACCCTGGCCCTGCTCTAGGGGGCCTGCTCCCCATTTCCCCATCAGGATGCCCATCCTGTCCCCACCTACGGCCCTGACACAAGTGCCCAGGCACCACACTGGGCTGAGGCATCACCGGGGATGGCCCCTGGCATGACTCAGATCCCTGTCGGGGTTCAGGGACCCTCCCTGCACCTCCTCCCAGGACACAGGCAGCTGCTCCAGGAGTGCGGGGCGGCCTCAGAGAGGGAACAAGAACGAACTGACATTTGTACAAAAAAGACAGAATTCATTCTGACCCCAACGGGGTCTTCCCGGGTGCCCCCAGGAAGCCGCCCTTAAGTCTGAGTGTGCAGTGCCGCCGGCCCCGCCCGGCTCAGTCCTCCGGCATGGCACTCCTGGCCTCCACATACTCCAGTGCCTTGGCTTTCACGGCCTGCACGGCCGCCTCAGTGCCGTGCTGCTTCTCGTAGTCCAGGTAGCGCTTGAAGAAGAATTTCATGCGCTTGGGGGCCAGGCTCAGGTGAATGACCCGCTCGAAGATGTTCCTGTAGGGAAGAGGCGGGCGGCATTGGCCTCGAGGCTCTGGGCACCAGGCCCCTCTGTGGCCACTCCTACTGTGTCAGCGTTAAAGACGCCCTCGGTGGGGCCATGGCAGGGCAGGGGGAGGCGCTGGCCTCCAACAGCACTGACAGTCCTGCTGGGCTTGTCCCCTCCCCTGCACCCAAATAACAGAACATCTGCCCTAAAAATATATATAACACCTGATAAGATACAATCTGGGGGTTGGAGCCATAGTACAGTGGGTAGGGCATTTGCCTTGCATGCGGCCAACCCAAGTTCAATCCCCAGCATCCCATATGGCTCCCCCAAGCACTGCCAGGAGTGATTCCTGAGTGCAGAGCCAGGAGTAAAGAAAAAAAAAAAAAAAACAATCTGACCTAAAATTAAAAGCCTCACAGCTAAGGGCTGGGAAATAGTACAGTTTTGGTTCCTAGCAGCACAAGGTGTCTGAGCACCCCTCCGGTGGGCCCCTCAAGCCCCCGAGCACCACTTGGGTGGCCCCCAAAGAATAAAAAATCTGCCCCCATCATGGCCCCAGGGGTGGAGAGAGCTCACTGCTTCCTTTCCCCAGGTGTTTCGGGGCACACGCAGCACCTGGGCTCAGGGGTTCCTCCTGGCTCTGAGCTCAGGAATTACTCCTGGCAGGTCTCAGGGGACCATACAGGTTGATGGGGATGGAATCCATGGACCACACCCAAGGCAAGCGCCCTTTCCACTGTGTTCTTGTTCTGCCCCCAGGCCCGAGAGGTTAAAGGAGAACGAGTACCAGGACAGGAACGTGAAGTAAGGGATGAGCTCGGGAGGAAAGCTCTGCCTGAAGCCACCCCAGGCCCACCCTCCCGGCCTGTGGGAAACGGCGACACCCGGGAGACCAGGCCTGGGCCTGTCCCCGACGATGAGCACCAGAGCTGGGGGGACATTGGAGAGACCCGAATGCCCGACTCCCAGACCGGGACTGTGGACAGAGCAGGCGGGTCCCAAGAGGGAAGCTGAATTCATTTGGACCCCAACGGGGAGATGGACGGAGGGCCAGGACACAGGTGTCCCCACAGTGGGCATGAGACCTGCTCTGGGGGTCACGGAGCCTCCCTCGTGGGGCAGCTCAGCTCCCCAGCGCAGGAAGGTGTGTGGACCTGAGCAGGGAACCCTCTCAGACCCGCCCAGAGCAGAGACCTGAACGAGATGATGATGCCACCTGAACGAGCAGATGGCACCGGGGAGTCCAGAGGACAGGGAGAGGGGAGAGGGCCAGGAGCTGTGGGAAGAATGTCCCCTCCCCCCCGCCCCCAGCACCGGGCAAGGTCCCACCAGTCAGCCCCGCTCACCGCACGTCCTTCTGGCTGCCGTGCTTGATGGTCATGTCGATGTAGACCGACCAGACGTCTGTGCGCTTCGGGTACATGCTCAGCGTATTCTCGAACATGGCCTTGGCCCGCTCAGCGTCTCCCAGCTGGAACTCGAGCTGGGCGAACTTGACAATCACATCCACATCTGCAGCGAGAGGAGGACGGACGCTTAGATGTGGCAAGCAGGCCGCCCCCTCCCCGCCGCGGACTCATCACGACATCACACGAACAGAGCACCAGCGGGGGCCTGGCTCCATGAGCCCGCAGAGGAGAGGACCCCGACCCGGCGCCCAGGCGGGGAAGCGGCACTCACGCTCCTTGGCGGGCAGGCACTCCAGGGCGCGCTGCATGGTGCGGTGGCTGGCCCCAGCCTGGCCCCTCCGCAGGAGAAAGCCCCCGTATTTGATCCAGACGTTTTTCTCCTGCCGAAATCGCTTCAGCATCCGGTTGTACAGGTCACCGGCTTCCTGGGGGGGGGGACGGGGGGGGGGGGGGGACAGATGAGGCAAGTGAGAGAGTGCGAGAGGACGACGGGACGGGCAGCAGGGACAGGCGTAGGGAGACGGGCGCCCTTGGGGGGTCCACCAGGATGGGGAGTGCCCCCCGTCACCAAGCCCCAAGGCCAGAGAAGTGGGCCGGGAAGTGGCACAAACATCTGAGCATGGGCCCTACGGGGTGCATCTCCCTCCTCCCTACCCGCCAAACGAGGGCAGGCTCTGGGCTGGGGATTCCCAGGAGTCTGGGGTGCCTTCGCTTTCCCAGGGGGCCAGGCTGGCGCCGGAAAGCCAGGCTCAGCCTCCATGGCCTCGCCCCCCTCTCCTCTGCCACACCAGACCTGAAACTTCTCCGACTTGGTGTAGATGTCCGCCAGGTGGAAGAAGACCTTGAGGGGCTCGTTGTACTGCACGGCCCGCTCGAACACCTTCTCCAGGGCCTCCCGAGAGCCATACATGTTCTCCAGGTTCAGCAGAGCCACCCACACGTTCAGCTTCTCCTGCTCCTCCCTGGAGAAGTCGGCGTGAGTGGCGGGACACCCACACCCTCGGCTCCCGGCCCCCGGGGTAGCTGGTCAGGGCTGGGGCTAAGGGCCCCTCCCCTCTGTTCCCGGGAAGAGCGCCCACCAAGCAGCCAACGGGACCGAGAATGAGGCGCGGGTGCTCTCCCTGGTCCCCTGCCTTCAGAAATCCCCTCTCTTTGCCTGGGGACCGGCCGCGACCTGCTTTCTGTTAACTAGCGGCCCCCCATCACGGGAACCAGAAAACACAAGCGAGGCTACGAAGAGATTCAAAGGGCCGGGGGGGCAGGAGGCCTGGGTCCCGTCCTTGGCCTCACAAGGTCCCCCCGCATTTCGGGAGCAGCCCCCCAAGCACTGCTGGATGTGGCCCCGGAACCTGTGTGTACACACACACTAAGCGCACACGTGCATGAGCGGACCAGCATGAGCCCGGGGCCCTCCCCAGGAGAAGCCCACCCAGAGCAGAGACCTGAACGAGATGGTCTTGAGCGCCCTCTCAGCCACAGCCCGGGCCTTCTCGATCTCCGTGGCCTGTAGGTGGAAGGCCATGTACTGCACCCACAGGATGGAGCTGTTGGGGGAGCTGAGCACCAGGCGGTCGAAGTCGTCGGCGCACTCAGGCTGCCGGCCCGGGTCCATGAGCGCGTCCTCCAGGCGCGCCAGCTCCTTCTCCGCCTGCCGCTTCTCCTGCGCCCGCTCCTTCTTGCTCTTCTGCTGCGGCGGCGGAGAGGTGGATTGAAGCATCTGCCCCGTGGCCCCACCCCTCCGGGGGGCTCTGTGGGGTTCCCCAGGGGGCGGGACACCCGGGCCAGAGCACGCCGGGGACCCCGCCAGCACCTTACCGTGGCCGGCCGCGGCTCTGCCTCCTCCTCGCTATCGGAGCTCTCTGCTCGGGGTGGTAAGGCCGGGGTCAGCGAGTCCAGCCCCACGTCCCACAGGAAGCCAGTAGCCAGCTGTAGCCGGGGCACCTCTGCAGGCCCGGCTGGCTTCTCCTGCGGGACCAGAGGAGCCTGAAGGAAGCCCTGGGCTCGGCAGGCGGGTCCCCTACCAGCCCACCAGGGTCTCCCGCCAGGTCCAGACAACAGGGCCAGGCCATAGTCTGGACACTGGACACTCCACAGTAACAGACAGAAGCTTCTGTGTGAACGTTATTCACAAACACATGTCCACACATGCAGACACACAGACACACACACACACGCACAGACACACATGCACAGCACGTGTGCGTGCTCAGGGAGGCTCTGTCCCCCTCTAGCTGGCCACCCTGAGTTCACTCAACTCCCCATGGACAATACTCTTCAGCCTCTCTTCAGCCTCTCTGGGCAGGGGGAAGGTCCCTGGGCACAGGGCAGCTGGGGGTCTCCTGCCCCCCCACACCCCCCTCACCTGGGGCACGCTGCTCATCTCATCATCCCCCTCCCGGTAGTACACATCCACTCCACTGTCCTCCTCCTCAGCCGGAGCAGCCTTCTTCTGCTTCTTCAGCACTGCTTCCTGCGGGGGGGGTGGGGACCAGTGAGTGACCCCCAGGGCCCGGCCTCCTCAGTCAGGAAAAGGCCAAGCCTCTGGCTGGCTTTGGAGCCGAACCCAGCAGTGCTGAGGGGAGACCTCTGATTCAGTGCTTAGAGGCCATTCCTGGCTGTTCTGGGGGACCATGTGATACTGCAGGGGGGGGGGGAGGGTTCCCCCCCGCCCACCCCGTGCATGCAAAGCCAATATTCAGCCACTTGGATTTCTCTCTCTGCCACCCACCCTGTTTCTGCTTTAAAGATTAACACATTTATTTCATTCATTGTAATCACAACCCAAAACATTTTCCTCCAGCCACCATTCACACCGCTGCCTACAATGTGCCTGCAAACCAGAGTTCTGAGTTAGACTCAAGTTAAAGACATGTGGCTCCGTGGCAGACCAATAGTACCAGCCGCTGGAAGCTACTTCCCTACCAGGCCCGCCGGGACCCTCCGGCTTGTGTGGTTTTCCATGTAGGCATGTCCTTACGAGAACTGTTCTACTGTTATTTGGTTAAAAACAGACACTGGCTGGGAACAGAGCAATGGAACAGCTGGCAGGGGGCTTGCCTTGCAAGGGGTTCAGGCAGGTTCGCTTTCCCCAGCATCCCACCAGGTCCCCAAGCCCGCCAGCTGCGATCCCTGAACACAGAGCCAGGCTTAAGCCCCAAGCACCAGCACTGGGTGTGGCCCCAAAGCCAAAAATTAATTATAAATAAAACATTAGTATTAAGCTTTCCCCAAGTGCCAACTCCCATAAAGAAGCCTGCAGCAAACGACAGCTAGTCACCTTCATGGCTGGGAATCGATAATTAAGACTTAATTAGAAGCTGGCTGCGGAGGCCGTGCCCTCCCTCCAAGGGACACACCTGCTGTCCGTCTGGCTCCGGGCATCCCCGCTTGCCCCGCGCCTGCGGTTTGGGGGGCTCTTTCTCCTCCTTGCTGGGCCGCTGCTTCTTCTTCCTCTTGGGGGTTTTCTGCTCTGTGTCCCCTCCGCTCCGCTCCCTCTCCTGCGCCCCAGGAAGGGGCAGACCCGGGGTGGCGGTGAACACGTCGGGCTTCCCGGTGTCGCGGGGCAGCAGGGACAGGCCCACCTGGCCCTTCTGGTGGTTCAGGCTGCGTGGGCAGAGCAGGGGTCAAGGAGGGAGCAGCCGGGCTCCTATCTCAACAACACTCAGAAGAGTCGGCCTCTATGCATGGCTGACAGCTGGGACAGCCCTCGCCACCCCCCAAACAGGGAACTGCAGGGAGCAAAGTCTCGCCAGCTGCTTCTGGGGCTGAAGCAGAAGTGCCAGTCAGGTGGGACCTTGCTCACCCGGATGTGACGCCCACCTCCACCTAGGTTGTTCGCTCCAGCCCCTGCCGGACTCCCAAGGAAGGGTGGTGGGGGAGGGCGAAACCGCCACTTACCTCAGGACCCTGGCCGTGAGCAGCTTCCCTTCTGGAAGGTGTTTGTGACACAGTTCCGTGTGGGACGGGCTGTGCTGGGAGACGTGTGGGTGCTGGGCCAAACCTACCACGGACGGCCCCAGGCTGACAGGAGAGAGAGACAGGGATCCCGAGGCCATAAACAGTAGTCCCGACCCAGCCCTGGGCTGCCCTCTTCCCAGGGATCCCAACTGTGGCTAGGATCTAAGGATCTCTCCGTTCCTGGCACCCAGCAGGGTCACAAGGCCTTGGCAGGCTGGAAAGACGGAGGGAACATAACCCAAGACGTGCCTCAGTCACGCCTTTCACCCCACGCCAGAACACAAGGCGTAAGTCACAAACCGCTGGGAAGAAGACGGAAGGAAACATGGGGACAGTGGCCAGGGAGATGGCTCAAGGACAAGCACTCGTCCCCGGGTCTGAGTCTCAGACATTCATGGGCCCCGAGCACTGCTAGCCGAGCAGCACTGCATGGCGGGACAGAGCACTGAACTGTGGGGTGGCCACGCCAGGCCGAGTGTCACCAGGTGTGGCCCCAGAGCCCAGGAGTGCTGGGGAGTCCCCCTCTCCACAGAACAAAAGAAAATGAAGACGGGAGGCAACAGCTGTTCTGCCGGCTGGTTTTGAACGTTTTCACTGACACGCCGTATTTCTGGTCCAAAACACCAAATAAAAATGATGAAGAAATGGGGCTGGAGAGACAGCACAGCGGGTGGGGCGTTTGCCTTGCACGCGGCCAACCCGGGTTCGATTCCCAGCATCCCATACGGTCCCCCAAGCACCACCAGGAGTAACTCCTGACTGCAGAGCCAGGAGTAACCCCTGTGCATGGCCAGGTGTGACCCAAAAAGCAAAAAAAATGAAAAATAAAAAATAAATAAATGATGAAGAATGTCCGAAAACATTTGAAGTCAAAGAAGTTTTGGGTTTCATTGTTTTTTTGGTGTTGTTTTTCTCTTTGGTGGGGAGGGGAACCCACACTCGTTTGTGCTCAGGGCTTTCTCCTGACTATGCTCTGGGGTCACTCCTGGCCATGTCTGGAGGCGTACGTGGTGCTGGGGCCAGAACGGGGCTAAGGCCGGCAGAACGGGGCTACCTGAGTATGTCCCCTCGGAGGGGCTGCCGGAGGAGTGCGCTGGCAGGCAGCCTCGAGGCAGGAGGTGCCTCAACTCACCTCAGGAGCACACCCTGAGGCTGCATGGCTTTCACGTAGCCCCTCACGAGCTGCCCCTTCTGGAGGTCCTGGATGGAGTTGATCTCAGGATCTGCTATTTTGCTTTTGGTCTCAGGGTTTGTCCTGAAGGAAGGAAGAGATTTACAAATACACGCCTTAAACCCCTTCCCGCTCCCCCCACAGCCCAAGCTGCTCTCCTGGAGAGCCGTCAGCTCTCAGGGCTCCCCGCACACCCACAGCCAGGCCTTAGAGACAGCCACACTCACCCCTACTGTGGAAGCCCCGGGGGTGAGGCCCCTCCCCGCCTCAGGGCCACCGCCGCGCAACCCTGAATGCCCACACATGGACATCTGCACCCGTCCCTGGGAAAATGAGCCGGAGCCGAATGATTCCTCTAGAAATCCTCATGTGCCACCAGCTCTTCCAGGTAAAAATGGGGCCGGGTACAGAGTGGACAGACAGGGCAGTGGGGGGAGCCCCAAGTTCCACTGTCAGACGCGTGGCACCTCTCTTCTCCCCAGGTGCCTCCCACCCCCACTCTCACCCAACACAACCCACAGCCACCTGGATGATCGCAGTGACAGCGTCAACTCGGGGCCCGTCGAGGACAGGATGTAACACCTGGAACGAGAGCAGATGAGAAGAAAAGGCACCTCGACACAACCACAGGTCTCGGCTTCCTTGTCACCGGGAGAAGGAACACGAGATTCAGGGGCTCTGCTTCCTGGTCAGCAGAGGGAAAAAAACACTACCCACCCTTCGCACCCAAGAAAGGTGCTGGGAAAAGAAACGTAGAGGAAACATGGAAGCTTCCAGAAGACCCAGAGCCACGTGGGCGCATTCTGAGATGAGGGCACCAACCCCGTGCACCTGGCTGGGAGCGTCTGATCTGACGGAGCGAAGCGTGTTGGAGAGGCCCGAGCCCAGCAGGGCAGCTCCCGAGGGAGGGAAAGCAGGGTTTGCTTTCCAGTTGGGATTCCAAACATTCCACACATTTCCTCTAAAACAGCAACGAGTGGCCGAAAGCTGCCATCAGAATTCCCAGCGACAAAGACCTCGGTGAAAATGCGGCCCGGCCTCCCCTGGGACCGGCTGCTGCCCTGATAGAAGAAGGGACCTCAAAGGAGCGGCTTTATCCGACAGGTGAAGGGCGAGTCTCGTCCGAATGAAACATACTGAAAGAGCGTTTTGCTCTGAGTCCTCTGTGCCTTTGAATCACTCTCAAGGTAAAGCCGAAACAGCAACCCTAACCCCGACTCGGAATCCTGGCACCCCGGGTGGACTCACGCAGTTCAGCTATGCTCAGGCGCTGAGATTTAGGCTGGGAAATGTGGCGGGAGGCAGGGATCTAAGTCTGCTTTTCAGTTCTCCATGCCTTTGTTTGTTCCCCTCCCCCCCTTCCGGAACTCCTGAGCATATAAGCCAAAAGCCCCCTCCTCGACATGAGTGGATTCAGCAGATTCAGGCTACCACCCTGCATGGAGGCAGTTCCATTTTTTGTGTACCTGAATAAGCTTGTAATAGGGCTCACCTTCACTGGCAAAAAAGCTCACTGCCATCTCTTTGCAGAGAACTGCTTATCTATAGACAATGTTTTCGTTTCCAATTAAAAAGATGAACCCAGGTTCAATTCCCGGCACCTCATATGGCCCCCAGGTTCACTGGGATTGATCCCTGAGTGCAGAGCCAGGAGTTCAGCCATAAACACCACCAGGTTCGGCCCAAAATAAAACGAAATAAAAATTTAAATATCAAATAAGAAAAAAAACAAGTTAGATTTAAACAAATATGCAGGGGAAAAGAAAATATCCATGAGAAATTGCTGCAAGAAAAGCGGCAGAACAGAAAAGTACAGTGAAACCCTGTATTTAAGGGGCCTGAGCGATAGTCCAGCAGGGAGGCATTTGCCTTGCATGTGGCCGACCCAGGTTCGATTCCCAGCATCCCATATGGTCCCTCAGCACCACCAGGTGTAATTCCTGAGTGCAGAGCCAGGAATAACCCCTGAGCATCGCTGGGTGAGACCCAAAAAATTAAAACAAACAAACAAACAAACAAAAAAACCTGTATTTAAAACATTTTATAAGGGAAAACAAAGCTTGGGTACACGCTCCTGTCTTTAAGAGAGAAACTATGAAGCATACAGAAGGTGCCTGGAGAAACAGGGGGGCATTTGAGGCATTACTTTCCCACACAAAAATCACACACTAGTCGCAGGATTTTTTTTCAACAGCTTGGACAGAGGATGTGCTCTGGGCCTACCTGACAATCTGCTGGGGGGTGAAGCTCTCCAGGGGCGTCTCCTGGTAGGCGTCGCTCACGTGGAAGATGCTGACACTCCCCGTCCTTCCGAAGGGGAAGGAGACGGTCAGCCCCTCCGGGGGCGTCACCTTCGTCACCCGGCCCATGGCCACGTCCCCCTCCTCCAGCTTGTGAGGACCTGGGAGCAGAAGGAAACGGGTCTGTGGGAAACGGTCAGGGGGCACTGGAGTGTGGCTGAGTGTCAAGGGCCCACAGACCACCCGGTGACCACCCTGGTGACCACAGCCAGAGCCCCGAGGCCATCCAGGACAAGGACGAGGGAACAAGTTCTCATTCTCAACGGAGAACTGATCCAACAAGGCACAACCACGCTAGGGTTCCTGGGGACCCCCCCAGCCTCCAGGGCACCCCTCACCCCTCCCTGCCCTCTCCCCTTCCCCCACCTATGAGTGAGAGACACAGGAAGGCCCTGGAGGAGTCAGAGCCAACCACAGTGGCCTTCAGGGCCTGGCCAATCCGGAACGTCTTATCTGGGTGTTTCAGGACCTGGAGGGAGAAGGAAATTGCTCTGATCCTGGGAGAGAGCTCGTCTCCCACAGCACAGGGTCTGTATCACAGCAGCCTCCGCGCCGCTCCCGGGGCAAGCAGCCAGCCCCCTACGCCCCCTTGTCCATGAGCACCCCAAGACCTCCAGCACACCGACCTTCAGGCTGAGAGAAGTGAGCAGCAGGGGGATTCTCCCCCGGAGGTTGGGCGTGATTTCCACCTCAAGCCATTTCTTGACCATGTTGAACTAGAAAAAAAAAAAAAAACAGGACGAGCGATGGGATGGGGCAGATAAGCATCGCTTCTGCTTCCTAAAAATCACAGGGCTGGAAATAAGACTCCCCTACAATTACAGGGTTGCGAGGGCACCTCATCCTGCACCGTCCCATGAGACAGGCGCCCTGCCACCTCCCGAAACCCGAGAGAGGAGCCCTGCCACCTCCCCACCACGCCCACTGCCACACCCCGGCTGAGTCTCACTGGGGCTCCGGTGTCGCCCCCCCCCCCCCCCCGCCGGGGTCTCAAAGGACCAGAAAGACTCAGACTCAGAGGTGTCCTCCCACATGAGACCAAACTCAGGGACATCCAGAGACTCCTGCGAGCCCAGCTGTGCCCAGCAACTGCTGACCAGCCCCAAAGGTCACATCATTCCTGAATCCATTATTGCTGCCCTAAACCAACCTCCTACCGCCGCCCCCCCCCCAGTCCCCCAGCTTTTAAGACAATTCAAGACATTTGTCCAGCAGCAAGACGCACGTGCAGGGTATTGCAGCCATAAAGACAAGGCCCTGTTCTCCGGGGCTGTACGGTTTACAAACAGTCCCGTGGGCAGTGAGCACCAGCACCCTGAGAGTCCAAGGATGGGGGAGGCGGAAGCTCACGTGTACGGAGCAACAGGACAGCAGCACTCCCGGGGGAAATAAAGCGAGAAAGAAAAAGCGGACTTTGGGGTGACTGGCGCCTCAGCGCACGAGGTCAGATCCTGAAGAGCCTGAGGTCGCACTCCAATGCGGCTGGGGTTCACGAACTTCCTCCCGCGACCGGTGACTCGGTGGACCAAGCAGCAGAGACACACAGAGGCTGGTCCAAGCAGCAAGGCAAGGCAAGGAGGAGCTACTCCACCAGACCTGCCCCGGCCCCAGCTGCTCACGCTGACTCTGCCCCTTCCAACTTGGGGCTAACACCGCTGCTTCGGGGACCAGAGAGATAGGACAGAGGGCAGAACACCTGCCTTGCACCTGGCTGATGCAGCTTTAATTCCCCGGCACCCCTGAGCGTCCCTCCAGCACTGCCAGGAGTGAGTCGGAATGCAGAGCCAGGAGTAAGCCCTGAGCACCACTGGGTATGGGCCCCAAAACACAACCGTTTTGCACTGAAATTCTTAAAAGGCAAGAACTTAAAACCTGAGGCCAGAGTGATAGTACAGTGGGTAGGGTTCTGGCCTTGCCTGCAACCAACCTGGGTCCGATCCCCAGCATGCCAGATGGCCCCTCAAGCCTGCCAGGAGTGACCCCCGAGTGCAGCTCCAGGAGTTAAGTCCAGAGGAGCACTGGGTGTGGCCCCAAAACATAAACACCGCCACCAAAAGAACCGAAAACACAATACTGTATTTTTTCCATTTGTATCTGCCTTCCATTAATCTACACAGAGAAGCTGAACTGAGTTGCCCACTGTTCTGTGGACATGCAGTTAGCTCCAGACCAGAATTTTCTAGTATCGTTTCCCACATGAAAGCAGCACAGTAGCAAACCCAGAATCTAGCGGAAAGCAAAAGGCAGCGGCCTCAGAGGCTCCCCGTCTCCTCGGAAGGGAGGCTGGACTCAAACCGCAGGACTCTCAGGCCCAACTCACCTTCCTCAAGAAGCAGGTCACGGTCTGACCCGCCTGGTACTGCTGGAGCTTCTCCAGGGCGCTGATGGAGTCAGTGTTGAGAGCGGTGCAGCCATCCTTCTCCAGCTCACTGTGAGCACCAGGCAGGGAAGAGAGAAGCGACCCCGATAAAGCGGATTCAGAATTACCTCCCCCAAGTGGCTAAGGGCGAGTGTGAGTACAGGGCTCCCCTGCTCACACACACACCCTCAGAGTTTTTGGTTTTTGGGGCCACACCCAGCAACGTACATACCCAGGGGTCACTCCTGGCCCTGCACTTGGGAATTACTCCTGGCGATGCGCAGGGAACCATATGGGACCCCAAGGGTCGAACCCAGGTGGGCAGCGTGTAAGGCAAGCACCCAACCCTGTTCACAATACAGGCAAAAGAACCAATCTTTGGCATTTAAAAAAACTGTAGGGAGAGCACAGTCAATTGGTAGGCCCAGATTCGATTCCTGCACTCCATTTGGTCCCCCGAGCCTGCCAGGAGTAATGCACACAGATGACCAGGGTTTGATTCTCAGCACTGCCAGGAGTGATTCCTGAGCACTGCCAAGAAACCAAAACCCAAAAAATAAAAAAGTACTTGTACATCTGAGTTCAATGATTCATTCACAACAGTCATACAGAGAAATATATATATGTACATACACGTATACATCTATACATATATAAGTGTATATAAAGGTAAAGGCCCTCTCGTTGTTTGTTGATTTGCTCGAGCGGGCCCAGTAACGTCTCCATTGGAGACTTTGTTGTATATGTATACATATATACATATACATGTATACATATACACACACATATACACATACACACTCTTGGAGAGCCTGGCAAGTTACTGAGAGTATCCCGCCTACACAGACAAAGTTTGGCAGGCTCCCTGTGTTGTATTCAATATGCCAAAACCAGTAACTCTGACGGGTCTCATTCCCCTGACCCTGAAAGAACCTCCAATCATTGGGAAAGATGAGTAAGGAAAGGCTGCTAAAATCTCAGGGCTAGGATGAATGGAGACGTTACTGGCACCCGCTCAAGGAAATTGAAGAACAATCAGATGACAGTGATATAGTCATGCTACAGTCATGCTGCAGAGGTGACATTAAGGCCCCTGATGGGCGAGTCGCTAATGAATGAAACCCAGCCCGACAATCCGAATACAGCTCTTCACTTACTTCCACATAACCCCCTACTGAGTGCACAAGCCCATTATCCCGACAAGAGAATAAGGCATGCTGGACAGAGAGCAGTGCTGGACTAACTCTGGCAGAACTGGGATCAGAACGCAGTTCCTAACTGATTCCAGCACTCTCCCCGACCATGAGGCCAGGCTGCTGCTGGTCCCCTCACCTTGGCCGAGCACTCAGCTCTGGGATGGTTCGAATGAATCTGGGATGGCTTATTGGGAGATACCTGGAAAAAAGCAGAGTCAAATCAACTCTCCTGTTCTCTGCCACCCATAACCCAGAGGTCAGAATTTCTCTCCCCTCCCCACCGAACTAAGGTAAAAAAACCTAACTGGCCCCCAAAAATGTGTGTGTGTGTGCGTGTATGCGCGTGTGTGTGTCCGTGTGTGTGTGTTGCTAGGGATGGAAGACGAAGCCTCATACCGGCAAGGCCTAAACTGTGACTCATCAGAAGACCCCAGAGTGAACAACAGAAATTACTATGTGAACTGTGAACTGTGACCAAACTGCACCTTTTGGGGGAGGGGGTGCAGGGGGTAACCACACGCAGCAACGCTCAGAGGATCACATAGTGCCTGGACTACAAAGTCCGTGGTTCCCGCCGTCTGAGCCAGCTCCCCAGCCCAGGCTTCCTGCTTTTCTGCTTTTTCTCTTTATAGCAAGAATCTCTGCTCCAACACCACATTCCATCTAGACTACAGTAAAAGAGTGCTAATACTGTACTGAGTATTACTGTACGTGGCAGAGGGGGCTGGAGAGTACAGCGAGTGAGGTGCTTGCACCTCACGTGGCGGACACGGGTTTGATCATCCCCAGCACCCCATGGGGTTCCCCGAACCCACCAGGAGTGATCCCTGAGGGCAGACCCAGGAGGAAGTCTCGTGTGGCCCCAAAACCAAACAAAAAGAAAAAAGGTACATGGTAGAGGGGAACTGTAACAGCCGCCGCTGCAGAATGCGCAATGACTGCCCGGCACAACACAAAATGTTCTCTCGGCCTCTGCAATGGCCCCACCACACAGTCACGACTGATACTTCACATGTCAGGAAAATACACACTGAGAGCTAAGCGACCCTTCAGCTCAGCCACATCCTTGAAAGCTGCAACCCTGGAACTTGAACCTACATCTGACCCCAGACCCATATCCCATTGAACAAGGGGGCACGCCAAAGGATTTCTGGCCCATGTGAAGAGAAGAGAAGAGAAGAGAAGAGAAGAGAAGAGAAGAGAAGAGAAGAGAAGAGAAGAGAAGAGAAGAGAAGAGAAGAGAAGAGAAGAGAAGAGAAGAGAAGCCCATGTAGCCGCAACTTTCTGCCTGTTCCCTGTCCCTCCATGACACCACACCATGCCCTGCCACGCCAAGGCTGCCCGGCAGAGCCCCCGCACCTGTGCGTCTTCACGTCTCGTCCGCCAATCACTCGAACCCTGATTCTCTTCCCCACTTTGAAGCTGGCGGTGGGCAGGGTGCCGGCCGGCACGTCATCCAGCACCTGGGAGGCGTGGAGAGAGCCGACGACACCGTCCTGCAGGCTCACCACCACATGGGTGGGCTTCACCGACTTCACGGTCCCCGTGACCACATCCCCGATGGACAGGGCATGCTGCCTCCCGGCGTTCGCAGCCAGCGCCGGGTCCAGCTCCTCGTCTTCATCCACCGTCTCAGAGTCCTTCCGGGGCTGGGCCAGGGTCCGCGTGGCAACCGGCCCCTCGACGGCCAGGAGGAGGCCCGTGACTCCGGGCTGCGTGGTCTTGAGGGTCAGGGACACCCCCTGGCCCACCTGTAGCTTCTCCGAGTCAAAGTGGAAGGTGTCGTTGAGGTGAGAGGTCAGGGAGAAAGCGGCCAGCTGGCCGGTCCCCACCAAGGAGGCCACAGCGAAGGACTCCTCCAGGTGCTGCACGACGGCCTGGTGCCTGCTGCCTTTCTTCAGCTGGAAAACAGGGTCCCCAGTCCAGCTTGCTAAGGGCACAAGGGCTCGGCCCTCAGCCCGGGGCATGAGGGGCACGGGGGAAGGGGGGCGGCCCGGGCCATTTTGTCCAGCAGCTCTCGTTCCCCCCGCATGAGCACCGAGGCAGCCTTCGAGAACTTATCTGACCTCCTCAGAGCTGCTTTGGCTCGGATGCAGATTTTTGGGTGCCCCCCTCAAAGGAGTGAAATCAGAATCCTTCAACCTTTCCAATGCACAACCCCTCTCCACGCGAGGAATGTACCCGGGACAAGCGCTGCCAGTAACACCCCGGATTCAGGACATGGTGGATGAACTGGTGGTTGTTGCACATTTGGAAACTTTTTTTTTTAATGGGGGAGTGAGGCAGAGGGGGGGTGTCACACCCAGTGATGCTCTAGGGACCGTATAGGATGTCGGGAATCAAACCCAGGTCATCTGACTGCAAAGCAAATGCCCTCCCCACTGTACTATTGCCCCAGTTCCCCCCGGAAACTTTTTAACTGTCGCCCAATTTTTGGCGACCTCCACATTCAGACCGCAGGTGGGGCCATCACACACAGTTTAAGAAGCGAGGCTAAGAAGAACCACACCAAGACAAGCGAAAACGGGGGACGAGTCCAGGCACATCCACCGACCTAAAGGGCTGCATTAGGCCGGCATGAAGGTTCAAAGAGGCGCATCGGGGCACCAGACCCACCTTCTTCGCCTTCTGGTTCAGCAGATCCGGCAGCAGGGAAACGTGCACTTCCAACTTCAGCAGGTCCACGCTGAGGACCACGGCCTTCTTCTTCTGCCCAGACTCCACGTCCTGTCCTGTGGGGCGGGGACAAATACAACATACTCACCTCCTGAGGCATGAAGGGAGACAACTCCTCCAAATGCACCCCGAGAGTGGCTGGAGCGGTAGTCCAGCGGGTAGGACACCTGCTTTGCACGTGGCCCACCCGGGTTTGATCCCAGCATCCCAGTGTCCCCGAGCACCGCCAGGACGAGGAGTGATTCCTGAGTGCAGAGCCAGGAGTAATCTCTGAACACTGCCAGGTACAGCCCCAAAACAAAGAAACAAAACCCCCCAAATGCTTCCCGAGTGCTCTTAGGCTTCAAGAAGAAAGGGGAAAGGGGAACTTTCTTTCTCTTTCTTTCTTTCTTTCTTTCTTTTCTTTTTTTTTTTTTTTTTGCTTTTTGGATCACACCCAGAGATGCACAGGGGTTACTCCTGGCTCTGCACTCAGGAATTACTCCTGGCACTGCTGGGGGACCATATGGGATGCTGGGAATCGAACCTGGGTCGACCGCGTGCAAGGCAAACGCCCTACCTGCTGTAATATCGCTCCAGCCCTGAAAGGGGAACTTTCAATGCTGGGTTTCCAGGGAGAAAGTCTGAGGCGGGCCAGGGCTCTGGTCCCAAGCACGAGTTCGGAACCTCAGCGCTGAGTGAATCTACGCAGCCTGGTCTAGAATTCCTGACTGGAACCAAGACTGTACCGAAGCCATCTTCAGTATATATATAATCTCAATTACTGTGATCTCAACTCACACACACACAGGAGGCCCCCAGTGACTGACTCAGCTCACTGACCTTCTTTGGGAACCCTGCAAGTGGGGGAAGAGGCCGCTAACAAGGGCCCCTCCACCGAGGTTGGGGGGTGGGGCCGTGGGGCGGTGGCAACTCTCACCTGCCCGATGGTATCGACTGGCCCGCAGCACCAGGCCCGCCACCGGGCCCTCACTGAACACCACAGAGCCATCTTCCAGTACCTCCTGCACCTCCAGGTCGAGGACCATCCCCGGGGTCATCTGGGCCAGCGTCTGGATCAGCACAGAGTCTGCAAGAGACCCAAGAGAACACCAGTTCATAAGAGGCCCCCGGGCCCACCTTGTTCTGCCCTGGGACCTATACAGCGCTGCAGGCATCGTGAGTGGTGGAATCATTTGGACAAATTCCCAGGGTTGGAATCTTGACAGCTGAGCGGGCAGAGAGCAGGCTTTGCACACATAAAGCCTAAGTTTAATCCCCGGCCCCATCTGGTCCCATGAGCATCTCAAAGTGATTCCTTAGCACAGAGCCAGGAAAAGTCTCCAAGAAGAATTGTATGTGGCTCGGAAACAAAATTCTCAGAGTCGAGAAGATGTCGGGCAGCAAGACCTCAGCTGTCCACTGGTGCAAACTGAGCCGGTGGCAGACACGGGACACTGAAGCTCTCCTTCGGCTTCTGAACAGTCACACTTCAGTGTGGACTCTGGCCTTGGAAAGCTCGGTCCCAAGTCCCACTGGGTCCCACGAACCCCAGGCCATGGCCCCACGTGTGTTAAGGGCCAAAAGAACCACCCCATGAAGTTTCTTCCAGCAGGCATGGGCCTCGGTTTCTTTCACCCACCACATAGCTGCTAAACAAATGAACAAAAAGTGAAGAAATTGGGCGGGGCGACAGTACACCTATTAGGGTGTTTGCCTTGCGCATGGCTGAACCGGGCTCTGTCCTCTACATTCCATCTGGTCCCCTGGGCACCGCCAGGAGTGATTCCTGAGTGCAGAACTAGGAGAAAGTAAGCCTTGAGCAATGCTGGGTGTTAACCCACCCTCCAAAAATACCAAAAACAAAGAAGTGGATGAATTCAGAACCAAAGCAAACCCGAGGTCATTGAACTACGAGATTTGGGGGTCTGGAAAGGGAAGGTACACTGAGAGCTTCCAGCATGCTGGGAGTGAACTTGGGCGGGGGGGGGGGGGGGGGGAATGGTGGCAATGGCTTTACAGAGACCACGGAAGAGGGAAACTTGGTCATCTGGGTACCTGTCATAGGTCACGAACCTATTAAGAGGCTGTTGATATTTAATTCTTTTTTTTTTTTTGGCTTTTTGGGTCACACCCGGCAGTGCACAGGGGTTACTCCTGGCTCTGCACTCAGGAATTACTCCTGGCGATGCTCAGGGGACCATATGGGATGCTGGGAATCGAACCCAGGATGGCCACGTGCAAGGCAAACGCTCTACCCACTGTGCTATCACTCCAGCACTCCGGCCCCTGTTGATATTTAATTCTGAGCAGCCCAACAACTCAGAGAAGACAAGCCTGACTTGCAGGGCACCCCGCCCCCCCACCCCCACCCCACCTACCTCGGTTGCTCATGAGGCAGCGCACTCCCTGATGCTCCTCCAGGCACTGGCTGAGCAGGAGCAGGCTGGTGGCGGCCCGGTCCCCCAGGGAACAGTCCGACAGCCGCAGCGACAGCAGCATCCGCTGCTTCTCCTCATCCACGTTGGTCACCTTGGCGACCACTGTCTGCCCCTCCACAAAGTGGTCACTTGTGGTGGTCACAAACTTGTCGCTCATGATCTGCCAGGCAGGAAAGGGAGAGAGGAAGACTCCGTGAAGACGACCCACGCCACACACCCAGGCGGGGTCCAGGAGGAACTGGGCCCTGGGCACAGCTGCTCCTCCTCCACCAACACTGTCAGCGAGGCCCCGGCAACCACGCCAGGGAGAGACAAGGCAGCCGGGCCAGAGGTACGTCACAGCCGCCCGGGCGACATCTGCCCGCCCCCCCCCCCCCCCCCCCCGCACCATGCAGGTTCCGGGGTCTCATCTGAAAAACTGTCTTCCGGGGGCGTCAGGGGCCGTCTGCTCACCAGCAGCCTGGCTTGCGCTGACATCTCCCACCTGCCGCTGCACTGGTCTGACCATCCAGGGGACTTCAGCGGGGACAGCTAGGGGCTTTTCCACAAAATGTTTACAGTTCAGGGCCATGGGGGCAGGGGGAGACACTTGGGGGTAGGAGAAGTGGGCAATTTCTTTTAACTTCGCCCTGTGGGGCTCAGGGGTTATTCCTGGGTCTATGCTCAGAATTCCAGCTGGGATAGAGTGCCTTAACCCTGGGACTATCTCCCCAGCACCACGGAGAGAATTCCAAGAACACGTCAGTCCCTGAAGAGCTCAAAGAACCTTGAAATCTGAAAGACCTGTTCTCCAGGAAAAAACAATGTCTGAGTCTAAAGATGCTGAGAGTGTAAATGAATGCTCAAAGGGCTGGTCCCCCGGGCACCACCAGGAGTGACCCCAAGCATCACAGAGAGCCACAAATCCAAAACAAAAGCTCCGCCTCCAGCACCAGACACGAGCTGGCCCTGGGCATCTCTGCCTGGCATAGCCCGTCCATTCATCCCCGGCTGGGGCATTCTGCCTGAAAACTCCTCGGGGGATCTGTGCTGAACCTTCCCACTCCCACTGCCTTGAAGACCGGCAACACCTCCCCCGACCCGGCTCAAATGCCTGTGAGCCTGGAGCTTAGTAACTCACAGCTTTGGGGGCCAGTCCACTGAGGCCCGAGGGGAACTGGACAAACACCCCGTAGTCCTTGATGCACTTCACGAAGCCGATGAGCAGCATCCCAGGGTGGATTTCTGCAAAGCTCTTGGGGTTCTGGTCGCCTTCAGCAGTGGAGACCAAGGCCGGCTTCCTGCAGAGGAGCTGGTGGCGCTTCGTCAAGGAGGGTTCCAGAAAGAGCAGAGGAACCACCATTCTCCAACTCTGTGGCTGAGGCGCCTTTGGCTCCTCTCTAGAGGGCAGGAGGGTGCCCCCCTGGCACACCTCAGCACCCCTACCCAGAGTCTGGCCTCCTGACCCAGAAACTAGGGCAGGGTTCCGCCTGAGGGGTCTCAACACACCCATCCTGACCTAGACACAGCAGTTTCAGGGTCGCCGCTTCTTCCCACCACTCCCCACAACACAGCTCCCTAAACCGGAGTGACTCATCCCTGTGGCCTGGCAGATAGCCTGACCAGAAGTCAACCTGCCACTGTTCCTGCCCATCACATCACCCAAGCCCGGCTCACACCACACTCAGTTCCTCCTCTCTCCGGGATAAGGGTAGTTTCAGCAGCACCCAGAGGAACAGCCAGAGCCCCCCAGGGGCTCTTGGAGGACAGGAAAGCAGCTACCCTTCTCTGTTCCAGCTCTAGGGGTGAGTACTCAACACCCCGAGGAGGCAACAAGCCATAGGACCTGACCAGCCATGCTGAACCCTCGTCAACTCCCTAGCAAGCTCTTCCCTCCCGTTCTTCCTTCCTGGGGCCACACCTGGTGGTGCTCAGGGGACCATATGGCGTACCAGGGATCAAACCTGGGAGGTCCGTGTACAAGGCAAGCAACCACCCTACCCACTGTATTTTCTCGCTGGCCCCACTCAGCCCCCTTCTGCCTGAGCATCTATTGTCTGTCCATGGCTGTGTCTGCTGGCGAATGTGATCCCACTGCTGAGTAAAATCAAAGGGCTGATTCTTGCTTGTGGAACTTCCTACCACAAGCAGAATCTGAGGAGCCAGAGAGACAGCACAGCGGGTAGGGCGTTGACCCAGGTTCAACCCCTGGCATCCCATAGGGTCCCCTGAGTGACACCAGGAGGGATTTCCAAGTGCAAAGAGAGAAGTAACCCCTGAGCATCCTGTGACCCCAAAACAAGACAAAGGGAGCAGTTAACACCACGGCCCACGCCCCAGACGCCAGCAGAGGATACGACCTGCCCCTCCGTCTGGCTCAGGCACAGGACTTTGTGAAGCGTGTCGCCTTCCTGGAGCCAGTGATGCAACAAGGGCCCGTTGGAGACGTGGTCCGAGAGGTGCGACATGGGGAGAAAACCCCGGGTGTTGTGGGGCAGGACAGCCACCTCCAGCCCGTCTGGGGTTTTCTCGAGAACCTTCACATCCACCAGCTGAAAGGGGGAAAGACAGCACCTCTCTTGAGCAGAGAGCAACTTCCACTGGGAAACGTCCGATTCTAGCACCGGGATCACTGAGACAGTGGGACCGGATATGCAAAGCTCCTTCAACATGGCCCCCGGGGACCCCAACCCAGCATGACGGAGTCCACCGCCAGCGGCACACAGCCAGGTGCAAGCTATCGTGCAGGGAGACAGGGGAGGAGGGAGGACGGATGGGCCCTGGACCAGGCAGAAAGGGGGCGTCAGGCCCTGGGGAAAGGTGTCCGTGAAGCTTGACCCCCTCCCAGCCAGTCTCACGGCTGCTGACCCCCAGGGAAGAAGGGGCCTGAGGTTCCCCTCGGCCCAGATCCTGGCTCGCTCCTGTGCCCTTGCTGGAACGGCAGGTACCTGACCCGCGCTGACAGATTTCTTTTTCTGACTGGATCCCGCGGGCTCTTTGTCGGGGTCACCCTGCGTCCGGAGGGACAGGAGCATCCTCTCTTTGGTGGGCTCGCAGTTCAGCACGGTCACCTTCACGACCTGGTAAAGCGACAGAGGCCTGGTCACCTCCTGGCAGACCTTTCCAGCAAGGCAAGAGTTGCCCGCCCCGGGGCTGGCGAGACCGAAGGAAGGAGGAAAAGCACCGGGGGCTGCAAGCCTGCCCCACTCCCACACCCTGCTACAAAGCCAGCCCTCGGGGGTCTAAGATGTGGGCTTGGTTTTTTGGTAGAACCCTAAAGTTTTACAAATTCCCTTTCCTAGACAGACCCAGATTCACTATTTTCCCGGCACTGCCCCCTTGTGGAACACGGCAACCTCAAGGTCACCTGTGACTTGAGGGACACACAAACAGAGAGGGACTTCTTCCGGGTTATAGGCTGAGGTCCCTCGGCACCTCCTGGAGTGTTTTTTCTCTCTTCTGCACCCCACCCCCTCCACTTAGCCAGCCGAGGCCCAATGCCCCGAAACTCCCTTTCCGATCCCTTCAAAAACCACCGGCCTGTCACGCCCTCCAACCCACGCACTTCTGAGGAAAGGGTTACCTGGCCGGGGCAGAAGACCCGCTCGGGGTCCGGGATGTACTCAGCACTGAGCTCCTGCCTGGGCACCAAGCCCTGCACGTCGTTGTAGAACCTGACGATGCAGCCGTAGTTCTTGACCTTGAGGATGAAGCCGTGTGTCTGCAGCCCCGGCTTGGCATCGGCATAGCAGGTGATGGCTGGCAGCTTGGATTCCACCAGGGTTTTCTTCAAGGTGATCAACAGCTTCTTGGCATCCGGGTTGCACAGCAAGACCTTGGGAGACGATACCAGCCAGCACTTGGTCAACTCAACAATGACCCAGAGCCACTGAGCTCGTCTCTGCCAAGGCCTGGGCTCAGAGTCCGCCACGGTACAGGCGCCCTGGCTCCAAGATGGGGCCGCAGACCCTCCTGCCTCCTGCTGCCTGACAAGCCCTTGCTAGGCGACACGCTTCCTCCAGGAGCTGCTGCGAGTCACCTACCCCAAGGGTGTGGCAGCCCGGCCATTCCACGGCACAGCGGCCCCCAGTCTCCCCTGGCCGCCTGTCTTCTGTCCTGCTGAACAGACTGAACCCCACAGCACTACAGATCAGTTAGAGCTAAGTCTCTGGAGAGTCAGCCAGCTCCCAGCCCTCCGAGGGCCATCTTTTTGCAGAAAGACAAAGTCCTCTTAGTTCCTATCCCGAGCCCAGAACTACAACCCTGTGCATCAGCAAGTAACCAATACCTTTGCTGACACAGGAATCACAAACTTAGCGTGATGGATGTGGCTCAGCTGTGCCTGCAAAAGGCCCAGGTTCGAACCCCAGCACCACACACACCTACAAATCATGAAAGTAAGAGCCTGTTCCTTTTTGTTTTGTTCATTTGGGGGCCACACCTGATGATGCTCAGGGGTTATTCCTGGCTCTACATGCAGAAATTACTCCTGGAAAGCTCAGGGGACCATATGGGGTGCTGGGGATCAATCTAGTTTGGTCACGTGCAAGGCAGGTGCCTGACCTGCCACACTGCCACTCCAGCCCCAAGCACAGCCAACATTCTAAGAAGCTGCACACACAAGCCCCTTGCTACACCCCAGACAGCAGCACATCTCATCGTGGTAACCCTGGGAAGCTTTTCTGGGGACTCAGGCTTTGTACACATAAACCAGCCAGGCGTGGGCTGCACTTGGTCACACTCCTCCCTCTCTCCCTCACCCTGCCAAATCCCACCCAGCACTTCCTGCTCAAGCCCGCCTGGGCCCAAAACCCTAGGGGGGAAAAATCACTATCAGATAGCATGGAGCTCTAAAACCAGTCCTGACGTTCCCCTGTTGTGTGACCTTGAACCAAAGTCCTGGTGTTTCCAAACTGCAAAAATGAGCTTACTCTTCCTTCCTTCACACTTGTCTTACGGATCAAGATAAATAAAAGGGCCGGGGTCTTGCCACACTGGCAGAGAACATGCGTGAGGCCCTGGGTTCAACCCAAGTAGATTAGCACTGTAGCACTGTTCTCCTGTTGTTCATCGATTTGCTCGAGCAGGCCCAGTAACGTCTCCATTTTGAGACTTGTTGTTACTGTGTTTGGCATATCGAATACTTTACAGGTAGCTTGCCAGGCTTTGCCGTGCGGGCGAGATACTCCCGGTAGCTTGCCTGGCTCTCCGAGAGGGGAGGAAGAATTGAATCCAGCTCAGCCGGGCTGGCCGCTTGCAAGGCAAGCGCCCTACCCACTGTGCTATCACTCCAGTCCACCAAGTAGATTAAAAGTTTTTTAAAATACTACTTGTCATGCACTGATCTGGCAGAGAGGAGTTGCTACTGTAGTCATTTCTGAGCAAAGGTAGAAACTCAATGGCAAAGCGTCCCCTGATCCGACACCTGAGAGACACTCCATGAGGCTTACCCGGCACTTGACATCCTTGCCAACCCGGTACTTCTTCTCTGGGTTCTTCATCAGGACATCAGCCAGGTGCAGGGTAGGAACCAGACCTCTAATTTGCTTGCTCAGCTCCACCAGCATCCCAAACGGCTTCATGGACAGCACCGTGCCCTGGGAGGTCCAAAGAAAAGATGCTCTAATGCTTTATGAATCAGGCTGGAGGGGCTAGAGCGATAGTACAGAGAGGAGAGTGTTTGCCTTACATGCAGCTGACCCGGGTTCGATCCCTGGCATCCCATGTAGTCCCCCAAGCAATGCAAGGAGTAATTCCTGAGCGCAGAACCAGGAGCCACCCGAGCATCACCGTGTGTGACCCAAAAAGCCAAAAATAAAAAAAAAAAGAATTGGGCTGGAGACAGTGCAGGGCCTCTAACCCTCCTTCAAAGACCCAGAATTACGTCTAGGCCCAGAGCCATCACCAGCACTCAATCAAGCACAAAACCAGGAATAGCCTCTGAGCACCACAAGATGTGGCCCAAAGAGTTGTGGCCTCCCACCTACCCCTATCCCCAATTCTCCAATCAGTCTTTTCTGTATCTTAGAAAAAAACATGTCACATTCACCTTTACAATGTCTGCCCCTAGATTAGTCTCCTGTATCAAAAGAAGCAAGTGGAGCTAGATTCTTCACATATCTGCCAGGCTACTAAGTGACCACAGAGGTAACTTCTGACCTGGCCTAATGAACATGCAATTTCACAGCTAATGACCTCCAACCTCTGCATAGCAGGGTAGTGCTAGAGAGAACATAGCTTGAAACTAATTAGGAGCTGCCCAAAGCAAGAGACACAAACTCCAAAAACGGGGAGAAGCAAGCAATATCACTTTGAACGTTATCTGTGGACAAACACTGTCCTCCCGTTGTTCATCGATTTTCTTGAGCGGGCACCAGTAACATCTCCATTGTGAGACTTATTAGCGTTTTTGGCATATCGAATATGTTACGGGTAGCTTGCCAGGCTCTGCTGTATGGGCGGAATACTCTCGATAGCTTCTCGGGCTCTCCGAGGGGCGGAGGAATCGAAACCAGGTTGGCCGCATGCAAGGCAAACGCCCTACCCGCTATGCTATCGCTCCAGCCCGTGGACAAGCAGGCTGATAATTTAACCTAAGAAGGGTGTCGGAGGGCGGGGGACAATCTATTTGCCACTTGTGGTCTTACCTTTACCAATTCCCCTGGTCTGATGCTGTGATACGTAAGGTACTGCGCCTCAATCACAGACCTAGAACAGAAGGACAGAGACGCCGGCCTCTGTCAGCGAGGGCCCAGGCTGCCAACTTGACTGGCCAAGCAGGCCAGGAGCGAGTGTGAGGAGGCGCCGTCCGGAAGGACACACTTACGTGCGCAGAGAGAGGAAAACCAGCTCGTCCATCGGGCTGTAGTCGATGATGCGGCATTTGTGCAGGTTCCCTGGCTTGAAGGCTTCAGGATTAAAGCCCTTCTTGGAATTGGAGAGATGGCCGAGCTGCAAAGCACGGGGTGGCGAGTCAAGGTCATCCTCAACAACGCTGCCCCGGGGTTTTCAGAGACAGGACACGAGTATCAGGGAATGTTCACAGCAGGGGAAGGGCTCAGGAGCTGCCCACGTCCCTGCGAGGAGGAGATCCCTGCCCGGACGAGCATCCTTACCCGGGCGTAGGCCAGAGAGCCGTCCTTCAGGCTGAAGGTGGCGCCCGCCTTGTGGAAGAAGCCTTGAGCAGGCACGTCCTCCAGCACGGCGCCCAGGTTCTGGCAGGACAGGCGCGAGAGTGGGCGCCCGGGCTGCAGGAAGACGGGACGCAGGCTGAGCCGCACCTCTCTGGTCCGGGGATGGACAGCAAGGACACAGGCCCTTACCTGGACAAGGGAAAGGGCGCCATGAGGCGGTGCACAGCTGATGAGCACTCACGGGCCCACCACATGCTGACCAGGTCCTGCTTTTTGTTTTCATTGTGGGTCCACATCCAGCTGTGCTCAGGGCTTAATCCTGGCTTTGCACTCAGGGATCATTCCTGGTGGGGCTCAGGGGCCCACGAGGAGGGGAGCAGGGGAGGGTGCAGGGGAATTAAATCCAGATCAGCCTCATGCAAAGCAAGTGCCCTACCCCACTGTGCTATCTCTCCGGCCCCAGGACAAGGTTATGAAAACAGGTACCAAAACTGGCATGCCCATTTTTTGGTGGAATGCAGGACAGTCCAACAAGATGTCCCAGAAGTGAATCGCCAGTGAAATAAATGCCTCACTAGTGAAGGCCAGGAGAAATCTCTCTGCCACCAGGTGAAGGACGCACGAGCAACGGAAACTATGTCAACTGTCACCGTAGCTGAGTCTCCTGTGAAACAATCCCTATAAGCCATCTCCAACCTCAAGTGCAAGGACAGGGTGCAAAACGCCTCTCCTCACACAGGGAGGGAAAAAGCTACAAGGAAGAATCTCACCAACGTGTCAACAGTACTACTGCTGGGTGGTAGGAAAACCACTCAACTTATGCAATCACTGGGTGCTGGGGTCTCTTCTGGACCTTCCCAAACACCAAACACCAGGGTGGTCCCCCACCCACCCACTGCTGGGTGCTGTCCCTCAACTGATCGCACAGCTGACGGGGGCACAAGTGGGATCGGGAGAGACGTCAAGTGTCTCACCGTCTGATTCGAGAAATATGTCCCCGCTTTCTTGGGATCCAGGTGCATGAAGTCAACCAGGCCAGTAAATAACGAGAGGAACTTCAGCGTAAGGCCAAGTGGGGTCACCTGGAAAGCAACAGAGCCAATGATGAAAGAGCCTCCTGAGGGACCCAGGCGGCCGAGAGGTGCTATCAGACCACACACTCGGGGCACATCCGCCATCTTACTCAGGACTCCTGCTGCCACCCCCCATCCAGTTAATTACCCTCAAACTTTCCTCCTCAGAAGGAAGGTGGGGGTGGGGAGAACACCATTTAGTGGCCACCTATGGACTGCAGTTAAGACTCTGTGCCTCCAAATAAAGGGTGTTGTGAGGACCCTCCCAGGGTGGGAGAGACATGCTAAAAGTAGTCTATAGACCAAACATGATTGCCACTCAATGCCTCTCTTGCAAAACACAGTACCCAAAAGAAGAGAGAGAGAACAAGGGGGAATGCCCTGCCACAGAGGCACGGTAGGATGGGGGGGATGGGGGGTGGGAGGGATGCTGGGACCCGTGGTGGGGGAGGATGAGCACTGGTGGAGGGATGGATACTTGATCATTGTATAACTGAAACCCAAGCACAAAAATTTAGAAGTCTATAACTGTACCTCATGGTGTTTCACTAACAAAAAAAAAATAAAGACTCTGTGCCTACAGACTCTGTCACAAGTACTGGAGAGCAATAGTAACAGTGCAGAGGAGTAACAATGGAGGAAAGGAGTAACAACAGAGGACAGAGACAACAACAGCCAGGGGAAGCAACAACCCAGAGAAGTATCAATGAGGAGTAACATCCGAAAGGAGGAAGTAGCAATAGAGAGGAAGAGCAACAATGAAGAGAAGGAGTAACAATGGAGGGGAGGGGTAATAATGAGAGGAGTAACGATGGAAGAGCAGTAACAATGGAGAGGAGGAGCAACAGTGAAAAGGAGCAGTAACTCAGGAGCAGGAAAGGAGGGGTAACAATGAGAGGACTAACAACAATGGAGAGAGTAATAATGGAGAGAGTAAGAGTGGAGAGAGAGTGGGAAGAATGGTGTGGCCCAGGAAGCAGGCGTAAGGTGGAGAGGAGCAACAACGGCTCGCTTACCTTCTGCACCTGGGCTCTGACCACCAGTCCCGGCAGCAGGTTGTTGAGGGTCCAGTTTTGCTCCTCAGTAGCAAGGGCTGCAGAGCCCTCGGCATGGCCCACAGAGAGCCGGACGACTCCTCCATTGCCCTTCACCTCTTCGATCGTGCAGTTTAGGTACTGACCCACCTGCAGCTTGGCACCTGCAAGCCGCAGCCCCCCCAAGAACAGACAGCTCCATGAGAAGGACTTGGACCAAACGGGAGCTCAACCCGGGCAGGGACCTGCCGGTTACCACGGACCAAAGCCATCTCCCCAGTCCTTAGGGGACCAGCAGTAAGAGAGACGTGTGACCTGTCAAGCCAGACAGCCGCAAGGCCCGTGTTTTGCCCATCTTATTTGAAAAGTGGCCTATAGATACAATCCTCACGCATACCACCTCACTACCACGTTCTGGCCCTTTCCTCATTTATTTTTTCTTTTTCTCTTTTATTTTTCGTTTTGGGGCCATACCCAGAGATGCTCGGGGGACCACATGCATGCCGGGGATCCAACCCAGGGCAGACGCATGCAAGGCAAATGCCCTACCTGCCGTACTATCTCCCTGGTGCGTCTCACCTCACCTTTGTTCTTCTCCCGGACTTTCTTCAGGGGCAGAAAAGCTCTTGCTCCAGCAACACCAATGTCTACCAGGTAGCCATGGTCTTCCAAGCTGGACACAGTGCCTGTGAGCAGCTGGGGGAAGAGAAAGCATGTGTAAGGTAAGGGACCCACAACCAAGCCCCCGCCAAGCAAGGGTGGCGCTCCTGCACTCCCATAACCCCGCACTACCCCCACTTTCACCTGCCGGCCTTCGTTGCATTAGAACAGAATCCCCCAGGCTTATTTGACCAACCACCCCCTTTGCAGAGAAAGACTCACTCGGCACCCCTGGAAATTCACCTTCTCTGAGTGAACAGAAGGTAGACCCCTCAACTGCAGCTGGGCCCACTACCTCCCCCTCTAAATTGTTCCAGTGGCACGGCCCTCTTTGGGAAGCATGCTAAGATTTCACCCCTAATTCTGCCAGGGTTTAGAGGATATAAGGTGCGTTTCCTGCTGCTGAAAACCTGCATGTTATTATTTCAGAAGACAGGAAAAAGGTGATGTGCCACAGAGGAATAAACCAGGTGGACTGCATCGACCATCGGAGAGCCATGACTAATGAAAGCCCCAAACTGGCCTGAAGGCACTTCCTGAGCAGCTCACCAGCGCCCTGCACATCCCGCGGGACGCTCGGCCTTTGGCCAGTGATCTCGAGCTTCCAGCGTGCCCTTCCACCCACACGGGAGAGAGGAGCTCTTCCTCACGGTGGCTCCGCAAAGCCCTTCAGATAGAATGCCTAAGCACAGCAACTCTCATTCCTGTCATTTCCCTTCAACTTGGCTTGTTTTAGTCCTACCCTTCCTAGCCAACATTCAGGGCCTATTCCAAATGCCACTGCTTCTAAACAAAATGTTACAAAAATCCACAGATCCTTTTACTTAACAGCATCAACTGAGAGGCAAGGAATGTGCTAGAAATCGCCAGACCTGGTTCTGAGCGAGGACTGACTCCTCAGTCTCCGCAGTCCAGGGGAGACTCCGTAGTGGGCTACCACGAGCTGAAACGCGAGCTGGTACCCAACCACCCGGCCACCCCACCTCTGGCTCTCAAGGGAACAACCCGCAGGACTGAGAGAGCTCAGGGAGAAGGCACTCAACGTGCACAAAACCGACCCTGGCTCAACCCCCATCACCGCACATGGCCTGGCACAGAGCGACCCCTGAGCCCTGAGCAAGATTAAATCTCCTGAACACCAGCGGATATGACCCAAATTGCCACCCACCCCCAAACAGAGAGGCACCCTCGAGCACTCCACAGAAAATGCCAGAAGACCTTTGAAAATAGATGCAGTCTAGGAAGGAGTGCTGGAGGGTAAGGCCTTCTGGGACTCACCCTCCCATCCCAAGATTCCCTACTCACTGAAGTCTTGATATTTTTGCAACCAGCAAACCCTGGACTTGCTCCAAAATGAAGTCATCAGATTCAAGAGGTCAATTGCCATTAAATATCCAGAGCAGGCTGGCCATTTCCCTCCCCAGGCCCCCAGGAAAAGACAGAAGACACACAGACACAGACACATCTATAGATAGAACACACTCAGGCTGGCCCCCAACCGACGGCAGACACGTACCATGCCAGGCTTCAGGGTGTCCGCACTCAGCACGTCGTTGACTTTCTTGGGGTTCAGCGATAGTTTGACAGTCTTTTTGCCTCTCTCTGTGGTGCCCAGACTGCTCACCACACATCGGACCAGCATCCCAGGAGAGAAGAGTTCAGGCAAGCTGGCCACTTCCTGTGTAACACAAATGCGAACAGAATGGACCCGGTCCATTCTGCCCAGAGCCGAGATTCCAGGGGCCTGCCCCAGCTGTGAGGCTTCTCCTCCTCAACACCCCAAAGAACCCACAGGCAGATGAAGGGAATAACCACTCGCCCCAAAGGAAATGCGTCCTGGGCAATTCAGCCTGGGAGTACAGCCTAGGACTAATAGTTCCACATCACGCACAGATGCAAAACTGTTTGTGTTTCCTGGCTTCTCAGGCAGGGCTCCTCTGCAGCCGTGTCCCACCTCTCCACCACGTCACCTCCCATCAAGCCATTAATGATGACCCTGAATCTAGTCACTCATTTTACAGTCCGTGTCTGGTCAACTTTTCAAAGCACTTTAACAGGGGCCAGACCACAGTACAGCAGGTAAGGCACTTGCCTTGCACTCAGCTGACCCAGGTTCTATCCCCAGCACCCCTGATGGTCTCCCGAGCCTACCAGGAGTGATCCAAGGAGGCAGAGCTAGGTGTGGCCCCAAAACAAAAACAAACAAACAAAAAAAGCATTTAGGGCCCTGAGAGGTAGTACTGCAGATAGAGCATTCGCCTTGTACGTGGCCAAGCCGGGACCAAATATGGTTCCCAAGCCCACCAAGAGTGATCCCTGAGCACAGTGCCAGGGGAAAACCCAGAGTATAGCTAGGTATGACCCAACCCTTCCCCATCCCCCGCAAGGGGTGAGATGGCCAAGCATCAGTCCGTGCTGAACAGGAGGCATGGGTTCTTCTACTTCTCTCAGTCGCGCCAGCCGTATCCAGCCCACCACAGAGCGACAGCTAAACCCCTGGGTCCCAGAGAGACCTGAGCCCAGGCCATCCTCAGCTCAGGTCTTCCCATTGGTCTCTCTCTTTTTTTTTTTCATTTTTTATTAGTGAAACACCATGAGGTACAGTTGTAGACTTACAGATTTTTATGCTTGAGTTTCAGTTATACAATGATTGACTACCCATCCCTCCACCAGTGCCCATTCCCCACCTCCAATGCTCCCGGAATGCCCCCCACCCCCCAGTCCCCCCACTGGTCTCTAAGCGGCGAGTCAGCATCTTCAATCTATCCTCTGCTGGTGACATGTCACCTATCCCAGTGACAAACGTTCCAAGGGGTCCCACTGGCTTGAGAACTAAAAACAATTGGTGAGGGTGGAGATAGCGCAGTGGTTAAGGCACTTGCCTAGCCTGTGGTCAATCTTGGCTCAATGCCCCGGCACCACATACTCAGCACTGCCAAAAGTGACCTCTGAGCACAGAGCCAGGAGTAAGCCCTGAGCGATCAGGTATAGCCTACACTCACCCACCCACGCCCCCAAATTAAAACCCCTCCTTCACATGGTCTGGTCTCCAGCCCTCTCTCCACTCCAACCGCACCGCTCTCAGCTCTCCCTGCTCTGCTTTCTGTTAGTCTCACACTTCTGTCTGCTGTTCCTCTGACTTCTGCCTGATCTCCGGGATGGCTCCCAGGGCCTTTGGGAGCCCCTCCACAATACCCAAAAACCCCAAAGCCAAAAGTCCTATTTTCTTTCTCTTTTTTTAAAAAAAAAACTCAAGCACCCTGGACCTTTCCTTTTTAGTACTTGGGGCCAGAGCAATAACACAGCGAGTGGGGCATTTGCCTTGCACGCGGCTGACCCGGGTTCGATTCCCGGCATCCCATATGGTCCTCCCCACCAGCACCGCCAGGAGTAATTCCTGAGTGCAGAGCCAGGAGTAACCCCTGAACATCACTGGGTGTGACCCAAAAGGCAAAAAAAATTAAAAAACCAAAAAAAAAAACAAAAAATATATATATATATTTTTAGTACTTAACAAAATTTCAATTTTACCTCAGTTTGTTATACTCTTTTCTAGTAAAACATATATATTCTGGTCCCTTACCTTCAGCGGTTCTTCTTGTGCCACCTGCTCGCTCAGCTTTTTGGTGTAAGCATCACAGATTTCGGTGACTTGCACAAACCCCTGGAGGCCATTCGGGAGACTGACCACCAGTTCCAGCTGCTTTACCTCCTTTACACAACCCAAAATACGCATCCCTTCACACAGCGTCTAGGAGGGGAAAAGTGACATAGCGTATGATGAGCAAGAGCATAATGACTGGGGAGGTCGGGGATGTGACCTCTAGTCCCAATTCTGATACGTAAGAGAAACTGCGATTCTTAAGAAACACACACCGCCATGTATAGGCCAGTTTACTGGCCAAGCATCACACTGACAACCAGCCAGAGAAGCTTCAATGGTCTGAGTGTGTGCAAAGCATGCAGAGACCGAGGTTCAACCCGCTGCCCCACACGATCCTCTGAGCACAGCTGGGAGCACCCTCCGACACTGAGCAGGGAGTAACCCCCATCACCATGCCCAGCGTGACCCCAAAATTAAAATTTTAAAAATTTAAATAAGGGCTGGAGAGATAGCACAGCAGGTAGGGCGTTTGCTGTGCATGCAGCCAACCCGGGTTCGATTTCCAGCATCCCATATGGTCCTCCGAGCACTGCCAGGAGTGATTCCTGAGTGCAGAGCCAGGAATAACTCCTGAGCATCGCCGGGTGTGACCCAAAAAGAAAAAAAAAAAGCCATGTTTGGGGATGGAGAGTAAAGGGGTTAGGTGGGGTGCTTTCCTAACACGTGTTTTAGGACCCATGTTCGATCCCTGGCATCCCATAGGGTCCCACGAGCACTGTCAGGAGTAAGCCCCGAGCATCTCCAGTATGGCCCCAAAACCGAAGCCATGTTCTAACAAACCTTAAGGCCAAGGAGTTCAAACTTCTCTTTCACAGGCTTGCTGCTTTCTCGCTTTTCAATTTTCAGCTTCTTTGCCTGTGCTGGGCCCTTTTGGCTCTTTTTCCTTTTGGTGGGTTCCTCTTCATTAGGCACCTTCAAGTGGGGGGGGGGGGGGATGGAAAATAATCGAAAGTAATTCTGGCCTCTACTTCAGGTTCTGTCATCTCTTTGCTGTCCCTCACCCCACCACCCCACTCCCAAATTCCCTAAATTCCTGCCTCAATCCCAGCCCTCCCATCTTGTCACCAATGCTTCCAAGGCTCTGTATCTGAGTCCCTTGCATGTTCTGAGAAACCCTTTCTCCTGAGTTCTTCTCCCCTTGACTTGAGAGGGACACCAGGTTCCCAGTATTAGCAGGAATAGAGGTGTGTGGGGGGAGCAATAGTATAGCAGATAGGGCATTTGCCTTAATGTATGTGTGCCTTATATATATATAATATACTTATATATATATAATATATATATGGTCCCTGAGCCCACCAGGAGCGATCCCTGAGCACAGAGCCAAGTGTGCACTTTGAGCACTGCCAAGTGTGGCCCAAAAGCCAAAAAAGAAAAATAAGAAAAAGAAAAATCAGCAAGGTACATTCTTAACTTGGCAGGTAAAGAGCAAGTGTCCCATGGATCATATTAAACAAGCACGTCACTTACATCAAATAAGTTGTCTTGTTCCACTGACCGCTGAGGCGCTTTTTCTGATTTGGGGGTCTTTCTCGTACCCCCTCGAGGGAAACTTTCTTCAAAGTCAGCCATGTTTAGGTCTCTGAAAAACAAAAAGAGTAACAAAGAGAGGTAGTCCTGATGTCAGATTCCAAAAGGTTGTGATCAATGGGCAAAAAAGCACCTTCTAGCACCAGCGCACTAGAGTATACAGGACCAAGAAACAGATGATGTGCAGCCCAGTCCCAGACAATCCATAGTTTACCTCCAAATATCACTGCTGCAAAACCACAAGCACATACAATTCTCTCCAGTGAAAAAAGTTACAGATTCCATGTAGTAAACACCAATAAGCAACTATTAGACTAGAGACACACCACCTAACATATCAGCTCCTATCCATGAAACACCTTTTCCCCCCAATGCAGTGCTGGGGGTTGAACCCAGGTCTTCCACTACCATTTAGTCACATCCACAACCCAACACCCGCATTTTCTTTTTTTCTTTTTTTTCTATTTGGGTCACACCTGGTGATGCACAGGGTTACTCCTGGCTTTGCACTCAGGAATTACCCCTGGCGGTGGTCAGGGGACCATATGGGATGCTGGGAATCGAACCCGGGTCGGCCGCACGCAAGGCAAATGCCCTACCCGCTTGTGCTATCGCTCCAGCTCTAGAACATCCACATTTTCAAGTAGATGAAACAACTATGCCAACAACTTACAAAGTACAAATCAGATTACAACTATCAACAGAGATAGGTAGTGATGAGGCCTTAGGAAAGGAGCAAGTTTCTGAAAGCTGCTTCTGAGCAGCTGAACATTGGAGGACGGACGAACAGGATTTTGACAGGTAAAAAGAGAAAAGCTAAAGGAATATGAGGAGGGGGGTTGGGGGATCACTGGGATCACTGATGGTGGAGAATGGGCACTGGTGAAGGGATGGGTACTCAATCACTGTATGACTGAAATGTAAGCACGAAAGTTTCTAAGTCTGTAACTGTATATCATGGGGATACATTAAAAAATAAAAAAATTAAAAATAATAAAATTTTAAAAAATAAAAATATAAAGGAATGTGAGGAAAAGCATAGAAATAAAAAAAGTGAATTACTTTGATAAGCACCAACAATTTTTTAAACACTGCTCATAAAAATTTTTCTCTTGGTGGCCAGAGAGAGAATACAGGAGCTAAGAGGCTTGCCTGACATGCAGGTGACCCAGGCTTGATCCCCACTGCATATATCCCCATGGACCATCCGTAGTGATCTCAGAGTATAGAACAGTCCCTGAGCACCATTGGCTATGCCCTCCCTTTTGTAGAGACCCCACAAAAAAACTCTTGCTGGGGCTGGGGCGATAGCACAGCAGGTATGGCATTTGCCTTGCACGCGGCTGACCCAGGTTCAATTCCCAGCATCCCATATGGTCCCCTAAGCACTGCCAGGAGTGATCCTGAGTGCAGAGACAGGAGTGACAACTGAGCATCGCTGGGTGTGAACCAAAAGCAAAAAAAACTCTTGCCTTTCTTCAAGGAATTACTGAACTATACCACAAAAAGCTTAACTGGTGGTTCACTGTCACTGTCATCCCATTGCTCATCAATTTGTTCCAGCAGGCACCAGTAATGTCTCCACTGTGAGATTTCTTGTTACTATTTTTGGCATATCGAATATGCCACAGGTATCTTGCCAGGCTCTGCCCTGCAGGCGAGATGCTCTCAGTAGCTTGCCGGGCTCTCCGAGAGTGGCAGAGGAATCGAACCCGGGTCAGCCACATGCAAGGCAAACACCCTACCCACTGTGCTGCTGCTCCAGCCCATAACTGGTGGTTAAATTTTTAAAAGATTGGGCAGTTTTATGGAAGAAAATGGAATGAGTAGATCGTTTACTTTTTAAATTAGGATCTTATGCAAAGGAAAAGGTGGAGCGATAGCACAGCGGGCAGGGCGTTCGCCTGACAAGCGGCCAACATGGCCGACCCGAGTTCGAATCCTCCGCCCCTCTCGGAGAGCCCGGCAAGCTACCGAGAGTATTCGATATGCCAGACACAGTAACAACAAAGTCTCCAATGGAGATGTTACTGGGCCCACTTGAGCAAATCGACGATCAACGGGAGGGCCTTTACCTTTACCTTTACCTTTTATGCAAAGGAAAAGATAGAGCCATACTCCAAAAATTTCAAGAAATGGGGCTGGAGAGATACTACAGCGGAATAGGTGCTTGCTGCCCAGCACTGCATATGCCCAGCACATCAGGGAAGATCCCTGAGTGCAGACCCAGGACTAAGCCCCATGCACAGCTGAATGAGTCCCAAAAGCTAAAAGACACACACACAAAAAAAAAATAATAATAAATCAAGTAATTAAGGAAAATACACTGCAGGACCTAAACAGGACAGCGAAAGGCAGATCTGAAGCAACGTTAACAGGGAAGAAGGGCTCTTGTGAGAAACCATCCGGATCAGAACCAGGTATAACCGAATCTTAAAAGGGTTGGTTCCGAGAGACACTAGAATCTATAAAGAAAATCTTAGGTTTCTAGATTTCTATTACACCGGTAACAGAAATGCCAAAGGTGAGGGGGTGTAAGAATTAGAATCAGAAATAGGTGTGTTTCACAGACACGGAAAGAGCAATGGATCTAATATGCCGGGAACGTGATTTTTAAACGCACTTTAGCCCAGGGTAAAAAAAAAATGCCAAAAAACCAGAAGCGATAAAGAAAGGACCCACCGAACGACTGTTGGGGGCTGAATCCGTAGCTACAGGGGCCGCCCCTCTATCAGATGGGGCTTCAGTTCTGGGCTAGAGAAGCCGAACCCCTCATCCGGCACTGCGGGTGCCTGACAGGGACCCAGGAACCTAGCTCTGGGGCACACCCGAGGGGCCGCGAAGTTCCCTCTCTTCCCCCAGAGCACTCACCTGCGCCGCGAAGCCCACACCTTCCTACATCAGAGCGCGCAGCACCGTACGGAAACACGCGGAGAGCAACATTGCATGCCCGGGGCGGGCTCTTCCGGAACGGGGGCGGGCTCAAAGCCCTACTTCCGCTCCTCCAAGGCGTCCTACTGGACTGGGGGTCGGAGGAGGGGCCAGTTTGACAGACAGGAAGCGGAAGGGCGGGACTTGAAGGCGTAACCAATCGCCGCGGAAGACAGCCCGGCTGCGGCCCATTAAACGCGCGCGGAGGTGGCGTCTCCTTCCGGCCGGACTTGGGGGTAGCGGTTGGACCTTGAAGGACACCGACTGCGGGCTCTGGAACTTCTGCCCAGGTGGGTGTCGAGGGGAAGCCGAGACTCGGACCTCGATCCTCCGCTTGCAGGGCCCGACCTAGAGTCTCAGGAATCGGTTGAGATCCTCGCTTTGGAGGGCGCTCGAGCGGCTGCGAGTAGGAAAAAAATCGGCGGAAACTGGGGCCTGGGCGCGAGAGTCGATCCGGAGGGGCCGGGCAGCGGCGCACGAGGGGGCTCGCCGCCCCCCAGGGCTCTTGGGGACGTTTCCGAGGGGGAAAGAAGGCCCATGATGGAGAGCGCCTTTCCCCTCCACCCCCACGGCCCCCCCAAGGTCACCCAATGACGCGGTATCGGTCGGGGAAGCCGGGCCTCTGACCCCATCTCATCCCCGCGGTCTCCCGGTGGCCATTGGGTTCCCTTGGTCCGGTCCGGCCAGGCCTTCTGGGTCCCGGGGGGCGCGGGGGGCAGGGGAAGCCCAGCGAGAGGCCCGCGGGCTCCTCGGGACCTCGAGCCGCCCCGCCTGCCTTCGCCGCGGGGTCGCACCGGTGGCCGGCGGCGCCACCTGGTCGCTCTGGGTCGTGTCCCAGGCGCCCTTTGTCCAGGTTGAGGGGACAGAGCTCCTGGGCGCCTCCGTCCCGTGCTGCTGGTAGGGGTTCCCCGCTCGGTGCAAGCTGCGAGCGGACGCCTGGCCGCCGGCGCTGCTAGAAATTAACTCTGGTGTGGATACGAGTTCGTGGATTCGCTGCACACAAGTGCGCGTTCTCAGCTCAGTTGCTCCTGCAGCGGGCACTCGAATACGAGGGTCCCTGCCCGGTTTTCGCCCGGAAGCGGCGTCCAGTTTGCCGAAGGTCGCAGACCCGCGTTTCCAGCTGCGTCCCGGCGCCCCCTGGATCGTCTTCAGTACCCAAACAGTTCTCACGCCCTGCAGATCGAAATAGGCCTTCTCGAATGTACAAGTTTAAGGCCTTCCGTGTTGTGTAGAGGGAAGTGGGGTATTTGTTTGTTTGTTTGTTTAGGCAACATTGTTACAATAGTTGCCTTATTGATATATGAAGTTACTGCATCCCACAGCCGTTCTCTATTCCCCCAATCAGTGCCCTAATGAAAATAGAGGGAAATTTTAAGTCCCTTAATGAGATTTCAATTAGTGTCCTGCTTTAAGCTCAGCGTCTATATTTCAGATTGATGATTTAGTGTCTTGGGAATTTTTTTTTCTTTTTGGGTCACGCCCGGCGATGCACAGGGCTTACGCCTAGCTCATCTCATGCACTCAGAATTACTCTTGGCGGTGCTCGGGGGACCATATGGGATGCTGGGAATCGAACCCGGGTCGGCCGCATGCAAGGCACATGCCCTATCCGCTTTGCTATTACTCCTGCCCTGGGAATTTTTTAAATTTTTCTTTTAAAAAGAAATAAAATAGGGGCTGGAGCAATAGCACAGTGGGTAGGAATTTGCCTTACACTCGGCCAACCCAGGTTCGATTCCCAGCATCCCATATGGTCCCCCAAGCACTGCCAGGAGTGATTCCTGAGTGCATGAACCAGGAGTAACTCCTGTGCATCGCCAGGTGTGACTCCCAGAAAAAAGCAAAAATAAAAAATTTTTAAAAAAATAAAGATTAGTTTTAAAAAAATAAAAAGAAAATAGCATAGTTCCCAAAAATACGTACATATATGCTGTTCCTCTAGATGCCACATTTTCCTGGAGAATTTTGTGGCATATTGTGTAGCGGGGTTCTGTTGTTTGGCATAGTTAAGCCTTATCTACTTTGTAGGGTTTCTCTGAGAAACCTGCTTGGTGGTATTAGAAACAAAAGGTTCACAATGACAATGTACGGGAAACAAAATACCTTTAGTAAAATGAATTTGTGTGTGTGTGTGTGTGTGTGTGTGTGTGTGTGTGTGTATGTGTAAGCACCTTTATAATTTCTTGGAATTCTAGGCTGGACAAGGAAAGACCTGTGAGGGTACCCCAAGGAAGGGTGAAGTCCCAACGTTGTTCAAAGAATCTTTCTGTTTTTTGCTTTTGAACCACATATAGCCATGCTCAGGCCTTACTCTTGGTACTGGGAGGGGCTTGGGGAACAATTTGCCTTTCTGGGTCAAATCAGGGTCAGCTATGTACAAGACAAGTGCATTACCCCTGTACTCTCATCTCTCCAGTCCCACCCAAGAATCTCATAAATGTTCAAAATCTAGGTCATTTTCCCAAGTTTTCGCCTACAGCTCTATGCATATGGATGCTATAGAAATTCGATGGTGAACCGTGTACTCCCTCCCACCTAGGGGCAGTGGAGTCACCGTCCTGTTTCTCTGTTACATGTCCACTCCCCCCGTGGACAAGAATTCACAAGTGTTGGTCTGGTGACTTTCAGATGTACTTTGCTATTTTTTTTAGTTTAAAAGAAATTTGTCAGGGCTGGAACAATAGTACAGCAGGTAGGACATTTGCCTTACACGTAAGCAACTCAGGTTCAATTCCCAGCATCCCGTATGGTCCCCCGAGCACTGCTCGGAGAAATTCCTAAGTTCAGAGCTAGGAGTAACCCCTAAGCATCGCCAGGTATGACCCAAAAGGAAAAGAAGAAGAAACTTGCCTTTATAAAATACATAGGTCGTATAGATAAAGCCTCTCTCTGGACCAAGGAGTTAACAGAAAGGGCAGGTATGCAAAGGCTGAGCTTGGCACAACAGTTGCGCAGCGCCCCAAGGGTAACGCAGATAGTCCCCAGACTTGAGTATCAGAATCACCCCTGACTTTTTCCTTTTTCCTTTGACTGCTCTTATGGGGGCTCCAGCCCCAGAGGTCCTGAGGTTGGAGGGTGATGGTATTGGTGACTGAAATCAGGAGCTCAAGGTTGAAATTTGCCTGCTATTACTTGCTCACGTCTCTAGGCTGCCTAAGGGGCTTTTAAAAAGTTGCTGGGAGCTAGAGCGATAGTATAGCTGATAGGGCACGTCCTGCATGTGCCCTAATTGGGTTCGATCCCCAGCACCGCAAATGGTTTCCTGAACCCTTCCAGGAGAACGGTGGAGTGGATGACCCAGGTTACTGGGACCAGAGAGATAATACAGTGGGTAGGGCACTGGCCTTGCATGCAACTCATCAGGTTTGATCCCTGGCACCACATATACCCTGAACACCATCAAGTGTGGCCCCAAAACCTAACAACAGATTATTGGAGCCAGAGAAGTGACATGGTCCCAGAGCACCCTCAGGTAGTGGCTATGATTAAAATAGTGATTAGTAGCAAGTGATGTGATTCGGTGCTAGAGTACACATTTTGTATGCGTGTGTCCGTCCCTATGCTGCAAAAACAAATGGATTGCTGGGCCTCAAATTTCTGAAACATAAGTCTGAAATACAGCGTGAAGAATTTTGCGTTTCTAGTAGACTTCAGGGATACCCCTGGTGCCTGGACTAGGAGAGCGCAGACTTGGAGGACCAATCATTGATGTGTCCGCTTAAATTCAAAAAGAGGACATCTTAGATATTTCACATTTTATGGGACAACTTTTCATGCCAGTTCATAAAGGTGTATGCACATATCCCCACCAATGGAAGCCATTATTTTCAGAATCCTGTAGGTAGCATTCAGTGTCTTCAGCTTCTCACTTTCATAAACAGTATTTTAGCCACCATTGTTGAACCATGTAATATTTGGGGGTGGAGGCCACGCTCGGGCTATTCCTGCCTGTTGTGGCCTTGCTCAAGGGATTTGAACTGGGTAAACAGCATGCAAGGCAAGCCTCTAGTATTCTCTCCCAGTTTGCTATAATTTATTGGGGTGGGAGGCCCATACACAGTTATTCCTGGTGAGCTTGGGGACCATATGAAGTGCTGGAAATCAAACCTGGGTTGGCCACTTGCAAGGCAAGCACCCTACCCACTGTATTATTTCCCGCCCCTGTAAGAGTAAATTTCAAGAAACAGGTGAACCTGCAAGACAAAAGGATATACTCAGTTTGTTTTAATAATTGCAAAATTGCATTTTGGGGAAGTTGTACCAGTATGTATTCCAGGAAACTAAGGGATCACTTTCCACATTCTTACTGCCACTCCTTAATTTTTTTTCTGGGCCCTATCAAGTGAGGAGGGGAATCATGGCGGTGATAACGGCTGAATGGGGGTCAGTCACATGCATGGCAAGGGCCTTAGCCCCTAAACTGTATCTCCCCCTCCTCCTTAAAGTTTTCTCCTTGCCAGGGACTGAAGCAATAGTACAGCAGGTAGAGTGTTTGCCTTTCACGCAGCCTGTCCAGGTTTGATCTCCAGCATCCTTTATGGCCCCTGAGCACTACCAGGAGTTACCTCTGAATATCACAGGGTGTGACCCAAAAAGCCAAAAAAAATTTTTTTCTTATTCTTTTCTTCTTGCCAGTCTGATACTCAGATTTGGGCCGCATTGATCTTTTTGTGCTTTTATTTTTTTGCCTTCCATTTTTCCCTTCTTGGAGTTAAAATATTTGCCCATGTTTCTTTCAGAATTTATTGTTATTGTTAAGTGTTTACCTTTAAATCTTTACATTTAGAGGCAGTGGTAAGATAGTATAGCAGTTGAGGCACTTGCCTTGCATGTGACTAAGCCTGCCTAGAATAACCCCCAAGCACTTGCAGTGTGACCCAAACCCCCTTGCCCCTCAAACATAAAGAATTCAACTTTCCATCACCACCATTAGCTAGTATGGATAAATTCTCTAATAGTTGTGTCCTGCCCTTTTCTTGGATATAAGTATAGAAGGAAGAGGTTGAGATAGTACAGCTGTTTAGTTGGTGGTTACTCCTTAATTATCTCAAAGGTCTGGAGCGGTAGTACAGTGAGTAGGGCACTTGCCTTGCATGCGGCTGATCGGTGTTCAGTCGCTGGCACCCCATATGGTCTCTCAGCCCACCAGGAGTGATCCCTGACTACAGAGCCAGTAGTAAGCTCTGAGTACCTCTGGATATGGCTCAGAAACAAAACAAAGTATCGCAGATTTTTCCATTTTCGATTTCTAGGCCATATCTAGTAGTGCTCAGGGAACCATATGGGACGCAAAGGATCAAGCCTGAGTTGGCCACATGCAAGGCAAGCTCCCTCCTTGCTGTACTATCACTCTAGTCCCAAGTATCACAGGCTTAACTGGTCTTAAAACTGGGTGCATGTACATTCTATCATGATACATACGCTACCAATGGGGGGACAGCGTTGATCCAAAGATTATTGTGTTCTTTTCCTGTGCGGAGTGATTAGACTTCTGTAGTGTATGCTAACAGCCAGAGTAAAAGCCTTCAAAAAAAAACCTTGCTTTTTAGTTTTTGTTCTGTGCGACTCCTGGTGGTGCTCGGGGGACTGTAGATACAGTGCCGGGAATGTGGCTTGTAAGGCCAGCACCCTACTCACTCTACAATCTCTCCGGCTGTCATGATGGGTTTTTGAACTGAATGAATTTTCTTCTAGAATGTATCCACACCAACTCATTAATAGTTCCTTTATCTTTTTTTTTTTTTTTTAAGATTGCAGTCATGGCAGGTCCAGAAGCTGATGCCCAATTCCAGTTCACTGGTATTAAAAAATACTTCAACTCTTACACTCTGACAGGTAGAATGAATGTAAGTATTAATGCTGCCTCTAAGCAGGTCTGTATTATAGTTGTGGACAGAAACTCTTGTTTACCTCTGTCTCCCTTTTTCAGTGTGTGCTGGCCACGTATGGAGGAATCGCTCTGTTGGTTTTGTACTTCAAGCTGAAGCCTAAGAAAACCCCAGCTGTGAAGGCAACATAAAATGGTAAAGAGTCGACTTTTTAAATTTTTTTTTGGGGGGGGGGCACACCCAACGATGCTCAGGGGTTAGTCCTGGCTCTTCAGTCAGGAATTACTCCGGGCGGTGCTGGGAGACCATATGGGATGCTGGGGATCGAACCTGGGTTGGCCACGCAGGGCAAACGCTCTACCCACTGTGCTATTGCTCCAGCCTAAGAGTAGACATTTAAAAGTTTAAAACTTGACCATTTTTATATTGACCCATTACCATGATGATGTTAATGATTTGTTAGGGGACCTCCTTCTTTTTCCCTTGTGTACTTTATTTGGATTCCAGTGGTATGGGCATATTTGCGGTTATATCCCTTATTCTTTGAATGCATAAGTATTCATTGGAGATTTATTTTATAGAGGATGTCTTTATTAATTTTTAAAATATAAAGAACATTGTGCTTTTGAGCATGGAATATAATCTTAATCTATGACTTCTGTGATTTGAGGGCCAGGGGACACCTGGTGATACTTATGGGTTACTCCTGGCTTTGTGCTCAGATATTACTCCTGGTGGGCCCAGGGGGACCATGTGGGTTGCCAGGGATTTAACTCCACTGGCCCTGTGCAAAGCAAGTGCCCTACCCACTATGCTCTCTCTCCAGCCCTCTTCTGCAATTACTTTCTTAGACTAAAGTTTTCTCAGGGTTGTGGGGGGGTGCCCAACTTTGTAAGAGAGCATCGCTTTTGCCCCAGCCAACGTTGTGTGTGTGTGTGTGTGTGTGTGTGTGTGTGTGTGTACACATATACATATATTCCTCACTTAATGACTAAAAATAATTGGTTTTGAATTTTTTTGTTTAGAGGGGACAGAATTTTAGGGCCACAGCTGGCATACTCAGGATTTACGCCTGGCTCTACACTCAGGAGTGACTCCTGGCAGGCTTGGAGGATCATATGGGGTGCCAGGGATCAAACCCGGGTCGGCTGTATGCAAGGCCTGTACTATCACTTTGCTCTGGCCCCAAAACATTTTTTTCTTGTTTTTCTTATTTAATAATTAATTACTAGTATTAAAAGTATAGGATTATCAACCAACCTATGAAATCAGTTGTAAATACATCTTGGTATCTTGGTTTTTGCTTGGTTAGCTGCACACAGACACGCACCCTCCCCCCATCACCACCTCTGGTTCATTTGCCAGGCAGGCCAAGGAAGGGCTTGTTTGGCTTTGATTTGGGACCACACCTGGTGATGCCTGGGCCTTACTCCTGGCTCTGTGCTTAGGGATCACTTCGGCTGAGCTAGGGAAGACCATGTGGGATGCCAGGGATAGAACCTGGGTTGGCCATGTGCAACACAAACACCTTACCCACTATACTATCGCTTGGGCTCCCTCCCCCCCCCCCCCCCCATATTGGTGATAATAACCAGGTCTCGTATGCAGGCACATACTTTACCAGAGACATATCCTTGGCCCTAAAATCAAAGTTTTACACAAATAATATCTTTCAGCTCCCATTTCCTCAGGCTAGTGTCAATATATACCCGGTCTGTTGTCAGTACACTGACACGTATATAACAAAAGCCCAGATCGCACCTTATAAGTCCTTTGCAAATAGAGAAAAAAAAATTTTTTTTTTGATGCGATGCTCAGGGGTTAGTCCTGGCTCTGCACTCAGGAGTTACTCCTGGCAGTGCTCAGGGAACCATATGGAATGCTGGGAATCAAACCCGGGTTGGCCACGTGCAAGGCAAATGCCCTACCCGCTGTGCTATCTCTCCAGCCCCGAAAATTTTTGTTCTTAGGGGCCTGAATATCCCAGGATGCAGTAGCCCATGGCTTATATTCCATTTTGCCCCTCTTTTCATGGTAGTTACTTTTAGAAAAGTGGTAATAAAAATGGAGAAATTGTGCCTTAGAGATTAACAGTCTAGCTATTGTTTTAGCATTCGTCATATTACTTGACACATACTAGACTTGTTCAATAGCATAGTCATCAAATCATACTGAATTGTTAAAGGTGAAATGTTGGGTTAAACTGTATTGAACTGAATTGGAGAGGGGCCAGGGAGTAACTGATTCCATTGGGAATTTGATGAATCAGCATTCACTTTCTCTAGTAAAATCATTGAGTATCTTCAGAGTAGAACACATCTTTGGTTAAACTTGTTTTTTTCTTTGCTTATAGGATTTTAAACTGTACCTCATCTGTCCAGTTCTGATACCTGAAGAAGCTAATGACTCATCGTGATAATTTGTACAATAAATTATGAACCTGGAAAAGCTGGTTGTCTTTATTTACAAGATATCAAAAATATAAAAACTGTACAAAATGCAACAAAGGCAAAAAAAACTGGCAGTGACTTGGTCTAAATATTTTAGTTTCCCAAAGCAAGGCTCAGTATTGGAGGTAAGCAACTGAAATGTCTGTCTGACTTCAAGTGTACTAGGTTGTATGTAGGCGTTTGAGCTGAAGTAGAACATGAGAGCTGCTGTTTCTTCACCTGATTTAAAGAGGGAGTGGGGGTGAGGGGCAGTGAGTACAGCCTTCAATAGGCATCGGTTCAGATATCAGTGGATGGCTGTACCTCATCTAGTTGGGGAGGAGGGGTGATACACTCAGCGGTGCTCTAGCTTACTCCTGGCTCTGTTACTGGGCACCATATGGGGTGCTGGGAACCCAGGTAAGCCGTGTGCAAAGCAAGCACCTTGCCCACTGTACTCTCTCCAGCCCCCTCATCTAGTTCAAGTTTAGTTTACCCTAGCCAGGTATGTTCCACTAACCATGGGCCAAGGAAAAATGTTAGTGGATTATTTGACATACTACTTGAGTGTCATACAGAAACATTTTTACAGTAGAAACATACATGCTCATAGAATTCTTCAGCTAAAATTCAAGACAGTATATTACTCAATTTGAATCTTGAAGCAGGATGAATTACTGAAATCAGTTGAAATTTTTTCTAAACATAATAAATTAAAGTAGCATCTGAACAGAAAATGCATAGTTTCCACACAATCCAAAGCACCATTAATGTCCCCTCCACGAACATAATACCTCTTATTCAACTAATAGAAATTAGTTAAATGTGGTTGCTATAGAAACGTGGAATTGTCCTGATCAGATTTTCCAAGCAGCATACTTCCAGATCCATATAGACAAAACATTCTTTGTAGCTTAAATATTAATCACTGAGGTATTTGCTTTTAGTCTCCCTTTTTCAAACAGTAGCTTCCAAAAGGTCTTTAACACCGATGGTTTATTGTGGACTATAAGCTCCTGCAGCTAGAACCAAGTTTCTTCGAGTAAAATGGAGGTGTACAACTGGTGTTGATTTGGTCATATATGTCCCCAATAGTAATTCCTGTGAATTCTCAGGTAAATTTATATGCCCAGTGGCTGTAGTAAAATCATCAGTCTCTAAATCTTCAAATGCTTTGACGGCATCCCATAACCGGACTGTGTTATCCATTGAACCTAGGGTAAATCAAAGGAAAATATTTAGGAATGCCCAATACATTTAGATTCTGAAATTTAGCCCAGTATTTGGGTTTTTTTGTTTGGGGGCCACACCCTTCAGTGCTATGGAGACCATGCATACTGGGGGCTGAGTCCAGAGTTCTGCACGAAAAGCAAGACTAACCCTTCATGTTAGCTTCCTGCAACCCCACCCCATCCCCTGCTTTAGCCCTTAAAGCCACCTCCCTAACCCTTACCAAGTATATTTATGTAGCACTGTCCTGTTGTTCATCGATTTGCTCAAGTGGGCACCAGTAACGTCTCCATTGTGAGACTTGTTACTGTTATAAACGTACAACGGGGGAGCTTGCCAGGCTCTGCTGTACAGGCCAGATACTCGGTAGCTTGCTGGGCTCTCTGAGAGGGACAGAGGAGTCAAACCCGGGTTGGCCACATGCAAGGCAAATACCCTACCAGCTATGGTATTTTTCTAATTTCAAGTCTAAACTTGATTAACAACTCTGCATCTTTCTAAAGGAGTATTTCAACAGTTTAACCTGAAAAGTCATTATGCATGTAAAGTAACACTCTGGAATCCTATGGCTAATCCTTGGAAGTAAAACCTAAAAACAACAGGGACTTAGTTTTGCTACTGTCAGTACCCAGTGTTTCCTTTTAACATAGTATTTACCCCAAAGCCATGTAAGGAATTTTACCTGATGCCAAAATTTCGCCATCTCTACTAAACCTAAGTGAACAGACTGTATCAGTGTGGCCTTTTAATTCTCCAACCATCAAGCCATGTCCGATATCCCAAAGGAGTACTCTGCCATCTGTTGCTCCTGTAGCCAGGAATCTCCCATTGGGAGAAAACGTCAAGGAATGAATTGGTCCCTAGAAAAGGAATCCATGGGAAGAGTCAAAAGTTAAAACAGGGTTAAAAATAACTACAAAAATACAGAGGCTGGAGAGCTAGTTCAACAGGCTGTATGCATGCTTTGCATACAGGAGATCCAGGTTCAGTCCCTAGGACCACATACTTCCCTGAGCACTGCCATGCGTGGCCCAAGAACCAATAAAAATTAGTTCAGTTGGATCGCCCATACACAAAGCAGACACTTCAACCCTTTGAGCCATACCAAAACAGCATTTTAAAAATTTTCTTAGCACCAAATAAAGGGTGTTGGGAGGATCCTCCCAGGATGGGAGAAGCATGCTGAAAGTAGACTATAGACTGAACGTGATTGCCACCCATTGCCTCTTTTGCAAACCACAGCACCCAAAAAGAGAGAACAAAAGGGAATGCCCTGCCACAGAGGCAGGGCAGAATGGGGGAGGAGGAATGGGGAGGGAGGGATACTGGGATTCATGGTGGTGGAAAATGGGCACTGGTGGAGGGATGGGTACTCGATCATTGTATAACTGAAACCCAAGCACAAAAATTCGTAAGTCTACAACTGTACCTCATGGTGTTTCACTAATAAAAATTAAAAAAAAAATTTTTTCTCGGGTGGTGCCAGGAACAGGACCCAGGGCCTCACATGCAAAGCAACTGCTCTATTGCTGAGCCATATCCCCCGCCCAAAACAATTTCAAATTCCAGCGATACGAATAACATATGAAATGTATGTCACTGTCACTGTCCTCCCATTGTTCATCAATTTGCTCGAGCGGGCCCAGTAACGTCTCCATTGGAGACTTTGTTGTTACTGTGTTTGGCATATCGAATACATCACAGGTAGCTTGCCAGGCTCTGCCGTGCGGGTGAGATACTCTCGGTAGCTTGCCGGGCTCTCCGAGAGGGACGGAGGAATCGAATTCAGGTCGGCCATGTTGGCTGCGTGCAAGGCAAACGCCCTACCGCTGTGCTATTGCTCCAGCCCCATGAAATGTATGAGTGGTTAAATATTTTAAAATATTTTTCTTGTGCTAGTACAGCAGGGAGGGTGCTTGCCTTGCACATAGCTGACCCAGGATCAATCCCTGGCATCCCATATGGTCCCCCAGAGCAGTACCAGGAGTAATCCCTGGGCATAGCTGGGTGTGATCCAAACCCCCCCACACACCCCAAATTATTTTTCTTTCAAAAGTAATCTCATCTTCTGAAATGGCAAGTGGAAGATACCTTGTGTCCAGTGAAAATCCTTACACAGTTCCCATTCAGGACATCCCAGAGCCGCACAGTTCTGTCCGCAGACCCCGTGGCAACATAATTAGAATTCGGATGGAATCTGGTACAATTCACATCAGCAAGATGGCCAGCAAATATCCTTAAAGGCTGATAGTGGTCTGTAGCCCAAAGCCTTTTTTATAAGTTTTAAAAATAAAGATGATAAATTAGCTATGAAATGTCAAATTGAACCCAAAACAAATGTGAAATTATCTGTGAAAAGTTAGTCCCAATGGGTGCCACCTCAATTTACTAGAGGAAAGGAGGGGGAATCATTGAGACTAACATTCCTGGGCCGGGGCTATGTGGTATAAAAACAAAACACAGCTAGAAAGACAATAAAACAGGTAAGATGCTTGCCTTGCAGGTGGCTGACCCAGGTTCAATCCCCAGCATCTCATATCCAATCCCAAAGTCCTGCTAGGAGTGAGCACAGAGCCAAGAGTAAGCCCTCAGCACCACTGGCAATGGCCCCAAAACTCATTCCTCAAAAATTTGATGTCAAAAATTTCATCAACTCTTCAATTCTCTATATAAAGCCTCTATTCTCTTCCATCCCAAATATTAGTATGACTCACAGTAAATATGTTTCCCAAGTTTTGGCCATCCCAGAATTAATATTTTCTTAAGCTACTTCCTCTTGAACTTATGTTTTGGATCACACCCAGTGATGCTTCGGGGTTACTCCTGACACTGCACTCAGGAATTACTCCTAGGGGTGCACAGCAGGACTATAGGGGATGCTAGGAATTGAACCTAGGTCGGCCACGTACAAGGCAAGCATCCCACCTGTTGTACTATCTCTCCAGCCCCTCTGAACTTGAAAGGTCAAGAGAAAGAAACAAAGGCTCAACAATAGAGCACACCCTTTATGTGCATGAGGTGCTGGGTTTGATCCCTGGCACACATACACAAAGTGCTCACAATGGTACTGAAAAGGTTAAATATTTGATGGGATGGGAATGGGGAAATGTGCTTATTAGCTAGGAAGGGAGGGGAGAAAAATCAGGGCACATGAAACTCCATATAAGAGACTTAGTGCAAACATCAGAATCAAATTAATTTTCAGATCAAAAGCTATGAATGCTGACATTCTCAAAAGGTTGATTCTGAATAATAAAAGTGAAAATGACTTTGGCAGGAGCTTTTAATCTCCAACAAGAAACCATTCTGCACGTAAAATAAAATAAACAGACCCAGTCATAAGATCACAATGTTCTTACCGAGCTACTCGGTCATGGCCCCCTGATACAAAGTAATATCCATACGGAGAAAACTGCGTGTCCCACACAGGATAGTTGTGTCCTTTATAGCCCACCAAACACGTAAACGTCTGAAGACTCCACAATCTAACAGTTCCATCCTCTGAAGAGGAAAGCAGGTAGTTTCTGAGAGAAGAGAAGTTAATATGATTGGTCCCCAGGATAACTTCCAGGTACCTATTCAGTTTCTCCGTACACTTATCACTACTGAACACAGTGAAAGACATCTACATCTCACTTTTGACTTATAACGTGGAATTCACAGTGGATAAGCAAGAGCTGAAAATGCTAACCAGAGTAACTTACTCAAACAGGTTACACTATTAAAAAAAAAAGGTTCCCCCTCCCCCCGAAAACAATGCTGGCTGGAACAATAGTACAGCAAGCAAAGGCACTTATGTGGCTACCTGGGGTCAATCCTCAGCACCCTGAGCGCTTCCAAGAGTAATCCCTGAGCACTGCCAGCTGTGGCCCAAAAAAAAAAAACGGTTCTTAAACAAAAATTCACAGAGGTTAATGATGAAAAATGTCAAATATAACCAGTTGAGAAAAACTTAAAGATTCAGAGCCAAAGACATAGCCCCTGAGGATAAGCACATGCTTTGCATGTGGGAGGCTCAGTGTGCCCCTAAAACTCAACAACTTATGTCACTTAAAATTCAACCATTTACGTCACTTAAAGCTCAACAATTTGGAGGACAAGCAAAAAGGGCACTTGACCTGCAAGAGGCTAACCCAGGTTGCATCCCTGGCACCACATATAGTCACCCAAGCCCGCCAGGAGTGATCCCTGAGCACTGCCATGTGTGGTCCAAAAACAAACCAAAACCTCAACAATTTTGGGAGCCAGAGAGAGAGTACAGTGGGTAGGTTGCTTGCCAATGCACACAGCCAACCTGGGTTCAATCCTTGGCAGTCTATGTGGTCCCCTGAACCCTGCCAGGAGTAAACCCTGAGCACAGCTGAGAACAGGTGGCCACAAAACAAAAATTTTTTTAATAAAATAATAAAAGATAATAGAAAACATGAGATTCATTTTTTAAATAAAGGCAGATTTTTTTATTTGGAGGTTTTTAGAAAGGGGAAAGGAGGGAGAGAAAGTGAGAGAGAATAACGCACTCAAGAGAGAATGTGGGCTTCTCCATAGGCAGAGAGAGGCACTACACACATCCCAGCATGAGAGAGGAAAGCATGAAAGGACACATCTCAAGAGGGGAGATGCAGGCAACACATGTGCTCGGCCATGTGGGCACAAGCAGCACATGGGCTTGGGCAGCATATGCCCCAAACATGAGATTTTTATAGAAGCATTTTCCCAAAATTTTTGCATAATATTTTCAGTAGTTAACGCTTATCTAATTCCAACATAACACAGCAGCATTTTGAAGTTATTATATTATTTGTATTTTTACCTATCCGGACTGAAGCTGGCTCCATAGACAGGTCCACTGTGACCATACAAAATCTTCAACTCACTTGCTGTTTTTTCGTCCATAATTCTTTCTAAGACATCATCTGATTCTTTGTCTATGAGACTAAGATCTAAAATGGTCCAGAAACACTGATTTTAAAAACAATTTAAGGTAATTATCTCATGATTCAGGAGAGGAACACTTGAACAGCTCCATCTACACATCAACCACCATATTAATGTCTCTCTAACTTAGGCAATAATCATCCCTCTGTTAGGTGTGAAGGACAGAAAACTGAGATTCAGAACTGATAATAATCTGCTAGAGTGCACATAGCTACTCAGTGCTAGACAGTGCTGGAACTAGAACTGAGTATGTTACCAAATTAAAAACACTGAAACTGGTGAAAATGTGTCCTCTTGTATAAACCAACAACTCTCAGTCAGAGGGCCTATGGTCCCCAGGATATTCCAAGGATGGCCACAGCTAAGAACTGCAAAAATGCGAGATCAAGGCACTAAACTAGGAGTCAATCAGAAGGAAGAGTGGGAAAAGTCACAGGAAGGAAACATCAGAAAAGGGGGACAGCTGGAAAAAAAAGGTTGAGAACGACTGGTTTATACCTTTGGTCCACAGTTTAGCACCAACCAGTTCATTAGCATGAAACAAGGTCAAAAACTTCGGATCTACTTCAGATAACAGCAGCTATTAACTAACACACTTCAGATACAAAAGCTGAGAGTCATGGATTCAAACATACTTAAATATAGGTAACAAGAAATATTTAAACATTTAAATATAAACAGCAAAAAACTTTTCAAAAAATTACTTAAACAACATAGGCAGCAAGAAACTTTTAAAAATGAAATCCAAAACTTAGTTCTTTCTCCACCATTTACTTCTTTTTGTATCTTACAGGAATTTTAGTGGAACTTTGTGTTTGTATTTTAATTGAATCATTGTGAGAACATTACAAAGCTGTTCATGACTGGTTTCAGTCATACAATGCTCCAACACCCATCCATCTTCCACCAGTGTAGTTGCCCAGGACTAATATCTCCAATTTCCCTCCCCCCACCTCCGCACCGCCAACTTCCCCCTCCCAGCCTGAATTTATGCGCTCTCTCTCCCCTCTCTCTGTCTCTCTTTCCTACCTCTCTCTGCCTCCTCTTTCTCCCTCCCTCTCCCTCTCTCTCCCTCCTTCTCTTCTCTCCCCCCCCCTCCCTCCCTCTCCCCACCCTCTCATTTTGGACATTAAGGTTTGCAATACAGATAATGAAAGGTATATCCCTTTACCTTCTTTCACCACTCAATTCTTGTCCAGAGTGATCATTTCCAGCTACTGTTGTCATATGTGACCCTCCTCTATCTTAACGACCCTCTGCGCACCCTCAACACTTGTGGTAATTTCCAACTACTGACCAGTCCTCCTGGCCTGCTTTCTCTGGCCTTGGATATTAGTCTCATGCTATTATTTTTTGTATCTCACAAATGAATGGAGTCATTCAATATCTGTCCTTCCCTTTCTGACTCATTTCACTCAGCATGTATTCTCCCTGTCCATCCATTTATACGAAAATTTCATAACTTCATTATTTCTAATAGCTGTATAGTATTCCATTGTGTACATATACCGTAGTCCTCCATCATTTTTATGGGTAAAACAAAGTATTCTCAAATATTAACTTTAAAGGTTTTTGAAGGGGACAAAGAGATAACTCAAAGGACTAGTGTGAATGCCTTGCATGTAGGAGGCCTGAGTTCAATTCCCAGCACCACAAGACCCGACTACCACCAGGAATTGTCCCCAAGTATAACGCCAAGAGGAGCCCCTGAGCACTCCAAGATGTTGCCCAAAATAATAAACTTTAAACTCACTGTCCTCCCGTTGTTCATCGATTTTCTCAAGTGGGCCCAGTAACATCTCCATCGTGAGGCTTTGTTGTTACTGTGTTTGGCATATTGAATATGTCACGGGTAGCTTGCCAGGCTTTGCCGTGTAAGCAAGATACGGTACTCTCAGTAGCTTGCTGGGCTCTCCGAGAGGGATGGAGGAATCGAACTCGGGTCAGCCATATTGGCTGCGTGCAAGGTAAACACCCTACCTGCTGTGCTATTGCTCCTGCCCAAACTTTAAACATTTTCGAAAATTTACTTTTAAATAATCATAAAATGTTAGATTTTGATCTTTAGAGACTATCCTACTATCCTAGTCTAAATGTTCTACAGATAGAAAAGCTGAGACCCAGAAAAGTTATTATCCTTTCTAACTCCAATATTGTGATTTCTATTCCAATATACTTTTTACTGTTAGGAATATCAGCATGCTAAATTAACAGAAAATCCAGTGAAATCCTTTTAAAAATTGCAATACCATATATATATATATATATACACACACACATATATATATGTATGCCCTGGAGCGATAGCACAGCGGGTAGGGCGTCTGCCTTGCACGTAGCCAACATGGCCGACCCGAGTTTGATTCCTCCGCCCCTCTCGGAGAGCCCGGCAAGCTACCGAGAGTATTCGATATGCCAGACACAGTAACAACAAAGTCTCCAATGGAGACGTTACTGGGCCCGCTCGAGCAAATCGACAATCAACAGGAGGGCCTTTACCTTACCTTTACCTATACACACACACACATATATATATATATATAAAATTTCATGCACCCCAGACTGATATAAAGCACTAATAATAGATGCTCAGTTACCTGCTGCTTGTTTGACACTACGAAGCTTCTTGGGTGTCACAGACCACACTCGGACAGTTGAATCTGCAAAACCTCCAGCAATCAAACTAGAATCATCAGTGACATCTACTGCGGTAAGTCCCTGCCGATGTGGGGGGGAAATTTTTATTAACCAATACTGTTTTAGGAGAAAACGTCATCTGTTAGAATGCATAATGCTACCTATTTTTCTGAGATAAAAGAGTAGAGTTCACTGTTATGAAACCCAATGAAAGCACTGACTTTGAAAACATGTCATCTTTTAACCCTTTCTGCCCTCTAAATTCATTTAAAGCAAATGTTAGTCATTTTTGCACTTCACTAATACATTCTTGGCAACCTATTACAAAGACTCTATAAAGATATAAAATTCTTAAGTTTGGGTTGGGAATGTAAGTCAGGGGTAACGAGGATGCTCATATGTGACTCCTGGGTCTGATCTCTGGTAACCACAACAACACACAGAAAATATGTGAGGTCACACCCTCAGGCTGCAGTGCACTAAGTATTATATACTATGGCGGCGCCAAGGATTCCAAAGGCAGTGCCACAGGATTGCATCTGGCCTATGGGGCAATGCTGGGGCTAGAGCTCATGGCATCATGCCTGCATGGCAGGTGCCCTACTACTGAGTCACCCCAGGACCAATGACTTTTTAAATCAAGAACAATGAAAATGAACCACAGAGCCGAGAGAAACAGTGCAGTGGCTTAAAGCCTTTGGTCATGAGTTCAAATGCAGGGTCCCATTTGCAGAGAACACAGTCCTTGCAGCTCAGCTGTTGCAATCCCTGGCACTGTATGTGATTTCCAGCCTTGGCGCAAACAGGCTTATGTGAGCATTACAAAAAGGGGTGCTGGGGCTCGAGAGACAGTGCAAGGGCTTGCCTTGCACACAGCTGACCACTATTCGATCCCCAACACCCTGTGTGTCATCCCAGCACTGCCAGGAGAAATTTCTGAGTGCAGAGCCAGGAAATAAGCCCTGAGCACCAAAGGGCTGGTCCAAAAAAACAAAATAAGGGGAAGGAGTTGTTGGGGAGGTATTTGCAAGCCCCATCAAGCACCACAGATAAGAAGTGCAAGTTCACAGCCAGGAAGGATGTGTGTGAGCACCAGGTGAGCATCACACCTGTGACTGGTGTGACTCAACCCAGAATGTGAGCAACCAGCAAGCATGTGTGCAGGTGCCCTAACTAAAGGAACACGAACCTCACAGAACACCCATACACAAAACAACACAGCGAAGTGTGTATTCAAGCCCCATCACCACAACAATGATGAGAGTGGAAAGGGCAGGACAGAGGGGGAAAACTGAAAGGTGTGGGGCAGAAAGAAGATAAACTACACTCTCCTCTTCCTCAATAGCTAGGAGAATCCTCATTGGTGAAACGAGGGCCCAATAGGCAAGATCCTGGTACAGATGTGATGGTAAAGGTCTTTTACACACTGGTAATGGTCTGTCTGTTCTGAGCAATGTCCAATTCTCCTTCCCTTACTGCTCTATGATATGTGTCTATCAAGAGTTCGCAAAAGAAGATGCAGTTAATGCAACGTAGTTAATGCATTTAAGTTTCCCTTCCTAGTAAATATTATTTTACTTGACCCTCCAGGTAGGGACTGTCCCATCATTGCACGTACCTGGTAAGCATTGAGGAATGTATAAAAACAAATGGAGGGTAAACAGTCAGGCCCAAGGCGCACTCGTTTGGTAGTTTCTTTCATATTCATTATCTTATCCAACTTATCTGAATCTTTTAACTCTGGAAGAGGGATTCTGCAAAAGCACAAGATTGAAAATGACTCTCTGCACTGAATAAATGAATAAACCTGCCCTCTCTCTAACACAGCACCTCACACCTCCACACATCTTCCTGAGGTCTTCCTCCCCTCACCTGTTTTGAGGTGGAGCGTTGGGATCTTGTTTTTTACTTTTGGATCCAATACTATCTTTTTTGGGCTTCTTCTTTTTAGGTTTTCCTTCTTCATTTTCTCCTTCCTCATCCTCATCATCCAAAGGTACTTCAATTTCTGGCTCTTTTAATAAACCAAAAAATACCTACGAAAGAGCCAACATTTTTTCCAATTAATTTTTCATTGATATCTCCTTTTCTTATCTTGATAGAATGAATCACAATGACATTAATTTATACTCTGAAGCACATTCTGTCTTTCTCTACCCAACAGTCATTCTCCCCTCCTTCCTAACAGAATCCTGATATTACTGGAACAGTGATGTGCTCAGTTAAATCATTTCTGTTCTCGGGCTCACTTGAAGTTGGAACAGCCATATAAAATAATTCTGGTCAACAGATGTACATAAAAATGCACTCTGGACTGGATTTTATGGGGGAAAAAATAGTTTTCCAGGAAAAACAGAGATTTGGCAAGGACTCTTTTTCCTTCCCCCTTCTATCATCAAGGGATGCAGTGGCAATGCTGAGGCTGCAATAACCATCTAGGCACAAAGAAGAAAGCCACATTCTGGGTACAGTTCTGTTCTTGCGGTGCTGGGAATCAAACCCAGAGCCTCACAGATGCAAGGCAAGCACTCAACCAGAGTCATGACCCTGACCCCCAAAGATACATCTGAAGAAGGGAGAGCAGAAACTAGAAGGCAAGGTCACTGGTGGTAGTGGGTGGGCCCTCACGCCAGCCTAGCAGAGTCTTCTTTAGTTCATCTCATATGAGAAATCAAACTTACACGTTCCAGCTACCATAGTCAGGGTTCTGTTACAAGCAACCATTCTTAAATTCTCACCTATCAGACATCTTCGTTAGAACAGGAACCTTCGCATTTAGAGTCTAAATTCATTCCCAAACTAGCCATACACATATGAGACGCCACACTTGTCATCATCTGCATTATACAGTTCTTAGGATTCGTCCCATACCTTGGATTTGTTTGCCTCTCGTTTAGCCTCTCCTGCCAAACTTCCCACCATGGCATCGATCTGCTGCTTACTACGCGGCATCCCGTCAAAGATGTCGATGTAGAGGTGCTCCTGAACTATGTTCCAAATCTGATTGTTCTGTTTCTCCTGAAGGTGCCTCTTCAAGAGTTGGTACGAGTCACGGGAAATACGGAGAACAAATTTACTTGTTCGAAAATCCAACATGGTCTCATTCCCTTTCATGTGTTCCTTTTTGGTAAGACTAGATAATACTCGTAGGTCATCCTGGTAATAACATTCCTGATCTCCATGGAACCTGTTTCAGTGATTTTAAAAAGTCATTTTCAAAGTAATCATTCAGGGGTTGCCTCTCCCCCACATACTTTTAAACATTCCCAAATACTGAAACACAGCAGTCTAACAATCCAGGACTAAAGCTATAGGTTCAAAAGTAACTCATTCCACAATCATTACAGTATAGTAATTTATCCTAAATATGACCAATTTCATTCTTGAAGTGAAATACATCCCCAACCATCTTAAAGAGTCTAAAAAATACTAAGTCAATGAAAAATATTTATCATTGGTAAATAATCGCTTTTGAAAGCCATCACTGGCAAGCATTTGAAATGTTAGAATTTCTCCGTTACTAAATTTTATGTTCTCTCAAAATTCACTCTTAAAAATTACTTATAATGTATATTTTAAACATAAAAAAGCAAAAATTAAAATAATTAAGTCAATATACCTGTCACCCAGATTTACACAATAATCAATACCAGACATACTCATAAAAACCTATTGTTTTAATTTTAATTGTTTTGGGTTTTTTTTGTCACAACAAGCGATGCTCGGGGCTTACTCTTGGCTCTGGGCTCAGGGATCATTCCTGGAGATGCTCAGAGAACCATATGAGGTGCCAGCGAGAAAAGCCAGGTCAAGCTGCCATGTGGATGGCAAGTGTCCTACCTGCGATACTATTGCTCCAGTCACAAACTTGTCATTCTTAATGATTCCTTACATGCTTAACATCAGACATATTTATTAAACATAAGTGGCTTAGTTTTTCTAGAAAGTAAAAATAAAGTATTTATAAGCAATAAACTTAAAACATTTTATAACCAAATACAAGAGTAGGGGCTGGAGCAATAGCACAGCAGGTAGGGCATTTGCCTTGCACGCAGCCGACCCAGGTTCGATTCCCAGCATCCCATATGGTCCCCTGAGCACCGCCAGGAGTAATTCCTGAGTGCATGAGCCAGGAATAACCCCTGTGCATCACCGGGTGTGACCCCCCCCCCAAAAAAAAGGAGTAAAATTAAAGATCAAAATATTGGCAATCATCAAGAGCAGCAAACAATGCAAAATTATTTAGAAAGCAATGGCTATATATACGGTATTAGGCCTCTGCCTTTGAGAGTCAAAAAACTCCTAAACTGTTATCCTATTATGACTATGTTACCCTATTACGACTCTTAAAGATGTTACAAGATGTTAGCTAAGTGTTTCTGTACAAAAGTCCCATGAAATCAGAAATGTCAACCTCTTGGTGTTTGTTATCAGTCACTGACTTGAACCTCATCTTAGCAAGGGGGTCCACACAAAGACTAAGACTGTTCATTACAAGGGAACAGAGGTTTCTATTGATTTCCTGTTCTCTTAAGTAAAGAGATGGTTATGCCATGTAACTGGAAAAGAAACATTTTTTAAGACAACACCATTAAAAAATTAATCCAGAGTAATAGTTTGGCCACCACTAGCCTGTCTTAATTTTTTTCAATTTGCTTTATATATTTTTAGGCACTGTGTATAACGATTGAATATCAAAACACATAATCCAAAGGTTGTGAGTTCTCTTATTACTCTGGTACAATTACCTATGATATGTGACAAGCCTGGCTTCTGGGTCTACTTGAGCTACACAGCTCTCATCCAAACTATAAAATTCTGCCCCCTTCTTACATGCTGCTTTTCTCTGGCATCTGCTTTTATTGGTGGTTTTTTATTTATTTATTTATTTTTGTTTTTTTGCAAGATGCTCAGAGCATCTTGCAAAGCTGGGGCATGAACACACAAAGCATGTGCTCAACCTTCTGAGCACTCTCTTCAGCCCTTTCTTTGGCTTCTATAACTCAATTCTCCTGGCTTCTTCCTGCTTCTCTAGCTTCTCCTTTTATATATTTCTTACTTTGCCATTAAATGGTGGAATTCCCCAAGACTCAGGTTAACCCTTGAGATGTTCACCCGCGTATTTCATACTTCCACCAGGCAAACTCATCCATATCCACCGATTTTGCACACCACTCTAATTTATGGCTCTAGACCCTATCCAGAGTTCCAGACCCTCATCAACCTCTGAACTTGGCATCTCCTAAATGGGTCAGAGGTCTGTTCAAATCTGAACTCAAAAACATTCCAAAACGTAATCATCTAGATCTTCTTCCAGTCTTTCCTATTTCAGTTAAGGTAACACATATCCAGCTGGGGGAGCCAGAAACCTAAGGGTTATTTTGTTTGCTTGTTTGTTTGTTTTTGGACCACACCTTAACTCCTTAATCTGCACTCAGGGATCACTCCTAATGGGTTTAGGGGAATATATGTAATACCAGGGATTAAACCTGAGTTCATGCATGCAAGGCATGCACCCTACCTGCTCTTGCCCCTAAAGGTTATTTTATCAACGATACTTTCAACTCCCTCACTCCTTCACCAAGTGTACCACCAATATGTTCACTTTTCTTCAACAATACTACCACACATGTCCAGTGTTTCTCAACAGGAGAGTTACTGACATTTCAGACAAAAAATTTCTCTATTACCTATAAGATAGGTAAAGGGGTGGGAAGGGAAGGAAACTGGGGACATTGGTGGATGAATCTTATACTGTCTTATACTGGTTAAAGGGTGGGTGCTGGAACATTGTATGACTCTAACCCAATCATGAACAACTTTGTAACTGTGTATCTCACAGTGATTCTATTTAAAAAAAAAAAAATCTGGCAACCCAAAGTCACTAGTTCCTCCCCACCAATCTAGTATAAAAACACAAAACACTTTCACACATTTTAAATAACCCAGGAAAAGGAGGAATATTAACCCCTCACTGAGAACCACTGCTGTATATTCCAAAACTGGTCACTCTGTAGTCACTCAGTTCCCTCACCATCTATTTCACCCATTGTAATAAAGGTCCTTTCAAAATGCAAATATAATAGTAACTGATCCTTCAATGACTTCCATAGAAAATACCTCATTGCTCATAAGCATTCTTTTTTTTTCTTCTTCCACGTTAAAACTCTTAAATGTTAGCTGAGCATATAGACACCTCGGTAAAAAATATTTGCTACTTCCCTTAAAGGTAGATGTGGCCATTAATTAATGTTGTTAAAAAAAAAAAGTGAGGGACATAGCTAACAATTAGAGCACTTACCTTGCATGTGAGGTCCTGGAGTTCAACACCTAGCACAGGAAGGGAGGGAGGAAAAGAAAGTAGAAAGGGAGGGAAGAAGGGAGAAGAGCAACTTCCAGCAGAGATCATAGTCTCCCTGCTGACATTAACACTGATATGCATACTCAGAGCTGCAAAGTCATCCTGTGCCATAGGTGGGAGCTACATACAAGAATGGTAAAACATTAGAGTAACAAGGGTTCCTAGTAGATAAGGACTCAGGCCAGAGAGAGTAGAGCAGGTAGTATCCTTGCCTTTCATGCAGCAGACCCAGGTAAGATTTCCCAAATCTGCATGTGTTCAACCTTCTTAGTAATCACATGTGGTCTCGAACAATTCCAGGAGTGATTCCCATTCACAGAGCCAGGAGTAAGCCCTGAGCACCGTCAGGTATGGCCCAAACCCCTCAACCCACCTCAAGAAGAAGAGTCAAGGATACTACCTGTCCTGGACTGTATGAAAGAGAAAAATTGACTTTTACTGTCTATATATAAGATGCTATCGTTTTGTGTTTTCAATCACTCTCAGACTAATAGAATTCTAACATGACTTCCTACTACTCTCAAGATAAAAGCAAAAAGAAACTTTTATTTATGCAATTACTGCTTGAATATTCAGTGAGTCTCAGCCAATTCTAATCCTACCCAAGACTACCTCCCATTGCTTTTAGGATTAATAAGGACCTTCAATATACCCTAAGAACCTGACTATCCTAGCCCCTAGGCAAATGTCCAGTTTCACGTTATACTACGCCCACCTTTCTACTTAGCTCCAGCTACACTGACCTTTTTTCATTCATCTGACCTACCCTTCATCTGGCTTATTCATTCCCACCCCACCTGCAGATCTTACCTCAACCCTTACTTCCTCTGGGAACTTTCCCTGACTTCTCCACAAGACCAAACCTAGCATTTTTTGTCCTCACAGCACCAAGGATCTCTAGTTTGCAAAGTATCTTTTGAGTTGCAACTTACATTTTGGGGGTTACAGAGCATAAGGTATAGTAAGAATGCATACAATGTACATAAAAATTCACCTACTTCTCAAAGAATGATTTTGCTTCATTCTCATGTTGATTGTAGACTAGTTCCAAGTACATGTGTACAAATAGAGGATAGAAGAGTTGGGATAATTCTGCCCGATGGCAGTCCAAGGAACATTCAATGAAGTGCTTCAGTCCACTATAGTATTCTTCATACATTGTGGGGTCTCCTTGTTGGTTATAGGCTGATAGCACAGCACTGACATCGGGCTGGTCTTCCACAGCTACACTTCCAACTGTTTAAAAAATAAAAACAATTTTCAAGCAAATAACCTGACTGTGGTTGTTTAGCTAAGGTCAAGAGGTGAATTGTGGCCAGAGTAATACCACAGTAGGTAAGATGCTTGCCTTGCACATGGCCAATCCCGGTCCAATTCCCAGCCCTCTCGTATGGTGCTCTGAACCCGGCCAAAAGTGATCCATGAGTGCAGGGCCAGAAGCAAGCACTGAGCTCAACCAAATACGATCCAAAAACAAACCAAAAAAAGGGGGCTGGAAGACTATAGCAATAGTACAGTGGTTAGGGCATTTGCCTTGCATGCAGCTGACCCAGGTTCGATCTGAGGATCCCATCTGGTCCCCCGAGCACTGCCAGGAGTAATTCCTGAGTGCAGAGCCAGGAATAACCCCTATATATCACCAGGTGTAACCCAAAAAGCAAGAAAAAAAAAGGGGGGGGTGTTTCTCAGATACATGTCCTTTGTTTCACCATTACTACATCATATTTAAGGGGATTTTTCACTACTTTGGTCGCCCTCCCCAGAATCCTTCAGATTGTCCATTTCTTAAAATTTTCAACACGTTGGAGATGTAGCTCAGTTACAGAACATATGCCTCTCATTTGTCAGGCTCTGGGTTTGATCCCCAGCACCACTTGTTAAGAATTTTTTTTTCAAATAATCAAGATTCATTTATTTCCCTGGAACAAACTACCTTAACGATCAATTTTATAAAACATGGTATATGGAAAAAACCAACTGTATCAATCTTGTTTCAAGACTGGCTATAAATGGCAGCCACCACCAGCAACCCAGACCCTGAATAACAATACCAACTCTCAGAGCTACATAAGTACTTACAGCATACCTATTATACTTTCTAGTCTGTGTTACCTTCACACTATAAAAATAAGCATTTGTGGGGAGTGAGAATTGGATTTTGAGGCTACAACTTGTGGTGGTTAGGGGTTGCCCCTGGCAAAGCCCAGGGACTAACTGCTGCGAGGATCAAATCCGGGTTTCCCACAAGCACTGTGCCAACTCTAGCCCTTTGAGCTGTCTCCCGGGCCCCTGAAAAATGGAAGCATTTTAGAGGTGGAAAGGAAGATAGGGGCAGCTTATTTTTAATTCCAAAATAAGGGCTGGAGAAACAGTACAGCAAGTAAGGTACTTGCCTTGTAGACGTCCAACCCATATTCAATCCCCAGCACCATATTATGTCCCCAAGCACTGTCTGAGCTCAGAGCCAGGAGTAATCCTCAAGCACTGTTGGGTGTGGGTCCCTCCCCAAATTTCCAAAATACAGCAAAATTGTATGTGCTTAAAACAATGTCCATAATATTTCAAGGCATAAAACACAAGTATTTAAAGTATACTAATCCCAAATATGACACAACTATTAATCAGAGTTTGATGTTGGGACTGGGTATAGCTCAGGGGCCAGTGGCACATGACTTGCATGCTCAAGGCCCAGAATTTGTTCCCCAGCATAGCAGAACTCCTTAGTATTGCCAGGTGTGGTTCTGATGTTGCCTAAGAACCACCAGGATGGCTATGATGGCCCCAGACACTGTGGACCTAAACAAAGCCACATGGACAGGTCCTAGCATTGAAATATCTGGTCTGGTTGGCCGAGTATGGCCAGAAATGCTCCAGAGCCCACTCAGTGCTACTTTGTCAGATACCCCAAACCTCCCCACTCCCCCAAAAAATGAGTTTGATGTAAAGAAAAAAAATTACTTTTGGCTTTTGGACTACACCTGACTGTGCTCAGGGCTTACTCCTGGCTCTGCCACTCAGTGGTCACACCAAGCAGGCTCAGGGAGCCATATCGGGTGCCAGAAATCGAACCTAAGTTGGCCCAGATGTCAGAAAAATATTAACTGCATAATGAACAGTCATGTTCTTTGGTTCTCTGATGGCCTCTCTTCCTTCTAATTATGATCAAAAAATAGAGGTTGTTTATTTAAAAAAAAAAGTGAGGATAGCAAAACAACTGATAAATCTGACACAGTTCATTCACAAAATTCAATATTCAGAAGAGTCTTCCCAATCGCATCTCCACTCTTTTCCAGGTATGAGTTAACATACTTGTTCACTTTTGGCAGTGCTGTAAAGACTAGATCTCACGTGTAAGTGAACTTGGGCCAGAGGCTCTGCACTGGATAATTTAATCCAATGAACATGTATCATCGGCTGGAGATGACCTTTGAGATGTTATATTCTGTTCTGAGTTTTGCTACTTGAACTTTTTGACAACACTTGTCGAAAAAGGGGTGGGGGGGTAAGCAGACATAGTCCAGTGGGTAATGTGTTTGCTTTGCTGCACCCGGGTCGGGTCCGAGCCCCGGCATCCCATACGCTCCCCCCCAGGGCTGCCAGGAGTGATTCTTGAGTCCCGAGCCAGGAGTAAGCCCGGTGCACTGCTCAGTGTGGCCCAAAAACAAAACAGAAAAAGGAAAAAAAAAGGGAAAAAAAGTTAGAAAAAGGAGAGGTGGGGTGGTACTCAGGATACCAAGACATACGCTGATGCGTGCCAGACCTCCCGAGAACCCATCCAGAAGCAGAGAGAAGAATTTCAGCAGCCCGCAATAAAACTTTCCTCCCACCCATCCCTAGAGGGTTGTCAAACTCTCCCCGGCGCACCGCAGCAGCTGCCTGGGCGCCGTTCGTTTTCCCAAAAGCAAAAATCCAACCACTGAAAAAGCGAAGAAAAACCCGCGCGCGTCGCGTCCCCGGCCCGCAGCCTCGCCAGGGTGGTGGGCTTCGCTTGCCCGCCCCCTCCCGGGATGCCCGGGACCCCGCGGGTCTCGGGAGGCCGCGTGCGGTCGCCACCCCGCGCGCCCCGCCCGCGACTCCCGGGGCCCCGCGCGGACGCCCCGCTCGCGCGCTCGCCCGCCGGCGACTGACAGCTCGGCGGCGGCGGGTTTGACGGCGCAGCCGGCGCACGGGAGAAAGGGGCGGGCGGGCGGCCCGAGAGGCGGGCCCAGGAAATTCAAAACAAGCCCGCAGAGGCGCGGGCCCGCCAGCCCCTGCCTCCCCGGCCGCGCCGGGACCCCCGCGGCTCACCTCTGCCCGGAGCCGCGGCGCCCGCGGCGGGGCCCGACCCGGCGGGGGCTCCCGCGCCGCCCGCGGCCGGAGGCTCGGGCGCCGCCGCGCCGGGGACGGCGGCCGTGACCCGGCTGAGGAGCGCGCTGGCCGCCTCGGCGCTGGCGCCGTCCGCCTCTCCCGGGGCTCCGGAGCCCGCCGCCGCCGCCTCCTCCAGCAGCCGGGCCTCGCGCCGCAGCGCCTCTTCGGCTTCGCGGAGGTTGCTCTGCCGGAGGAACTGCAGCACGGCCAGCAGGGTCTGTCGGTCTTGCGGCGCGCCGGCGTCCGCCGCGGCCGCCGGCACCGGGGCCGCCCCCGCCGGAGCCGCGGCGGAGACAGCCACGGCGGGCTTGGGGGTCCCGCCATCCCCACCGGCCGACGAGGCCGCCGCCACGCTCCCGCCGCCGCCGCCGCCGTTCGGGCCGTGGTTGGCAGGGCCGCCGCCGCCCTCGCCGGCCCCGTCCCCCGCCTGTGGAGGGAGCAGCGTCGGCGGTGCCTCAGACTCTAACTTGACCGCCACCTCCGTCTGCTCCTCCGCCAGCGCCGCCATCTTGCGGCTGAGCCACCTCGCGCCGTCAAGCGGGCTCGCGTTTTCGCCACATGGAGGGCGGGGAGGGGCGTTTTGCGACGGCTCCGGGAGGCGGTTTACGGCAGTGGGCGGGGCGAGGAGGGAGTCGAGGCCTCGGAGGGAGACCAACTTTCAAACGAGTGACAGCAAGGCAGGAAGTGGGCGTGGCCACCGCCTCTTCCATGTGCCCGGGGATTGTCGTTTATTGCCGACCGGCTCTGTGCACGCTCTGTGATTCACATTTTACAGGATATGACCTTTGATTCAAGAACCTCAAAAAGTAGCTCGTTTCCTCACTTTACGTGGCTCGACTGAAACCCGAATTGGTCAAGTAACTTGCCAAAGTCAGACTAGAAAAAAGTGAAATTTCAAAATTGGAATCCAGGACTTTCTCTAAAGGCATATGTCATTTACCAGACTTCAGAGACACTGGTAATGTTTTCTGTTTTGCTTCCGGTAACGATTCCTGTTAGTGCTCTCTGTTCTTTTTCGTTTCCCTTTTTTTTTTTCTGAAATTTAATTGAGCTGCCTGTTTTGTCTATCTCAAAAAGTTTTTTGATATGCCCAGAAAACATGGCAGAATAAACTAGATCAGAGGGAAATATCCTTAAAGAAATAAAGAGCTAGTAGAGGGGTTAAGGCATTTGCCCTGTACGTAGCCAACCTGGGTTTATATCCAGCCACCACATACATCCTACTCCCCATGCCAGCCCAGACTTTGATCATCGCAGGGTGTTGCCCCTCGCCCCCCAAAAAAGAAGAAAAATATCTGCTTCAAGTTACAACCCAAAACAGTTAAGTATCTCACGCAGCTTACATCAGCTTGTCATCAGAGGAAGAAACCTCATCAAGCCTCTGATCAGTCGCACATCCTAACTTGGAGTGTATTATTTCTTTATAGGGCGTTTTCTCTTCCCTCTCTCCTTTCTAAATATTTACTTAAAAAATTCGGACCAGGGACTGGAGCAATAGCACAGTGGGTAGGGCGTTTGCCTTGCACGCAGCCGACCTAGGTTCGATTCCCAGCATCCCATATGGTCCCCCCAGCACCGCCAGGAGTAATTCCTGTGCATCGCCGGGTATGACCCAAAAAGCAAAAAAAAAAAAAAATTTGGACCAGAGCAATAGTATAGTGGATAGGGTGCTTGCCTTACAAATACCCAGAAATCAGTTCAAAATGACTAGTCTAAAACTTAATGATTAAAACTATCATACCTGTGGCCAGCGAGTCCAGCACTAGCTTTGCATGCAGCCAAACATGATACCCCATATAGTACCCCTAGCCTGCCAGGAGTGATCCCTGAGCAGAGACCAGGAGTAAGCCCTGAATTGAGCAATGTGGGTGTGGCCCAACAAGCAAACAACAACAAAAATAATTTGAAAATCAAAATGATTATACTGTTAGAAAAAAAAACAGAGGAAAAGTCTCCTGAATTTTGATTGGGCAATGATTTCCTAGATATAATATTCTCTTCCCGGGTAACAAAAGAAAAATAACCTCCACCAGGTGCAGCCCTCATGACCCCCATCCACTGCTCAAACCACCAGTCTCAAACCCCTGACAGGGTCCCAGCTCTGCTGGCCAGGAATGTCCCCTATTTTTAAAAAAGCAAGATGATAAGTTGTACTATTTCAGAATGGAACTTCTGTGCATCAAAGGACACATTCATAGAATGAAACGGCAACAAATAGAGTTAGAGACACTAATCCGTAAATCATAACTCTGATAAGATAATATCTAGAATGTATAAAACTCAAGAACAACAAAAACACCAAACACCATGATACAAGAGTGGGTCAAAGTACTTGAACAGACATTTCTCAAAAAAATATATACACATGGTTATAAAACAAATGAAAAATATTCCAACATTAGGTATTAAAAATGCACATTAGGGGCTGGAGCGATAGCACAGCGGGTAGGGTGTTTGCCTTGCACGCGGCCAACCCAGGTTCGATCCCCGGCATCTCATATGGTCCCACAGTACCTCCAGGAGAAATTCCTGAGTGAAGAACCAGGAGTAACCCCTCAGCATTGCTGGGTGTGACTGAAAAAGCAAAAAAAAAAAAAATGCACATTAAAACCACAATGAGATACCACCTCACCCCCATTAGGATGGCTACTTTTAACAAGAAGGGACATATCAATAGTACGTGTGTAAGGCACTTGCTTTGCATTCATCCAAGTCAGATTCCGTCCCTTGCATCCCATCCCCTCTGCTCTCCTGAGCACCACCAGGAGTAATTCCTGAGTACAAAACTTGGAGTAAACCATGAGCATTGCCAGTTGTGGTTCAAAAACCAAAAGCGATAGAAGGAAAGGGAGAGGAAGGGAGGATGGGAAATAGGAGGAAGAAGAGGAGGAGGAAGAGGAGAAAAAGAAAATAACTGTTATTGGCAAGGGTTTAAGGAAACTGGAACCCTGGTAAGGTTATGATAGAATGTGAAATGTTGACACTGCTATGCAAAGCAGTATAATGATTCATCAAAAAATTTAACATAGGAGTCTGGAGTGTTAGTATAGTGGGTGAGTGTTTGCCTTGCACACAGCCACTCTGGGTTCAATCCCCAACACCCCATATGGTACCCTAAGCAACACTGACTGTGGTCCCAAGACCAAAAATAAGTAAGTAAACAAACATTGAAGGCCAGAGAGATTGCTCAATACCAAGTGCATGGTTTCTATATGCAGGAAGCCCTGGGTTGACTCTTGGCACCACTCCTAAGCATCCATGGGAGTGATTCCTGAGTACGGAACCGGAAGTAGAACACTAGCACAGCCAGATATAACCCAAAACTCAAATGGACATAGAGGAGCAGGGGAGTTAGTTCAGAGCACTAGAGCACATGGCTGGCATGTACAAGGCCACAGCTCAATCCCCATCACTACATGCTGTCTCCCCAGAGCCACTGGGTCTGGCCCTGACACTGCCAGATCCACAGACTGAACCCTCAGATCTACATAACCAGAACCAAGAAGAAGAAAAATTTAAATATACAATTATCATACATTCCAACAATTCCACTTCTAGGTATATATTCAAAAGAATTTAAAGCAGGAACTAAGATCCTTTTATGTTCTTGTTCATAGCAGTGTTATTTACAAAATAGTAAAGGTAGAAAAAATTGGGATAAACAAAATAAATAGAAATATACAATGGACTATTACAGAGCATTAATAAAGGAGGAAATTCTGACAAATGTTTCAGCATGGCTAGATCTACAGTACATTACGCTGGGTGAAATAAGCCAGGCATTGCAGGCAAACAGGTAAGTACTGTATAGTCCCACCTATTTGTGGTACCCGGAGCAGGCACCCTTACAGAGAAAGAAAGTACAGTGGTGGTGTCAGGACCTGGGGGAATGATAAATGGCAAGTTAGTACTTAATGCGTATACAAGGACCATAGAGAGACAAGGGCCACGAGGATTGATTCACGGTTTGGAAGCCTGCCTCATGTCCTGGGGGAGAAGGCAGTTGGGATGGAGAAGGGATCATGAAGTCAATGATGACTAGAGGGATCACTCAGTATGGGATATGTGTGCTGAAAGTAGACTAAGGACCAAACATGATGGTCTCTCAGTATCTGTATTGCAAACCGTGATGCCCAAAAGCAGAGAGAGAGTAAGAAGGAAGGTGCCAGCCACAGAGGCAGGAGGTGGGATGAAATGGGGGTGGCAGGAGGGATACTGGGGGCATTGATGGTGGAAAATGCACACTGGTGGAGGGATGGGTGTTCAATTATTGTATGACAAACTCAATCACAAAAGCTTTATAACTGCATCTCACAGTGATTCAATTAAAAAATATATACTAAATGGGTATAGAGTTCCAGTCTGGGATGATGAAAAGATTTTGGGGCTTGGGTGGTAGTTGTGGCTCAGTGCATTACCTTGCATATCCAAGGCCTGCCCTACACTGCCAAAAGCCAGAATTGTGAAGGTTGATGGCAGTGATGGGTATACAACGATGAATGGAATCAATGCCACAGAACTATACACTTAAACAGGATTGAGATGGATTTTATGTTTTTGTTTGTTTGCTCTTCATTTTGGTGTTTGGGTCACACCCAGTGGTGCTCAGGGCATACTCCTAGTTCTGCATTCAGTGATCATTCCTGGCAGAATTAGGGGATCATATGTGATGCCGGGGATCAAACAGGGGATCCACTAGGTGCAAACAAGGCAAGCACCCTATCTACTGTACTATCATTCAGATCCTAAAATTTTTTTTTTAAAGGAGAAACAGAGAGGTAGTACAGGGTTTAAGATGCTTGCCTTGCAATGAGAATGACCCTGACTTGATCCCAGGCATTGCTAGGGATTACACTTGAGTATAGATCCAGGAATAGTGCTCCCCCCACCCCCACCGTGGGTACACTTTATATTTGGACTGTGTGTTCATTTCCTAAAGTGGGTGTAACAAAATATCAAGTTATTCATTTGCTAATTTATAGCAATCTGTATATTTCCAACATGTAATGATTGTGGGTTTTTTTTTTTCATAGTTTCCTGGCATCCTGTAACCCTATATAGGGAAGATAAAAGTATTTGTACATTTCTTTTTATGCTAGCTTTTGGACTGAGAGTTATGGACCTGATGGCACATTTTGGGACAGCAGGTCATGTTTTTCTAGACAGAAAAATAGAGGACCCCTTCTCTCTGGGTCCCATACCCAGCCAATTCCACTGCGGCCCCTCAGATGGAGCAGGTATGCCCTTTCAGCACACTGTAGCTGAAAATCCGATGGCCATGAGCTTCCAGAACCAAATGCAGGTACATGGGTTCAAGGACAAAGACTACAGACCACGTGGCAGCAGTTGAGACAGGCTGTCCCTTCCTGTCTCCCTGTCTGCTTGGGGTCCTGGATGTCACACCCACAATCTGTCACCACGCGCCATCTCAGCACATCAACGGTCCTGATCCAGAGACTTTCAAATGAATCTCAAAATGGATTAGCTCCCTCAGAGATGTCTCTGCACCCCAACCATTTATAATTTTAGAATTCCAGAAGTGCACAACCGCTTTCATGGCTGCACAATCTTGAATGGTGGTGGGAAAATTCAAAATAATGGTGGTGAGAAGGTGTAATGGTGGTGGTATTGGTGTCAAAATATTGAACGTAATCAATGAAAATAAGATTTAATAAAAGAAAAGAAAAAATAGGGGACCCTTAGTTTAGAGACATGAATAGAAACCTAAAGAATGGAACTTTGAAGATGAGACCTTGGGAACTTGTTTATTTTTTTTCTTTTCTTTTTTTTTTTTTGTTTTTTTGTTTTGCTTTTTGGGTCACACCCAGTGATGCTCAGGGGTTACTCCTGGCTCTTCACTCAGGATTTACTTCTGGCAGTGCTGGGGGACCATATGGAATGCCAGGGATCGAACCTGGGTCGGCCGCATGCAAGGCAAACGCCCTACCCACTGTGCTATCACTCCAGCCCCCTGTTTTTTGGTTTGAGGGCAACACCAGAAGGTGCCCAAGGTTTACTCCCGGCTTTGCACTCAGGGATCACTCCTGAAAATGCTCTGGGAGGATCATATGTGGTTCTGGGGATCAAAGGTAATGTGCAAGGTAAGCTCCTTACTGTTGTACTATCTGCAGCCTCCATTTGTGTGTATTTGCATTTTTACATATTTGCATTTACATATATTAACATTTACATACATATTTACATTTGGGGCTACACCTGGCAGTGCTCAGGGCTTACTCCTGACTCTGCACTCAGGGATCACTCCAGGCAGAACTTGGAGGACCACATGTGGTGATTGAACCCAGGTCAGCTGCATGCAAGACAAGCACCCTATCCATTGTGCTATCTTTCCAGCTCCTATTTGTGCATTTTTTTTACTGCCAATCATGCTGTAATTCTCAGACAGTTTTGAACAGGAAAAATAAAGGGAAAACAGTTATTTCTCTCTTTTTTTTTTCTCTTTTGGGTCACACCTGGCGATGCACAGGGGTTACTCCTGGCTCTGCACTCAGGAGTTACTCCTGGTGGTGCCCAAGGGACCATATGGATGCTGGGAATCGAACCTGGGTCGGCCGTGTGCAAGGCAAACGCCCTACCCACTGCGCTATCTTCCCAGTCCCAAACAGTTATTTCTCTTGTGTCAACACCTGTGTCACCAGATGTGTGGATTTCTTCTAATACTCACCAATTCTCTGAGCCCAGTTGAATACGCTACAATTCAGTTCTCTTCTTCTCTACCCACAGTGTCAGGGCTCAAAGATTAAGGGCTCAGTCCCACAAGGCTGCCCTCAGTGCAGATGCCAATCCAAAATCCAGATTACCTAGATTTTTAATTGATCAGTGATAAACCAGGGGGTCTTATGATCCCCTTCTTAGGTTCAATAATTCCAGAACAGCCCACAGAGCTCAGTGAAGCAGTTCCCTTATTAAGTTACTGGCTTATTATAGAAGCAGACAAATCAGGGACAGTCAGAGGGGAAAGCTGTCGAGAGCAAAGTTGAGGGCAGGAACATGGAGGCTCCAGGCCTGCCACCTACCTAGACCCATAGACTCACCTGGATGGAAATTCTTTGCATTTCTTCAGCTAGGATTCTCAATGGAGCCTTCGATTTATAGACACACTTGATAAAATCATTGTCTACTCATAATTAGCTCAACTTGATGCCTCCTCTCCTGAAGGTAAGAAGAGACTAAAAATTCCAGCTTTCTCATCTAGTGGGTTGATGATCCTCTTGGCAACATATCCATCCTTAGACCATCTGGAATCAGCAACAATTCCCTCATCTCACTAGCATACAAAAGGAAACTTTCTTTTCGAGTGTTGGTGGGTGGGGGAGATGTACAATCAGCGTGCACAGGGGCTATTTCTGGCTCAGTGCTTGGGAGCTGGTCCTAGCAGTGCTGGGGGGTGGGGGTTTCCATCCAGGTGAGTTGATGGGTCTAGGTGGGGGGGGGGTGGCCTGTGGTGGTGAGAATGTCCTGCCTGTAAAGCAACACTCTTCTATCAGTTTTCTCTCCATCTCCCAAAAACCTTATTTTTTTTTTCCTTTAGCTGCAAAAGTGCCAAGGGTTTTAAAATCTTATTCCAGGAACAAGACTAGGGCACAGAACAAATACTTATGAATGTCTTTGTGGTGGAGGTGGGGCTGCACTGGTGGTGCAGGTGGGCTAAGAAGGGGCATCAAAGCCAGAGCCTTGCACATTCAGGCTAACAGGAGTAAGTTCGCAGAATCCTCAGACGCCAGGCACTGGGCTTGGTATCTTTCCTATTCAGGGTCACGTCAGAAGTGTTTTTTCTCAAAATGTCATACAAGAGAGACATTTTTGGCCTATCTCTGCTTCAAGAATCTTGTTTGTACTTTATGATCTCAGTCTTTTATGGGCTGGGGGCAGGGAGAACAGGTCAGAGGGATAGAATATCCTGTAGAGTTTGCCAACGCAGTTTAAATTCTAGAGCTCAGTAATGAAGTTGAGAGCATGTAAATCATCAATCTTAGAAGAAAATACAAAGAATCTGAGGAGCTGGGGCTGCGTGGTCCATTGCTCCAGGTGTGCACTGCAAAATCATCAATCACTGACTTAAAAAAAATTTGAGAATATATGCCCGGGGATTGGCCAAGGATCAATCATGGTTTGAGGTTCCCTTGAAAACAGAAAGAAATAAGTAACCAGACCTGCTATTTTAACTCTGGAATACATAGAAAATGACTAATAGATTTTCCTAAGGATATTTTTGTTTTAACAATAGAACCAACTTTATTTTATACATGCAGCGCTGTTGCATCCTGCCCACCACAAAAACGTGCATGCAAACAAATATCCATTAGAAGAGATGGTTTATATGTGTATATTTTTTTATATTCCAGAATATTATCAGTCATAAAGGAAAAAAACTTGCAACAACATGGGTGGGTCTTGAAGAAATTATATTAAATGAAATTAATCAGACCAAGAAGGAGAAATGGCAGGTGGAATCTAAAATCAAAACCACTCATAGGGCCTGAAGCGATAGCACAGCGGGTAGGGCATTTGCCTTGCACGCAGCAGACCAGGTTCGATTCCTAGCATCCCATATGGTCTCCTGAAGGCTGCCAAGCATGAGCCAGGAGTAACCCCTGTGCATCACTGGGTGTGACCCCCCCAAAAAAGCAAAACAAAACCCAAAAAACAAAAAAACAAAACACTCATAGGTACAGAGAGCAGGAGAGAACGGGAGTCGGGGATGGGTTAAAGGGGTGAAGAGGAGCAAAAAGGTACTTACGAAACAAGTAAGTCTTGGAGATGTAGGGTACAGTCGGGGGATGTGGGCAAGAAGATAGCATGGAAAAGTTTAAAAAGTTGCTTAGACTTAATGGGATGTATCTTGTGATCTGCCCTTGTGTTAAAAACGTAAACCTGCAAAGGTAACATTGTATGTCATCTATACTTGAATGGCAAGAACATGTAAAGTGCTTCCTAAGTGCAAACAAAGGCCCTGAACAAAGACTTCCAACAGGCAGACGGAGTGAAGTTTCCCTGCCGCCTCCAGCGAGCCCCTCCCTTAGGTCCCGGGGTCGCTCAGTTAGCGCGGGGGTCCACCCCACCGCGGGTGCGAAGCCGCGAACTACATTTCCCGGCGGGCCGTGCAGGCCGGGCGCCTGCGCATTGGGAGGGAGGGTCGGGCCGGCCGAGCTCCCGCGCTACCCGGGCGCGCCGGGCGTCTCGTGCCGGGGAGGGGGGGTGGTGTCGGCGATGGCCACGGGCAACGGGGGCTCGGCGAGAGGCGGCGAGGGGGCGGCCGCCGCGGCCATGCCGCCCCCGCCCCCCGTGTCCCCTCCCGCCCTCACGCCGGCGCCGGCCGAGGGGGAGGAGGCCCCGCCGCGCCCGTCCGAGGCGGGGGCGCCCGGCTGCTCGGGCTCGCGGCCCCCCGAGCTGGAGCCCGAGCGCAGCCTGGGCCGGCTGCGGGGCCGCTTCGAGGACGACGACGAGGAGTTGGAGGAGGACGAGGAGCTGGAGGAGGAAGAGGAGGAGGAGGAGGAGGAGATGAGCCACTTCTCGCTGAGGCTGGAAGGGGGGCGGCCGGACTCCGAGGACGAGGAGGAGGTGCTGGGGGGCGGCGGGGACGCGCGGCCCGCGGGGACCCGTGGGGACCGGCGCTGCGACCCCGCCGCTTAGTTCCTGCCCGCGGGTGTAGGGAAACTTCCTGCGCATCTCCTGGGCGGTCCCGCCGCGGGCTCTGTACCACCCTCCCCGAGGCTCCCGCGTGCCGCCCCGCAGGAGCGCACTTGGGTGGGGAGGATGAAGGTTTCCCTCCCGGGGGAAACAGTCCCACCCAGCCGGTGCCTCTTGGAAGAGCGATCTGTGTTCTTTTCTTTTCTTTCCTTTCCTTTTTTCTTTTCTTTTCTTTCTCTGGTTTGGGCGGGGGGCGCGCGCGCACGCATCGGTGCCCATTCGGCTTGCTCCTGGCTCTATGCACCGGGGTCGCTCCTGGTGGGGCTCGCGGGGGGACCCCCCCCCCCCCAGGGCGTGATCTAGTAACTCCGGGTAGCCGCGTGCACGGCAGGCGTCCTGCCCGGCTGTGCTCATTTCTGCGTCTCGGCCGCCCCTAGTTTGTTCTTCTCTAACGTGGTGGCTTGTAACTTAGGTAAAGCGGGGCCGGAGCGATAGTAGAACGCGCGGGCCGTTGGTCCTGCACGCGGCTGACTCGGGTTCCATCTCCGACACTTCCTAGGCTTCCCCCCCCGCCCCCGCCCCAGATCCTGCCAGGAGGAAGCCCAGAGCACCGCCGGGTGTGGCTCCCCAAACCAAAATAAATAACGTACATCGCTTAGCCACAGTTGTCTTAACATCAACATTGGGAAAGTTTTCCGGGCTTTTTAATTTATAAAGATGCTTTTCATGTGGCAGTGTTGTTTGTTTGCTTGGAGGGCCACACCCGGCGATGCTCAGGGGTTATTCCTGGCACGGCACTCAAGAATCACTCCTGGCAGTGCTCAGGGGACCATTTGGGATGCGGAGGATCTAACCCCGCGTTGGGGCATGCGAGGAAAGTGCGCTACCCGCGGCAACCATCGCTTCCACCGCTTAGGCGCCCTGGCAATGTCTTTTTTTTTTTTTTTTCATTTTAAACGTAGTATTTGAAACTTTAGTTTACATTGTTATTTTTTTCTGTAACTTTCGAAACGTTAAAGGTACTATGTTTCTATGTTGCAAAGTACATTGCACTTCGTTATAATGCGAATTTGGGATTACAGGTTTAAAGAATTCAGGAGGACAAAGATTTGTTTTTTAAAGCTGTTTCCATTGCATTTCCAGCGTCTGATTAATCTCTCTGAGCTGACCCCGTACATCTTGTGTTCCATTTGCAAAGGTTACTTGATAGATGCGACCACCATTACAGAATGTCTTCATACCTGTAAGCATACTGCTCACATTTCTGCATTAACGTGACATTTTTTGAAATGTCTCACAGGCACCTAATTTGAACATTTGCTTTTTCAACAGTTTGTAAAAGCTGCATTGTAAGACATTTTTACTATAGCAACAGATGTCCAAAATGCAACATAGTAGTGCATCAGACTCAACCTCTTTATAACATAAGGTAAGAAAAAATATAAAAGTAAGATTTGTGTTTTATGTATTCTGCTTCTCTGAAAGTCTGAAGTTGAATAGCTGGGAATCAATTCTTGACCTATCTAAAAGAAGAGAACTGCTCTACATCCTGGAAGGAAATTCAGAGAGTACTTAACTAGGGTTCCAGAGTGATAGTACAGTAAGCAGTACTTTTGTAGTGCTTGCTTGTATGTGGACTTGTGTGTGAACTCCTGAGCACCTTCAGGGTTTTTTTTTTTTTTTTGAGTCACACCTGGCAATGCACAGGGGTTACTCCTGGCTCCTCTGCACTCAGGAATTACCCCTGGCGGTGCTCAGGGAACCATATGGGATGCTGGGAATCGATCCCAGGTGGGCTGGGTGCGAGGCAAATGCCTTACCCGCTGTGCTATTGCTCCGGCCCCTCCCCCCCCAGGTATAATTCTTGAATGCAGAAATCCCTGAGCTTCCTTGGGTGTGGCCCAAATGACCCCTCTCCCCACCCCCCCATAAAAGAGTACTTGCTGTGTACCAGGCACCATAATATTTGCTAGGAATTGAACAAAAGGAAAACGGTACAGTCTTCTTTTTCTGAGGATTTGAATTTCTCCACTCAAGTTAATGAAGCTGATTTAAGCTTGCCATTTTTTAGTATATTTAAAATTCTATTTTATTTTTTTGGTTTTGGGCCACACCCAGTTTTGCTCAGGACTTATTCCTGGCTCAGCATTCAAAGATCACTCCTGGTGGCTCAGTCTGCTATAGGGGGTGTTAGGGATCAAACTTTGGTCAGCTATATGCAAGGCAAGCCCCTAATCCATGTACTATCTCTTTGGCTCCTAAAACTTTATTTTCTGAAAGTAAGATCTAGGGACCACAGCAGTAGAACAACGGATGGGGCGTTTGTCTTGCACGTGGTCGACCCAGGTTCAATTCCTGGCATCCCATATGGTCCCCTGGCACTGCCAGGAGTGATACCTGAGCGCAGAGCCAGGAGTAACCTCAGAGCATTTCTGGATGTGTCCCAAAAAGCAAAAAATAAATAAAAGTTAGTTCTAAACTTATCTTTGAAATAGGTCATTGTGGCTTGGTAATCAGATTTACATTTCTTGTTTAGTTTCCTTCAGGAAGAAAAATGCCTAAAAGTGGATTGTTTTCATTCAACAAATACTGTTATTTTACTACCTTTATAGAAGGGTGCTTTGCAGTGGAAGTTTAACATGCAATCTCTGCTCTCAAGATCCTTTTTTTTTGTTTGTTTTCATTTGGGGCCTCTCTCAGTTCAGGGCTCGGGAGTTGTACCTGGCAGTGCTCAGAGGACCATTTGTGGTGCCAAACCCAGGCCTCCTGCATACAGAGATTGCTCTCAGCTGGGTTGAGCTGTCTTTCCTTCCTATCAAAGCTTGCCTTCTGGGGCCAGAGATATAGTACAGCAGGCTAGGTGCTTACCTTGCATGTGGCTGACCTGGGTTCGATCCCTGGTACCCCAGTCCCATCAGAACTGATTCCCTGAGCCAAAAATAAGTCATGATCTCTACCTTGTGTGGCCCAAAAGCAAAAACAAACAAACAAACAACCCTTTTAAGGATATAAAACCAGTAGACATGGAACAATTTGGTGAACTGCTCAAGAGTCTGATTAGTTATAATTATGAATACATATTATTACTTAGGGTTCTCAGGTGAATTGTATCTTTGTGGTGCTAACCAAAAGTAACTCATTTTAAATGAGTTTTTTTAAAGCAGTAGTACAGCTGGTAGAGTATTTGCCTTGCCGACCTGGGTTCACCCCCCCAACATCCCATGTGAGTCCATGCAGGGGTAATTCCTGAGAGCCAGGAGTAAACCCTGAGCATTGCCTGGTGTGGCCCCAAAACAAAGAAAAAAAAATCAAGAAAAGTAATTAATTTCTGAGAAAGGAGATTATTTGTTTTATGGAGAGGATCACTAAATCAAAATTCATTTTTCTGAATTCTGAGGTCTTTTTCTTCATTTCCTTTTATTAGGTTGGACCGGCAGTTACAAGACATAGTGTACAAATTAGTGATCAATCTAGAGGAAAGTAAGTTTCTTTTATTACTAGCTGTGAATTACTATCTGCTGATTCCACTAGTAACCTTTGAAGTGTAATTTAGTCTGTGTTTTATCATTTTTTTAGGAGAAAAAAAGCAAATGCATGATTTCTATAAAGAAAGAGGTCTAGAAGTACCTAAACCTGGTAAGTTTTGGTGTGTATAAATATATACATATATCTCATAATGTTTTTGTAGATTAAAGATACTAATTTAATAAGAATTTACTCCCTTTGAGTACTTTTTGGTTCTAGCTGGTTATTTAATGATCCTCTCCTCCCTCCCCCAAATAAAAAGGTTAATCCAATTTAATTGTAAGAATTAAAGGGTAGAGGTTCTGGAACTAGATTGATTTTGATCTTGCTCTGCCAGTGTACTAGTTGTACGACTCTAGCAAATTACTTTGAGCAATGCAAAGCACTTAAAACGTGTCTGGAACACAGGAACTGCTGAAGTAGTTTTTGTGCTGATGGTAATGTCGTAGTACAGAACTTAGATTTGAATTTTAATACCGGTTCTTCCTCTTTCTTTAAGCTAATTTCCTAATTGCACTCTAGTGTTATTTCAGATTTGTTGTTTTGGGGCCACACCCGGTGGTGCTGGGGCCATTCCCACAGCTACTGCTTGAGCATCAAAGTCACATTCTCTTCACTTCACTCTTTGAGCCACCTCCCTACCATATTTTTTTTTCCCTTAGCTTTTTTGGGTCATACCTGGCAATGCACAGGGGTCACCCCTGGCTCATGCACTCAGGAATTCCTCCCAGCGGTGCTTGGGGGACCATGTAGGATGCTGGGAATCGAACCCGGCCGTGCGCAAGGCAAACGCCCTACCTGTTGGGCTATCACTCCAGCCCCCTTATTTTGTTTTTTGGTTTGTTTGTTTTGGGGGTACAGTCGGCGGTGCTCAGAGGTTACTCCTGGCACTGCTCTCAGGAAACCTGAGTTGACCAGAATGCAAGTGCCCTGCCCACTGTACTATCTCTCGCAGCCTTATCTTGGTTTCTTTATAGTTAAAAAAAAGTAGCTCATATCATGGGATTCATTGGGGGGTCCCCCCAGCCCCCCCCCACGCACACCTGGCCATGTTCAGGGGCTACTTCTGGCCCTTGGATCAGGAGTCACTCCTTGTCGTGCTCAGGTGGACCATATGCAGTGCTGGGGATCAAACCTACCTGCCCCTCCATGCAAGGCGAGTGCTTTAACCCTTATTCTATCTCTCCAGCCCCTAGCATGAGATTTAAATGAGATGATGCACATAAAGTGCTCAGCATGAGTCTCTGGCTTATAGTTCTGGCTATTAAAAATTATTTACAACAATTGCTGCTGTTAAGAGAATCTCTGTGGACTGAGAAACCAGCCTCATACTCTGCCCTCCACTAGGAATGGTCCCCAGACTTACTGAATGGATTTCACTAACAGATTGAAGTTATTCAAAATTGAGTGCTTTGCAGTGTTTGTTGTTGTTGTTCTTGTTGCTGCGGTTTATTTTTGTTTGATATTGGGGTATACCTGGCGACTCCTGGCTCTGTGCTTGGCATCACGTCTCGGGCTGAACCCAGGCCAGCATGCTGTCAGCCCCTTGGTTCCCACCATACAGTCTTTTCAGTTGTCAACACAGTCATATAATATCATAGTCGTCTGAAATTTTTATTCTAACTCAATTTTTTTTTTTGGGGGGTGGGGGCTTGTTGCTATCGAATAGCTGTTCCACAGCCAGTTCCGTCAAGCAAAGGAAGATCTAAGAAAGTCTTGGAATCAGTGTTTCGGATTCCACCTGAACTTGATATGTCTTTATTACTAGAGTTTATTGGGTGAGTACCTTGACCATCTACATCTTCACCTTAATATTATAATTAATAATATATATAGTTGTTATAACATATAAATAAATACTTTATATAATAAAGTTCTTTCTAAAATGCATGAGACTTTAGAACAGGTCTGAAGATAAAATGACCACTTTCATCTTCATCATTTGGCGTAAGATATATTATCATGCTTTGGCTGGAGAGATGGTTCTGTGGGTAGGGCTCTTGTCTTACATGTGACTGATCCAAGTTCAGTCCAGTGGCAGTGATTCCCTGAGCGCAGACCCAGGAGTAAGCCCTGAGTACAGTCGGATGTGGCCCAAAAAACTAAAAAAAAAAAAAATTTAATTATGCTTCCCTCAGTACCACCACAAAAGAAATAAACCATGTTAACTAAGCTGACACCGTAGCTGACTCTTCCTGCTCACTCCCCTTTCCCTTAGACATTAATGATGAGTCTCCTAAAAGTGGTGATGACATTTCTATTATTAACATTTCCCATGTATATAATCCTAAGCAATGTGTAACTATTTTTTTTTATTTTTAATTTTTTTATGTCTCAGACATTTTAATGTTATACTGTTTTCCAACTTAGTTTTTCACTCAATATTACGGGTTTCATCCATCTTGATTTTGGGGTATTTTTGTTTGGTTTTGGTTTTGGCCAGACCTGGCGATACTCAGGTCTTACCCCTGGCTCTATTCTCAGGAATTGCTCCTGGAGGTGCTTGGGGGACCATATGGGATACCGGAGATCGAACCCACGTTGGCAGGTGTGCAAAACAAACGCCCTTCCCACTATACTATCATTCTGGCCCCTGGGTTTCATCCGTTTTGAATTTATAGCATTCATTCTCATCATTGATAGATATAATATATATCATATTAAAATTGCCTAAAATACCTTCTACTGAATATTTAGGTTTCTAATTTAAGTTTTATAAACTATCTCCTTGTATATACCTGAGATCATTCTCAAAGAACATAATATATGAGTCTTGGGGCTGGAATGATAGTCCAGTGAGGAAAGCATTTGCCTTGCACGTGGCCAACCTAGGTTCGATCCCCGGCATCGCGTATGAGCCCCTGAGCACTGCCTGGAGTAATTCCTGAGTGCAGAGCCACAAGTCACCCCTGAGCATCGCTGTGTGTGACTCCAGAAAAAAAAAAAGAAAAGAACATAAATATGAGTCTTAAGATATGTTTGTTTTGGGCCAGAGCAATAGTACAGCAGGTAGGGTGTTTGCCTTGCACGCAGCTGACCCAGGTTCGATCCCCAGCATCCCATATGGCCCCCCCAAGCACCACCAGGAGTAATTCCTGAGTCCAGAGCCAGGAGTAGCCCCTAAGTAGCCCCTGAGCATTGCTGGATGTGATCACCTCCCCCCCCCAAAAAAAAAAAAGATATTTGTCTTCAACAACTTCATTGAATTTTGCCCTATTTTTTTTTTCTTTTTGGGTCATATGCACAGGGGTTACTCCTGGCTCTGCACTCAGGAATTACCCCTGGCCGTGCTCAGGGGACCATATGGGATGCTGGGAATCGAACCCAGGTTGGCTGCGTGCAAGGCGAACGCCCTACCCGCTGTGCTATTGCTCCAGCCCCGAATTTTGCCATATTTTCTCGAGTAGTTGGGTGAATTTTCAAATTCATATAAACCCCTTCAAGCACTGGAGCGTATGGTGTATGTAAGTTATACTGCAGCATTAAGTAAGTTATCCTCAGTAGTCAGTGTTACACTATTTTTTGTTTGTTTGGAGGCCATGCTCTACAGTGTTTTTGGCCATTCTGCCCTAGGTATGGTGCTTGGGGTCACTCCCAGCCTAGTGCTCAGAAGACCATATGGTCTCCAGGCTTGAATCTGGGGTCCAGCATGACAAGCATGTGCTTAAGCCCTTAGAGTCATCTCTTCCGCTCTCAAACTCCCTTTTGGGTTTGGGGGCCATACCAAACACTGGTGGTGCTCAAGGGCTGCTTTTGGCTTCGTGCTTAGGAGTGACCCTGCGCGTTGCTGGGAGAACCATATATGGGATCTAGACCAATTCTATGATGGCAGCATTGCAAGACAAGCACCTTAACCCCGGTACTATCTCTGTTCCCTTCCTGGGAAAGTCCAGATTTTAGGTTTTATGTCACTGATCATTTTTCAGTTTGGTTTTGTTTTTTGGGCCACGCCCAGTATTGGTGCTGAGGGGCTATGCCCAGCACAGGTAGTGCTCACTGTCAGGGACCAATCCTAGTCCTCCCACATGCAATGCATAAACTCAGCCGTTTGAGCACTCTTTCTAGAAGCTGATGACTATTTTTCTTCTCAGTCATTTCCTCCTCCTGGCCTCTTCAATGCTCAAGCGGGCACCAGTAACATCTCCATTGTGAGACTTGTTGTTACTGTTTTTGGCATATCCAATACGCCACGGGGAGCTTGCCAGGCTCTGCCATGCGGGCGGGTTACTCTCGGCAGCTTGCCCGGCTCTCTGAGAGGGATGGAGGAATCAATCCGGGTTGGCTGCATGCAAGGCAAACACCCTACCTGCTGCTATCGCTCCAGCCCTTGTTCTAAGGTAATTTAAAAAAAAAAAAAGAGAGACTTGCAAAACAGGCCTTACTTTTACTTTTCATGATATTAGCACAGTGGGTAGGGCGTTTGCCTTGCATGCGGCCGATACAGCCGACCCGAGTTCGATTCCTCCACCCCTCTCGGAGAGCCCAGCAAGCTACCGAGAGTATCTCGCCCGCACGCAAAGTCTAGCAGGCTCCCCATGACATATTTGATATGCCAAACACAGTAACAAGTCTCACAATGTTACTGGGCCCGCTCGAGCAAATCAATGAACAATGGGAGGACAGTGACTGTTTGATTTTAATTTCTAATCAAAAGTTGAAATGTATATTTGTTAAAAAGCATTTTTGGGAGATGTAGCTTTTACCACCAGTGCACAGTAGGAACTAAGCATTTTCAGTAACATCTTGGAGAGTGCAGGAATCTATTGTGGACTTACTCTTGGCTCTGTGCTCAGAGATTTTGTCTGTTATAATGTGAAAATAGGGATGTTTATATACTTTCGTGTGTTTATTTTTTATATACTAAACTTTTTAGCACTTTTTTAATCCTTAATGGCTACAAAGTACTGAAATACAGGATGAAACTGCTATGCCTTACCAGTAGGTGGCAGAAATGTCAATTAGCTTTGTTTGTTTCCTGAAGGGTTAGGACCTTTTGTAAAATTAAATGGATGTTCCTTAAATATTTATATTGATGTTTTCTTTTGTTAAGTGATTAACCATATGAAGTATCTTATTAATTTTGCTCTCGTTTTTCAGTGCTAATGAAGGCACGGGACATTTCAAGGTATTTTAACTTTATATTTCTCATTCATATCACAAAAGGATTCTGTTGGACATGAGTTTGCCAGATTATTAATCACTTGGAAGTAGGCTTTAATATGATCATGTTTTTAATAAGTGAAAGTTGCTGAAATAGGAGATAAATTGATTCATATTCTTCTGTGACAGGTTTATAAAGAAAAGACCTAAGTAGAAATTTGTTAATAATTCAGGACAGTGGCCTAAGAAAAAAAATACATGTGATTTTTAAAAATTTTTATATGATGCCAGGGAACAAGCCCGGGGCCTGCTACATCTGAGACTTGTGCTCCATCCCTGAGCCAGTGAGATACTTGTTTTTTTGGGGTGGGGGTGGGGGTTAACCTGCCAGTTCTTAGAGGCTGCTCCTGACCCTGTGCTCAAGGATTGCTCCTGGCACTGCTTGGGGGACCATATGCAGTGTTAGAAACTGAACCAGGGCTGGTTGCGTGCAAGACAAGCATCCTAGCTCCTGTCCTGTCTTTCTGGCCCCCTCTTTTATGGGGAGTGGGGGGGTGGGATTGGGCCACACACAGGTATTAGGGGCTTTTCCCGGCTCTGTGCTTAGGAGTGACCCTGGCAGTGCATGGGGGACCATTTGTGGTGCCCAGGATTAGAACTGAGGTCAGTGGGGTACAAGACATATTTCAACCCCTGTGCTAACTCTCTGGCCCCATACATTTTTCATTTTCATTTGGATGGGGGGGGGGTCACTCAGCTGTACCCTGGGGCTGTTCCTGCTTTTGTACTTAGGCGTTGCATTGCTGCAGTGTTCAGGGTGCAGTGTCATGCCAGGGGTTGAATCAGGGTTCCAGGTATGGCTACATGCAAGGCACTGCCTTAACCCTGTGCTATCTCTTCAGTTTCTGTAACAATCTTGTACGTTTATCATTTTTTTTTTTTTTTTTGCTTTTTGGGTCACACCAGGCGTTGCACAGGGGTTACTCCTGGCTCTGCACTCAGGAATCACTCCTGGCAGTGCTCAGGGGACCATATGGGATGCTGGGAATTGAACCCGGGTCAGCCGCGTGCAAGGCAAACTCCCTGCCTGCTGTGCTATCGCTCCAGCCCCTATAATTTTCTTTTCTAAAGATTGATACAGAATCCAAATAAAGATCACACATTATAGGTAGATATTAGCTTTATAATTCTGTATATTTTTCCTTTTTTTTTCTTTTTTGCAGTTCATAAAATGGAATTGTTTATAGTTTCTTACAGATTGGGCTTAGCTGTTGCATCTTTAGTGTTATTTAACATGTCCTTTTTTTTACTTTTTTAATTGAATCACTGTAAGATAAACTCTTAGAAATATTGTTGTTTGTTTTGTTTCATTTTGGGGCAACACCCAGTGATATTCACTCCTGACTCTGTGCTCAAGGATCACTCCTGGCTGGTTCAGGGAACCATGTGTGAACCATGTGTGCCAGGGATCAAACCTGGCTTGACAACATGCAAGGCAAATGCCCTGCCATGTATACTACCACTCCGGCCCCAAATCTTGTTACTTGTGAGACTGGGATATGGACGCCAAGAATGACCATGTGAAAATCCAACCTTTGAGGAGCCGGAGTGATAGTGTAGCAGTAGCCGCCCTGGGTTCTGTCTCTGGCATCCCATATGGTCCCCAAGCATCACCAGGGGTGATTTTTGAACACAAAGCCAATAGTAACCCATGGGCACCACTGGGTGTGGCCCAAAAAGCCAACCAAACCAAACCAAACGATTCCTACCTTTGAAAGACAAGACCAGTTCTGTTCTTTTCTGCTTTATAGGCCATACCTGGAAGTGCTCGGGCTGGAGTGATAGCACAGTGGAAGGGCATTTCCCTTGTACGCAGCCGGCCCGGCCGACCCGGGTTTGATTCCTCCACCCCTCTCGGAGAGCCCGGCAAGCTACTGAGAGTATCTTGCCCGCCTGGCAAAGTTACCAGTGACATTTTCGAAATGCCAAACACAGTAACAACAAGTCTCACAATGGAGACGTTACTGGGTCTGCTCAAGCAAATAGATGAACAACGGGAGGACAGTCCTACAGTGCTACCCAGAACTGCTAGAGCTCACGCCCAGAGGTGTTGGGAGTTGGACTGGGGGCTCCCCCATGCAAAGCTCTTGCTCTGGCACTTTGTGTTGTCTTCGGATACAGGTTTCATTTCTTAATTCTGTTCTGTACGTTATTGAGTGCTAGCTAACTTGGATTAGCTTTTACAGAGATAGAGAGTTCCCAAGAATTTAGACAGTGGAGCTCTATAATGAGCATAAATAGAGCTTAGCCTGTATAAACCCTCTTGGTAGCCTTCCTGGGCTTCCTCGCCTGCTAATGCTAGACAAATATTCTTCTGGGTTTCCTAAAAGTTTCCCGTGTTCTTTGATACAGTTTTGGGGCCACACCTGGTGGGGTTCAGGGCTTATTCCCGGTCTCTGCCAAGGGATCACTCCTGGCAGCTCAGGGGAGCCTAAGCGGTACCAGGAACCAAACTCTGGTCAAGTCACATCCACTTTTCTGCTTAAAAAAGAAATCTCTTTATTATGGGCATTTTTCAGTTAATATGAAAATAGAATAGTAACACAAATTGCCATGTATACGTCACTCAGCTCCAGCAGCTACCAACTCATGGTCATGCTCTTCATCTGTATTTTAATATTTGTCCTCCCATTTAACTTTGAAGCATATCCCAGACTGTGTATAATTTTATCAATAAATTTATTTCTATAAAGATAGTAGCTTTTTATAGATGTAATAGTGAGGCTCGTATTTTAAAAATGAATGTAATTTACTAATCAAATATCTGTATATTTCTTAGTTTGCCTCATAGGTTTAAATCAGGATTCAGGGACCAGAGCAATAATAAAGTGATTAGGTACTTGCCTTGCACGCAGCTGACCCAAGTTTGATCCCTGGCGTCCCATGTGGTCCCCCAAGCCCGCCAGAAGTGATTTCTGAGTGCATACCCAGGAGTAAGCCCTGAGCACTGCTGGGTATGATCCCCAAACCCGAGCAAAACAGAATAAATTGGGATTCAGATGAGAAACATACATTGTAATTAAATAGATCTTACATTTATAGCCCTTTCGTGTTTTTCCATTTTTCAGTTGAAGAAAGTATTTTTAAAACACATTTTACCTTGGGTTTTCTCTCTCTCCCAGTGAACCTAATTCTAAGCTTTATGTTAAGCTTTATCATGTATTAAATCATTAAGACTATAGGGATATTAAAATATCTTTTCTATAGGATTTGCCTTAAGCTTTATGCATTATATATACATTTTTTTAACCTAAAATTGGTTTTCTCTCTCTCTCTTTTTTTATTTTTTTTTGTAGCCATTGGAAAAGAAGTTTGTCCGAGTTTCAGGAGAAGCAACTATCGGGCATGTAGAAAAATTCCTCAGAAGGAAAATGGGTCTTGATCCAGCTTGTCAGGTAGTGACATTCATATGAAAGAATAAGCAATGCTGTCAGAAATTACCTTTAGCACATTGAAGTGTCATCTCTAGAATTTAAGCTGGCCAGAGAGAGTCCAGTAGTTAGAGGAACTTGCCTTGCATGTATCCAGCCTGGATTTGGTCCCGGCAGCACATAGAGTCAGTCCCTGTGGACCACCAGGAGGGGTTCCTGAGCAGAGTCGGGGTAAGCCCTGAGCACATCCAGGTGTGGGTTATGGACCTACCCTGCCCTTCACCATGTCATCCACCAAAAAAGACCCCAAATATAATTTCAGGCAATGCCTTCAGTTTTATAATATTAGTAGACAGTATAAATGCTAATTGAATATTGTACAGGGTGATTCCCACCCCAACTTTAATAATATTTGATGTACTGTATCGTGCTGGTGTGATAGTATGTGGGCAGGGCGTTTGCCTTGCACTCGGCTGACCTGCATGCAGTCCCTGGTGTCCCTTATGGTCCCCTAAGCACACCAGGTGTGGCCCAGTAACAGAGGCAGGGGGAGGGGAAGTGAGGGAGAGGCTGAGGGTATGAGCTCTAAGGGTTTTGTGTTATGGGACTCTCCGGCAGTGCTCGGTGAGTAAGGGAAAGCTTCTGGAGCCGGCTCAGGGGTAGGGGCACAAGCCTTGCATGTAAGGAACCTCAAACAGATGCCTGGAATTCCATGCCGTGCCCCCTTCAGCAGTGCTGGGTGCAGACCTGGTGACCCCAAGTACTGCTGGGCCCAAGTACCACCTTGGCTGAATCCCAAGCATTAAATGGTCCAGTCCTTTTGGCAAAGTATTGGCCAAAAGGACTGGCCCCTGGATCCCCAAGCAGTGTTTGAGGGGCTCCCCCAAAAAACAAATAAATCATTATAATACCCCTTTATTAATTTTATTATATGCTCGTTTTTTGAATGTACTTTCTGGGCACCTGGAGAGATAGTACAGGGCTTAAGGCACTTGTCTTGCATAAAGCAAACTCCTCTTGGATCCGCGGAACCCCAGCTGGTCCCTGAGGACCTCCAAGAGTAACCCCTGAACACAGAGCGAGGAGTAAGCCTGAGCACTGAGAGTTGTGCCCCAACACCCGCCAAAGCAAACGTACTTTCCCAGGGAGTAGTCCGCTAGCAGCACCGGGTATGGTCCATAAACCAATGAACAGACAAAAAATGTACTTCCCTATGCCTTGCCTTTTTATGTGGTATATGTTAAATGTAATTTTACTTGTTTGTAAAATCTTTCTTACTTAATATGCAAATAGGATAGACAAATCCACTGTGGAAAGAGTTGGAGTGATTTTTCTTTCCCCTCACCCCCACCCTACCCCCTGGGGGCCACACCTGGCAGTGCTCCTGGTTCTGAGACCACAGGGGATTAAGACAGGGATTAAACCTGGGTTGGCTGGATTGCAAGCCCCGTTGCCCAGCTCCCTAGTTTTCCCTAAGCTTTTCCTAGGACTTTCTGAAGCAGGAAAGCAATCTGATGCGCTCATTCCCCCAGGTTGATATCATCTGCGGTGATCACTTGCTGGAGCGGTTTCAGACTCTCAGGGAAATTCGGCGCGCCATTGGTGATGCAGCAATGCAGGTGCGTTTGGCTTTCTTAGGCCTGTGTTCCTTTTTTTTTTTTTTTTTTTTTGCTTTTCGGTCACACCCGGCAATGCTCAGGGGTTACTCCTGGCTTTGCACTCAGGAATCACTCCTGGCGGTGCTCAGTGGACCATATGGGATGCTGGGAATCGAACCTGGGTCATTCGCGTGCAAGGCAAACACCCTACCCGCTGTACTATCGCTCCAGCCCAGGCCTGTGTTCCTTAATGAGGCAAAAGGGTTTCTGAGGTTGGAAAGGCAGTACAGGGGTTCAGGGGCATGCTTTGCATGCAACTGACCCCAGTTGGATCTTTGCAACTCATGGCCCCCTGAATAATCTCTGGGTACAGGCCTGGAGGCATCAAGTACCACTGGAGGGGCGCTGGGTTTCCTGAGCACCAGTTGGGAGTGCTCACCCCCTAATAAAAAGAGTTTTGTATTGCCTATAAATAGTAACGAGAAGTAAAATTTGTTGAATTCTTACTGCTTGTCAGACACTGTTCTAAATGGTCTGAATGATTAGTACTTTGATTGCTTATAACATATAAGACAGGTATTATTTGCCATTTTAAAGAAAAGGAAACCAAGATTTATATAATTTGCTCAGTGTGAGTTAGTGGACGAGCCTGGGTTCAGACCCTAGGCAATCTGATTGTAAAGGCCTTGTCCTTTTTCTCGAATGGCGCAGTAGCATTTTGAGATTGATTTGGCAAATATATCTATGAGGACATTTCGTTTCTCTCTCTCTTTTGGCCAGGGGGAGGGGTGGAGGGGGGTGGGCGTGGGGTGCACACCTGACAGGGCTCAGCAGCTACTCCTGGCTCTGCTCAGGAGTCGCTCCTGGTGGTGCTTGGGGATCATATGGGATGCCAGGGGTCAAACCCAGGTCGACTGCACATGAGCACCCTCCCCACCATACTATCGCTCTGGCCCCTTCATTTCTCATTTTTGTGGTGCCAGGGGCTGACTCCAGGCCTTATACGTATGAGGCATGTGCTCTCTCTGTGGTTAAGCTGCTTTGTAGAAGCTTTTCTTATTAATTTATTTTTCGTTTGGGGTCCATCCCCAACAGTGATACGGGATCTACTTGGGGACCTATATAGGGTGCCAGGGGTCAAACTTGCTTCAGCCACATGCGAGGCAAGTGCCTTACCAGATGTATTCCGATGTATTATCTCTGTAGCCCCAAAGCATTATTTTCATTTGTTTGGTTTTGGGACTACAATCAGTGTACTCAAGGCTTACTCCTGGCTCTGTGCTCAGGGATCACTCCTGTTGGGACTCAGGAGACCAAATGTGGTGATGGGGTTTAAATCTGGGTTGGGTGCATTCAAAGCAAGCACCTTATCAAGTGTCTTGCTTTACTTATTTTTTTTGTGGAGGAGAGGGTTCTCCAGGTCATGTTCAGAGGGCATGCAGCAGGGCTCCTGCATGCTTTGCATATGCTTCAGCCCTTTGAGCTACCTCCGTGATGCTCAAGGGGAAACCTTGAAGCCCAGAGGAATAATATACAGACTTAGAGCACCTGCATAGCACAAGCTAAAATCCCTGGTCTCTCACATGCACCGAGCAAGATCTTCGTTCTCTTGTCAGAGCTGGCACTCTGCTCCATGCAGTCCCTGGCACCACTGGGTATTTCTGCCTGCACCACAGCAGGATATATGTGGACACCACAGAAAGGGGGTGGGACCCCCAGAGAACTCCACAACTAAAAGCCTGTGCGCTTATAGCAGGAAGTGCAACCTCTGCTATCAAGTCAAACCCAAGAAATCAGACAGATCAGAAAGACTCAGGAGTATGTGAAGTCATTTTGTCGGGTTACGTTACCCTCCATACTGAGGACATGGCAGAGTTTTGGCTCTTCGATTGTTTTCGTGTTTGAGTCACACCCGGCAATGCTCAATGACCACTCCTGGCGCTGCGCTCAGGAGGCCATGTGGGATGCTGGGGATTGAACTTAAGTCAGCCACATGTAAGACAAAAGCTTCTTAATATTGACTCTGGGTAGCAAAAAAGAGTTTGATTGTATTGAACAATCTTAACGAAGTAAGATTATGGTGCATTTTAGACTGTCATTAAAAAGTGTCCCAAGATTGTCTTAAAACCTTAGTGAGGGGGCTAGAGAAATAAGAGTGGAGTTCAATGCTTGCCTTGCCTGTGGCCAACCCTGGTTTAATCCCAGCACCACCCTCAGTGACTCTTGAGCACTGCTGGGTGTTAACCAATCCTCTGACCCACCCTTCAGAAAATAGAGACCTTTAGGGAGGAGGCAGGGATGTGGTTCAATTGTTACGCATATTCCTTGCAAGATTTGGTTCCGGTTTGGCTCCAACCCTACATGGCCTTCTGAATACCACGATGAGTGACCCGTGGACAGCAACACCCAGAAGAATAGCATGAGGGAGCCAGGAGATAGAATGATTTTTTTTTTTTTGCTTTTTTTTGAGGGTCACACCCGACAATGCTCAGGGGTTACTCCTGGTTCATGCACTCAGGAACTACTCCTGGCCATGCTCAGGGGACCATATGGGATGCTGGGGATCGAACCCCGGGTCGGGCGGCGTGCAAGGCAAACAGCCTACCCGCTGTGCTATCACTCCAGCCCCTAGAATGACTTTTAAATAAAAAAGAAATCTCTCATCAATTTTGGATTAGGAAAAATGAACCAGCTTTGGCTTGGTTATTTATAGAACTGACTTTGAATAATTGCATCTGTGTACCTTTTCAGGACGGCCTCCTGGTTCTTCATTATGGGCTTGTGGTTTCTCCTCTGAAAATTACTTGAAGAAAATTACTTGAAGATTCTAAGAGTATGAGGCAGGGAACAAAATAAGGCAACTTTCGCAGGATTGCACGTCACCAAAGAACTCCATGAAACATGTAATGGCTACCACTTAGTGCTGTACAAGACAAACAGGATCATCCTCAGCGCCAAGAATTAGAGCATTTAAAAATGCAACTTGGAATGATGAAATGCATCTGACTTTAACTAGAGACTGTATATTAAAAACATTCTTAGCTCAGGGGAAGTTTTCAAAGCATTGAATTTTTAATTCCTTATGATTTCAAACACTTTGACACTGATTTTGCTTCCTGATCTTTGAAGCAAATTGGTTACTGTGCTTTGAGCCAAGGCCCTTTCGAGTTAGGGTTCTGCTCTCTAATCCCGCACTTGGGAAGTTATTCTTTTGGGAAAGAAGGTTGCTTTTGAACTGAATATTCTGAGCCAGTCTTGGTTAAACTACAGAGTGTATCTCCCAGAGACCATGACTTAGGGCTACTTTTATATGTTGCCATCATATTTTAAACCTGTATGTCTGTTCTTTTTAGATTCCAACAACACTACTGAAGAAATTTTACTCACTTGTAAACAGAATGAATGATCATTCTGTCTCTCTAGCCTTCAGCTTCAGAATGACTTCTCTAACATCTCTTACAAAACAGGGGTGCTCTTCAGAAAATTTATTTTGTCCTTTGAATGTTAATTTGATTATCATTCATCCTATTCGCATACATACAATGATTACCTTGTAATGACACTGCTTCTGAAAGTAATTTTTAAGATACTGAATGAATTTGAGAAGTTTACCTAATACCTATTCATGGTTTCTTCAATAAGAAATTTAATGTTCATTTTCCCAGTACTTTGTCGGAGAGATAAAAATTCTGGATGGAGACTGGGACTAGAGCTCAGTTGCCCTGTGTGTGTCGGGGGCCTGAGACTCGGGATTCAGTCCCTGGCATCTCACACACACAGATTCGAGTGATTAAGTATTTACATGCATGCAAAGGCTTCAGTTTTAAACATTGTTTTGCCTTCAGTTAGCATTGTGTTGCTTTCAAAAATGAAATCCATTGTTGACCCTATGTTGCTGCAAAATTTCTAAGTCTGCATAGAAAGAATCACAATTAGACAAGGATTGACAGTTGTTAAAAAATTTGTGAATTATATATAAATCTCTTAACATTTAATGAAATTTTAAAATAAAAGTTTATTTTAACCTACATTTAAATGTTTGTGTTTATTGTGAGCTTATATAAAAAAAGTAACCAAAATGGAGCAAAGTATCTGAATCAAAGTTAATGTTTGTCATCAGTTGTTTCTGATTTTTTTTTTTTCAGGACACATCATTGCACAGGGTTTACTCCTGACTCTGTGTTCCAGGATTACTCCTGGCAATGCTTGGGGAACTATATGAAATGCTGGATATTAAGCTTCTCTCAGACACCTACAAGGCGAGCACGCCCTACCCACTGTACTATCACTCTGGACCCTTATAATGTGTTTCACACAACTTAATATTGTTGACATGTGGTCAGGGGACCCCAAGACTATCCCCAGATTTAAGTATTCACTGGGAGGATCATGGAACCCAGAAGAGCTATACACTTATAGTGTATTACTATAAAAGGATACTAGTCAAAATCAGCAAAAGGAAAAGATCCATCCAGCTAGGCACATGCTCTCCATGGGCCGGTCCCAGTGGGGAAGCTGAGACTGTTCAGTTCCCAACACCGACATGCCACATTGCCAAGTGTTGCCAACCATGAACGCTCATATGAGCCCAGCGTTCTTAGGTTTTATTGGGGGTCAGTAATAGAAGCAAACCAGTACATGCGTAATTGACAGCTCAGCCACTGAGGCCCCATCCTACTGGGCTTACAAAAACAGATGCTGACTCATGCTGGTAGCCTCGTAAACTACCTGATATGCCTGCAAAAAAACATGGAGCAGGGTAGTCCAAGGACTCTGAAATTAGATGATCATAGGAGAATATTTTTAGTAGATTATTATTTGGTAAGACTACTACAATAAGGAAGTCAAAGTAATTTCTTTTCGTTAGGCATTGTGTGGATAAAATTAAAACTAAGGAAGGGTGGGTGGTCTACCTTCAGTAACTTACAGCCTAACTGAAATTTCAGGCTCTTGGCTGTGCCTACACCCATCCAACCCAGGTTTCACTCCTTACACTGCATTCAATTCTCTGAACACTAGGAGTAAGGAATGAACACAGTCAGTTGCCCTAAATCTTCACCTGCCAAGAAAAAGGTCTGGGAACTGTCTCAAAGGGCAGGAAGTGTATTCCTGGGTTTAGTCCCTAGCACCAGGTGGTCCTCCAATATCCCTGCCTGGGACAAGTCCTGAACACTGAGCAAGGAGCAAACCCAATGTACTATCAGGTATTGTCCCCAAACAAATGAAGAACTAAAAGAAATACCTGTTTGGCCTGGCAATACCACCAGGTAGCAAACTAAGAAGCTGATGGGCTGTTTTATCAGTTTACCACCCCCACCCCCCCCCCCCCCCGCAAACCAGGATATTCTTGGTATCTCTACATCAAGAGTTTTATATCATGGGAGTGAACTCTCCGGTGCTTCAGTGTCCGGTTCTGGCAGCATACATCAAAAGTATTAAGAGACGGAGGAGGCCCAGAAGCCTATGGAAGAAGAGCACATGTTGAGAAGTTGCTTCTGTTGAAGTGGAGACATGAAAAGTGAGAGGCAGGACATAGCTGTATTCAGAATAAGGGGCGGAAGGCTTGGTCATGGGAAAGCAAAGCAACAAATGACCCATCTTGTTGCTTTGGCTCAGTCTCGTCACCAACAGCCCTGCCGTATGTTTAGTTTTGTTGTAAGATCCAGGCTCCTTGGCTCAAAGAGATAGTACAGCAAGTAAAGTGCTTGCCTTGTCTGCAAACGACCCAGGTTCAGTACCCTGCACCACCTGTGGTTCCCTCTTTGCTGCCATGAGTGACCTCGAGTGTGGGAGCCAGGAGTCAGCCCCCCACGTGGCCAAATGTGGTTCCCACAAACAAAACCCCAAGAAGAGTAGATGAAGTGCAAATGCCAGAGCCTAACTTCAAAGGTGAAAGGAGAATCTGTCGGATGGATACAACTCGTGGGTTCCTATGAGTTTTTTGTTTTGACTGGGTTTTGCTTTAGCTGTCTCCACGGTGACACTAAGCAGAGATGCCCAGCAGGATGGCTGTCCTTTGGAACACTGTGCCCTTGGCAGCCCTTTGATGCCATTCCAATCATGGTTCTCTAATGAGTCTGCCTGTAGGTGCATGGTCTCCCTGTTCCCAACACCTCCCCTCCTGACTGAGTCAGAGTCCTCTTCTGAACTCCGAACTGCTACAGAACTTCCCCCAGTGTCCACAGTAATATCTCCATTGAGGTAGCTCAAAGTGCGAATGTGAATGTTTTGCATGCTGGAGGCCTGCGTTCGATCCCTAACACCGCATGAGCAATTAGAGCAATCCCTGAGCACTGATTGAGAAGCAGTCCCAGAGCACTTCTGGGTATGACCCAAACCCCATTCAAGAAAAAGAAGGAAAGAATAAAATTGGAGAAGGGAGGAAAGAAGGAAGGAAAAGTTCTCATAGTGTGACCTCTGTGATCATTCTGTCATCCTGGAAACCCCTATAGTTTAAGACTTGAGCAGTCAGTCATTCATACAGATGGCTCACTCTTTCCTTTGGACCAGAGAGAAGGTCTTGTTTATACCGTTGTTCAGGATGTTGTTTGCTTGAGGAATGAGTTGGATTACTGGCTGCTTTTCAGAAGTGGGCTGATGGGATCTAAACTTCATTACCTACAGAGATTAATAGTCCACTCGCAAATGAAATGCTACATTGATTCCCTAAAAGCCTGCCAAGCAGCTGCTTATGTGAATATTATGGTTTTATCTTTAGTGCATTTGGATTTTGTTCTGCTAGCATCTGTGGTTTTGTTGGTTTTGGTTTTGGGGCCACACCCAGCAGTGCTTAGGGCTTACTCCTGACTCTGACCTCAGGGATCACTCCTAGAGGTGCTGGGGGTATTGTTATGGAGTATCAGGGATCAAACCTGGGTCCGCCAAGAGCATGGCAAGCACCTTACCTTACTATCATTTCCGTCCTAGTGTGTTTGTGGTTTTGTAGGGATTCTTATTGTGACAGGCTGGAGCGATAGCACAGCGGTAGGGTGTTCGCCTTACAAGCGGCCAACATGGCCGACCCGAGTTCGATTCCTCCGCCCCTCTCGGAGAGCCCGGCAAGCTACCGAGAGTATTCGATATGCCAGACACAGTAACAACAAAGTCTCCAATGGAGACGTTACTGGGCCCGCTCGAGCAAATTGACGATTAAAGGGCCTTTACCTTTACCTTATTGTGACACTATTTTCACTTAAATGAGATTTTTTTCTTTCAAACATACTAAGAAAACTTTTTTATAAGATAAAAGCAAGTTAAACAAATATTTTGAATTGGAAAACAACGAAGATACAGTTTGCCAAGAACAGATACTCCCTTGTCGTCCCTCGAAAGACAGAGATAGTATAGCAAAATGGTTAAGGACTTCAAAGGGTTTTTGTTTGTTTTTTTTGTTCTGTTTTGGGAGTTATGCCCACTGTGTTCAGGGATTACTCCTGGCTCTGCACTCAAGGATCACTCCTGGTGATGCTCAGAGGACCAGTTGGGGTACCAGTGATTGAACTAGGGTTAACCATGAGCAAAGTAAGTGCCATACCCACTGTACTGTTGCTCTGGCCCCAGGTTCTGCATAGGCTTGACTCCAGCTTTGTTACCTGCAAGTAATGTGATGTGTATGTGTGTGTGTGATATAACTACTCTGAGTTTTAGCCTCTCCTCCTACTCCTCTTCCTTCTCCTCCCACTTCTTTCTTCACTTGTATTTGGGCCACACCCAGCAATGCTCAGGGCTTACTCCTAGCTCTTGCTAGGAATCACTCCTGGTGGGCTCAGTGGACCATATTAGGATGTCGGGGATCAAACTTGGGTCAGTCGTGTCTAAGGCAAATGCAGCTGCTAAGACTTTTCTTACCTGCACATAAGGACCACCATATTTATTTGATGCTGGAAGGGCACCCCAGGTGGTGCTCAGGAGCTATTCCCAGCTCTGTGCTTGTGGGACCAGGTGTGCTCAGGGACCATGTGGTACCAGAGATCAAGCTCAGGCCTTCCCCATGCAAAGGATGTGCTCATCCCTTTGAGAAATCTCTAATTAGCACCTTGGTGTTTAACTTTGATTTGTTAAGAGAATGTATGCACATGTAAAGCACTCACAACTGTGACTGACTTGGAGTCGAGTTTCAAATTCAGTTTCAAAACCTGAGCAGTCATTCTCCATGCTCAGGGGTCATATGCAGTGCCAGGGATTGGCCCATAGTTGACTGCATGCAGAGCAAGCACCTAAACCTCCGTATTCTCCAGCCTCAGATCCTTTCTAAAGACTATGAAGGTCCAATAATATTTTTTTAAAAAAATTGATGTGGGGGGCAGGGGCTGGAGAGAGAGTACAGTGAATGCCAGGTTTGCCTCACACACATCTAATCCGGGTTCAATCCTAGCACCCAATACAGTCTCCCAAGCCCCTCCTGGAATACTGCCTGAGCACAGACTCAGGAGTAAACCCTGAGCACAGGTTGGTGTAGCCCCCAAACCAAATCAAACCAAACCACAACAGTTGATGTTGAACGTGTATTTCCCCCTTTCTTCTCCCATGTACGGGTCTTCTCTTTCCTGCCTATCAGTAACAAAGAGAAGGGTGGGATATAGACTCTAAACTTGGCCTTAGTTCTGCATTCTAATTGTCCTCTGGGTGTTACTGTTTTTCCTTTGCAGACTGGATTGTGATTAGCCTATGGACAGTGCCAAAAGGGAGTTCTTGCTGAGCTCAAAGCCTGGCTTAAGATAAAGATGAGAGATTTTGTACCCACAGAGGAAATGAGACATCCTATATATCACATGTAAATCCTTACGTCAGGAAATTCGTGGGAGACACAGGTTACATTTCTTGCGTTTTTGCATTTATAGCATAGTAGATGAATCTTAATCAGTTCAATTTGTTTTTATAAGCACCTCTAAGGAAAATGAGGTCCTCCCTACCCCCCTGCACTGTAATTATCAGCAATTGACTAGAACCAGCTACTGGTTGTATTCTAAGACTCCAGGCTTTTAATGGTTCTGGTTACAGACCACTGAGCATTCTATAACCCCCAGGAGCAAGTGATAGATCTGGAAAAGGCTCACTCAGACTTCTGCAGAACAGAAACCACTTGTGTCCTCAAGGGAGAGTGGCCAGGTGGTGGTTTATAGTAATTAACCCAGCCTGGAGCCCTCATCCAGATCAATCTTCATTGTTCTTTGTTGTCTGAGTTTTTCTCCATTTTGTTTTCTTGGGAATTAGGAAAATACTGTGAAAACACGTATCTTTAAGTAGCTGTAGTATAAGTGCTTTATTATACTCTGTGTGTGTGTGTTTAATAGGATTGCAAGGAAGAATTTATACATTTTAGCTATTTAAGATCATCACCAACACCACCACATAGCTATGTCATGAAATATCCACTAAAAGGAAATCAAATCATCTTCTAAGAGCCGGATAGAGCAGTAGAGAAGCCTTCCGAGCTACATAGCAACCATCCTTTTCTTCCTTGGCTGGTATGCAGCAGGGCATGGTAATGTAATAAAAGCAGTCCTTTGTTTGGCTGGAGTCAGGGGGACTCACACCCCATTTGCAAATGGCAGATTCATGTGAGATATTTGCGAATAACAGAAGGCATGAAGTCATCACTTGAACCTGTTCATTACATTTGAACAGGCAGCAAAGTAATGTTGAATTTTATAGGGAAAAATAAAGCTTCCTATATGAGTTCTATTTTAAGGACCTATCAAGCTCAGCCTCAGTTATTTCCATTTTAAATGACTGCAGTTTCCCGTGTACCAGTTGGTTTTAAGGGGGGAGCGGGGGATGTATTCTTATGATTTAGATGTTTTTAAAGACCTCGGAGATTTTTGATAATGCAATAATAATATTAGCTGGAATTAGTGATAGTTTCTCATAAGCAAATTGCAGTTCAGCTTTTTTTCCTTTTGTTTGCCTCCAGGGAGGTTTTTTTTTTCTTTCCTTTTCCTAGCTCTGTCTTGAAATCAATACTTTGATTAGATCTGACTGAGGTTGTTCTAATGGAATTCTTCTGACTGGGGTTGACCTGGCGGGGGGGGGGGGGGGCCTGTACATTGGTGGGCTCAGCTGGAATAAAGGAATAGCAGACTTGCTGTGATTACACTTTTCTGATAGTTCCATAAATTCCCTACCAATGAATTTTAAAAATTTAAGTAACATATAAAAGTCATCTCTTTTTTTTTGCTTTTTGGGGTCATACCCGGCGATGCTCAGGGGTTACTCCTAGCTCTGCACTCAGGAATTACTCCTGGAGGTGCTCAGGGGATCATATGGGATGCTGGGAATCAAACCTGGGTCAGTAGCATGCAAGGCAAACACCCTACCCGCTGTGCTATCACTCCAGCCCCAGTAATCATTTTAAAAGTGAACAATGTTGGCCCAGAGAGATAGTAAAGGTGCTTTGCATGTGGATGGTCCCAAGTGGATTTCCAGTGCTGCATATGGTCCCTTGGAACAAACCCAGCAGTAGTCCTTAAGCATTTCCAGGTGTGACCCAAATCCCTGCCCCCTCTCCAGAATAAAGTGAACAATGATGGGCAGTGACCACATTTTTATTTGGTTTTGGGGCCAACCCAGTGGTGCTCAGTGCTTACTCCTGGCTTTGCATTCAGGGACCTCTGCTGACAGGGCTCAGGGGACCATATGGGGTGCCCAGGTCAGCCATGCTCTACCTGCTGTATTTGGCTTAAAGCACACCGCTACCACTTTTTATCTAGTTCCATGAAGACATTTCCATCACTCCAGAATAAAATATTCGCTGTTTTCACTGAATTGTCCCTTCTCTCCAGTTCTGGCACCTATCAAAAATTTTTTTGATTCAGTGATTTAGTTATTTTTTGTTGTTGTTTTGGAGCCATATCCCACAATACTCAGGGGTTACTCTTGGCTCTGCACTCAGGAATTACTCCCAGACCATATGGGATGCCAAGGATAAAACTCAGCTCGGCCGCATACAAGGCAAATGCCCTACCTGCTGTACTATTGCTCTGACCCTTCAGTGATGTAATTTTGATTTTTTTCAGTGAAGCAAAGTCGTTTTTATTTAAAGAAATTAGAGAAGTGTGAGAGGAAAGAGTGATACATGTTCAAAAGAGAACATGCGCTTTACCAGAATGAGAAAAGCTGTTTCAACAACCTTAAAATACATTTTTGAAAACATGTTAGGGACCAGAGAGAGTGAGTAGAGGGGTTAAGGTTGTTGCCTTGCATCCCCCTGACCCATCAAAATGCCTGATGGTCCCTGAGCACTGCCAGGGGTCACTACTGAGCACAGTGGGCACAGTGCTGAGAGGAGCCCCTACAAGATGCCAGGTATATTATTCTGGTAAAAGGGCAAGGCCTTTCTCAAAAAGATCTGTAATCCAAAAAAAATGGCACTGTTCAGAGATTATTTCTGGTGGTGCTTGGGGAGGCCATATGCGGTGCTAAAGATTGAACACATGTCATTTGCATACAAGGCATGGGTCATACCTGCTATACTCTCTCTCTGACCCTAATTCTTTGCTTATGGGGGCCACACCCAGTAGTACTCAGGGGACCACATGGTGTCTGGAATTAAACCTAGGCCACTGCCATGCAAAGCCTGTCCTCTAGCCATTTGAATTATCTTCTTGACTCTGAAGGGTTTATTCTGTACATTCTGTTCACTCATTCTCAGAAATGTTTGCCTGTGAAGCTAAATCATTGTGAGGCACAGATCCCATTCTCGGTCATTCCCCAGGCTCTGCCATCAACTGTGCACTTTGCTGTCTGAAACCAACTCACAAGGGTCCCAGGCTTTTGCAGGAGGGAAACTTTCCGAAGGGGGATGCATGGCACTGAGCACATAGGATTTCTGCGTCATCTGGGGAATCAGCCTTCCCACTGCACCAAAACAGTCATCTCTCTCCATCAAAACTCCTTGCACCAAAACAGTCATCTCTCTCCATCAAAACTCACTGCACCAAAACAGTCAGCTCTCTCCATCAAAACAATAGAAAAGACCACAGGACACAAATGATTTGGATGGGATTCATGTCATTTTAATTCCTATTTTTACTAACATTTTTTCAGTAAGTATTGGGAGGAAGGGCAAGAGATGGTAGAAGGAAAAGGGAGAGAAGTATATTTCAAGTTCCTTGGAGTATTGAAGCGTGTGCTAGGATAAGAAAAGTCGAGGAGGAGCGTGGCATCCTTATCCCCAGAGTGCTTTATGGAGATGGATGGCAGACACGGAGCAACGCTTTAGCTCGGACTGCTGGCAGAGAATGAACTATCAGACATTGTATGCTGGAAGGCCAGGCTCTGCAGCTGCTTCCAAACAGGATGGATGAGAAGCTGACCTCAGAGTCTGCTTCCTAGCACATGAGCAAGAGAACGCGTGTCCCTTCTCTGGGCTGTTTCTTCCCATCCACTGGGGAAGAGAGCACCCTGCTGGGGAGCTGCAGCAAACTGCTGCGAAAAATTCTTAATTTAAAAAAAATGAGACGACTATTTCTTTTTTCCTTTTCTTTTTTTTTTTTTTTTTCATATTTGCTGGTGGTGTTCATTGACCAGAAGTGAATAACGTTTGGGGTAGTAGCATTGTGTCCCAGTGATAAAATATAGCCCGCATTTTGTACTTTTAAAAGGCAGAGGAGAGTGAAAACAGACTGTCTTTAGGACCTAGACTAAGGGGAAAGGGGCATTTGGATACTGCAGCTAAGCTAATTCTGGACCATCACAATGAACTGACACAGATAAATGAGACCCTGACTTTTCCCATTCATACAAATACTCGCCATTTCTAGCTTTTACTACTCAATCTAAGGTTGCTGTGACCATAGCCTGGGATCAACTATTAATGAACTTCTAAAATTAAAGTCACAATGCTACATTTTTAGTAGTTTTCTAATTAAATGGGTTTTAAATAAGCTGAAAGTCTAAAATCCAGGGACTCTTCATTATTTCATTTATTGGGGCAACTATTAAAATTTACCACTGCCATTTTCTTACACCTACAGAATGAAATGGGTGGGGAGCAGTTTTACATGAATCTTAGAAATGGCCAACATGCATCTAATTTTACCCCCAGAGGGCTGAAGGGGAAATGTTCTTTTGAGAAAAATCTTAATGTGTTTGGAAGGCAAGGTTATTACCAGTTTGTTTCTTTCTCCTGATGGGGAGAAAAGGCTCTATGGAATTAACATACTATTGGTGGCAGGTTCCAGGAGAGTGACTTGGGGGAATATGGACCATTGTCTTATTTTTGGCAGTGATCGTATGTTGTAGGTGCCAAAAGTGAGATAATATCCTGGGATAATGGCTGTGGATAAGTGAATGGATACAGGTTTGACCTCAATACGCAGCAAATGACGATGATCACAGATTTAGCACCTTAGTTCGTACTTCCTCTGTACCTGAATCATCTATGCTGTGAAGCCTGAGCTTTAGGTGAGAAAGCTGGATTCTTAGAGAATTCCTCTAGGACTTCTTGCTCGAGGATTGCAGTGTGCTCCAACCTAAGGGATGGTTATCTGACTAGAGAAAGGATTTGATGCTAACTGTGAGACTGAAGCCTGGAAGACAGTGTATCGCTGTGACAGGTGTTTTGGTTTAGGAATAGGCTGTTTAACAAGTCAAGTGCATTATTACTATCCCCTCTGATGCGCGAAAAATTCTAAGCAACATAATTATATTTTTTGGCTCGAAAGGGTGCTTTCTTCGAGATTTGATTTCTCAATTTTCTTAGAAGATATTACTGTCTCCTCCAATATTTCTTCAAAACTTTCCTCTATCTGGGAGGTTTTCTTAGACACCTCCTTGGAAGCCTCCTCCTCCTCCTTCTTAAGGGATAGCCCAGTGGATGAGACCTTTGAGGATGTAGAACTAAGGACTCTGGGTGGGAGCAGGTAACTTGGGTTAGGAAGTGGGTTCAGACCCGAAATGCTGAATCCACTGGTGCTAAAACGTGTTTCTTCTCCTTCCAGCAGTTTCCTGTAAATTCAATAAAGGAAAAAGTCTCAGGAATATATGCAATTTTTCTTTTTTAATTAAAAAAATTTGCTTGCGTGTGCCCAGTAACATCTCCATCATGAGACTTGTTACTGTGTTTGGTATATCGAATACATCATGGGTAGCTTGCCAGGCTTTTGCTGTGAGGGCTAGACACTCTGGGTAGCTTGCCAGGCTCTCCAAGAGGGGCAGAGGAATCGAGCCTGGCTCGGCCAGGCCAGCTGCGTGCAAGGCAAACGCCCTACACACACATACTTACTTTTCACACATACTTACTTTTAGCACCTGCCGTGCTTCCACTGTCAAAGGAAAATTATTCTATTCACAAATTCACAGAGGAAGCACCAACAACTTTCCTTTGCCTGAGCCTGATCACACTCATGTCTGGCACTGAGAGTACAGAACTCTGAGAAGAAACTTTGCTAATTAATACATTTACTACACCAGGGATAAGGAGGGGCAAAGTCCACAAAGAAGGCAGCAACTGCCTGACTCCACTTGTTTCAGCGTAAAGAGGTAAAAATAAAGTGTAACCGGGGACTGGAGCAATAGCACAGTGGGTAGGGCGTTTGCCTTGCACGCGGCCGACCCAGGTTCGATTCCCAGTATCCCATATGATCCCCTGAGCACCGCCAGGAGTAATTCCTAAGAGCAGAGCCAGGAGTTAACCCCTGTGCATTGCCGGGTGTGACCCAAAAAGCAAAAAATAAAATAAAGTGAAACTAGCCACAAGGAAAAATGGTCAGTAAAGCCCTTTTTAGTTGTTAGTTTCAAACAGGCTCAAGTAGCATCATAAAAGAGTGACTCCAGGGGCTGGAGTGATAGTACAGCGGGTAGGGCGTTTTCCTTGCACATGGCCAACCCAGGTTCGATTCCCAGCATCCCATATGGTCCCGTGAGCCCTGCCAGGAGTGATTCCTGAGTGCATGAGCCAGGAGTAATCCCTGTGCATCACCAGGTATGACCCAAAAAGAAAAAAAAAAGAGTGACTCCAATACATTATTTCCCATAACCTTAATTATGGGGAATTATGAGGTAGATAGACTTCAGGTCTAGGAAGGTAGAGCTTGAATATAACTGAGTCAGGGGACAGAGAGGTGCAGGCACCTGGCAGACACCAGTGATGTCTTTTCTCACACCCTACCCTGCCCCCCTGTACCCATCAGAAATTCAACAGACTAGAAAAACACTTCTTTGTGCAGTACTGCCCTGGAGGACTGGTCTGCTTGAGGGAAAATGCCCCCTGAAGTACCTGTAGGCTGCAATCTCGATGTCAAGAGCCATTTTGACATTGAGCAAGTCCTGGTACTCCCGCAGGTGGCGCGCCATCTCACTCTTGGTGTTCCTCAGGTCGTTCTCCAGCTGCCCAATGCTGTCCTGAAAACAGACACATGGCACACCAGTTAGACCACACCGCTGGCGAGCATGGAGATTTCTAGGAGGGCTGGATTCTCAACTGTGAATACACGTTGAAACGTCGATCTAGTCCCCAACCCAAATGCCAGCTCACTCTAATGGCTGATTGGCAGCATCTGTACTTTTTTCCATCAAGGTCCACAGGAAATTTGGATGCATGGTGAGAATTAGTTATTTTTGGTTTATTTTTTATTCTTTTTTCCTTTTTATTGGGGATGATGGTGGTACACCTGCAATACTAAGGGGTTAATCCTGGCTCTGCACTTAGGAATTACTCCTGGCAATGCTCTTGGGGACCATATGGGATATTGAGGATCAAACTGGGTTGGCCGCATGCAAGGCAAGCACCTTACCTGCTGTACTATCACTTTGGCCCAATCAGTGAAAATTCTAAACTCAAATCAATGCCATATACTGAACTACTAATATTTGTCTCTTGCAGCTGCAAACTGAGCTTTTTTTTTTTCCTGAAGGGAGGCAATGCCTCAAGGGCTACCCCCAGATCAGGGCTTGAAGAGCCATATGGCACCAGGAATCCAACCCAGGTTTTCCATATGAAAAGTACGTGCTCAGTCCACTGGGCTAGTCTCCAGCCTCTTTGGTTGCAGTTTTGCTGATGTAAAAACACAGTGACTGGGATAACTCTTATGAAACAGCCACGCAGATAGGTTTCTGATAGGTTTCTATCAGAAGAAACCCTAAGGAAACAAACGCTGACAGGCACCCACACAGCCCCCATGTGGGAATGAGGACTGAAGCCATGTGACTGAATCCAGGGTTGCGTCATCACGGAGCTTCCAAACCAAGAGAATCTGCAGGAAAAATGAAAATGCACACCACCTACCTGCTCTATAAATATTGACAGATCACCACCAAGGAGAGATACAATTGTCTGATGGTCCAGAGCAAGGGATGATAAGCAGCGGGGAAAATACATCTTCTACTAGGCAGTGAGGGAAATATTCCAAACTCTGATGGGAGATCACAAGAGCTTAAAGGATTCTTAGCAAGAATTTTCTTTGTCCTTTTCGGGCCATACCTGGTGGTACTAGGAAGGCCTTACCAGGTGTGAGAGACTGAATCCAGTGTTTCTGCAATGAGCCCTCCTGTCCTTCGAGCCATCTCCCTGACCCTTACCAAGTCATTTTTCCTGACCTAGTGATAATTTGGGTCAGAGAGAGTGGAGCAGGGAGGGCGCTTCCCTTGCATGTAGCCAACCGGGTTTCGATCCTTGGCATCCCATATGGTCCCCTGAGCATCTTCAGGAGTAATTTCTGACTGCACAGCCAAGAACAATCCCTGAGCATCACTGGGTGCTACACCTGCCAACTCCCCTCCAAAAAATATTTTCTAGTGATGGATTATGGAAAAAGAATCTTTGTTGCCATGCTGAAGGCAAAGGGGCTAAAGTGAGTGCAAAAGGAGGACTTAATTCATTCTCCTACAAGAAGCAGGAGAATGTTATATAAAGGAAAGAGATTTTCATTAGTATCTTTGAGTTGCAATTTCTGCTCTGGCACAAATATCTAATATACCTCAGTCAGTTTTCTATATTATAGTTTGTTTAGTCACCTTGTTTGGAGGTTTACTTATTTTGGGACCACATCTAGGGATGTTCAGAGACTACTCCCAGCTCCGGCAGATGCACTAGCCCTTTGTGCTACTTCCCAAGCCCATTTCAGTAACTTTAAAACTTCCATTTCTGGACCAGAGCAAAAGTACAGCAGGGAGAGCTCTTGCCTTGTACTTGGCCAACCTGGGTTTGATCCTTGGCATCCCATAATGGTTTCCCCTGAGCCCACCAGGAGTGATTTCTGAGTACAGAGCCAGAAGTAAACCCTGAGCACTGTTAGCTGTGCTCCTATTGAAAAAAAAAAGACAACCTGATAAAAAAAAAAAAAGAAAACCCACTTCCATTTCGCATGTAGAAAATGGCAACATTTATTCTTTTTTTTGTGGTGTTCTGATATTCTCAAAGGCCTAAAACTTAATGTACCTCAAGTGATTGTTAAACTGGCAATAGGCATTAGAATAGTGCCTGGCATATAAGAAACTGCTTTTAAAATAATGTGGGTTTTCTGCGGAGACTACCACCCAAGCAGTGCTCAGGGATCATTCCTGTGGGGCTGGAGAGACTATATGTGGTGCCAAGAATCAAATCTGAATCAGCTGCATGTAAGGCACCTTACCCACTGCATTACCTCACTGGCCCCCAAATGTGAGTGGTTTTTATTATTGCTACTATTATACCATGTGATGCTCTACTCTCATGATAATAAGGCCAGGGGCTGGAGTGATAGCACAGTGGGTAGGGCGTTTGCCTTGCAAACGGCCAACCTGGATTGATTCCCAGCACTGCATATGGTCCCCTGAGCACTGTCGGGGTAATTCCTGAGTGCATAAGCCAGGAGTAACCCCTGAGCATAACCAGGTGTGACCCAAAAACCAAAAAAAAATTAATAATAATAATAAGGCCAAATTATGTGTGAGGCTGAGTTGAATCCTTGATACTGTTACTCCAGCACTATTTTTTAGGACTTTCTAAAGTGGTTACTTTGAATAAGGACATTGATTAAGCAACTTTCTCAGTCAGTAGGTTTATGATAATGATCAATTACTTTTTTATAATTCTGTGATGCCTTTTGTTTTTTAGGTCAAATGGGCTAGCCTCAGCTATTTTTACTCTAACTAGTCCCAAGGACTACATGAATTAAATTCATGTAATTAATGCTCCTTATTGGTTTTTCTTTTCTTTTTTTTTCAGGGGCCACACCCAGCAGCAATGCTCAGGGATTGATCCTGGCCCTGCACTCAGGAATTACTCCTGGCAGTGCTCCGGAGAGACCATATGGGATGCTGGGGTTGAACTGAGGTCGGTCGCGTACAAGGCCAACGCCTTACCCGCTGTACTATCACCATGGCCCCCTTATTGGTTTTCTTTGTCCTGCAAGCTGCCCTGATCTGCGGCTCCCCATTGTGACAATGGCCAGATGCCAGTGGCCCCTGTTCTCTCTCTTGCTGCGGGTCTGTCATGGATATCCCCAAAGGCGAGAGGGACTAGGCTACTGCTCAGGGCTCACCTTCCCTCAGCAGCTTGGTTATGTCCTTTAAAAGAATTTGTTTGGGGGCAGGGGCTGAGCAATGGTGCAGCAGGTAGGGCTCTTGCCTTGCTCACAGCCGACCTGTGTTCCATCCCCAGCACCCATATCCTCAGCACCCTGAGCACTGTCTGCAGGGGGTCCCTGAGCGCAGAGCCAGGAGTAAGTCCTGAGCACTGCCGGAGTAGAGTTCTCTACAGATGCGATTTCCATGAATGCTGATGTGACACGTTTCACACGTGTGTTTTAGGGACCAGGAAACATAGCTGCTCCCTTCAGAAGGACAGTGCTGGCCGCTGACCACGTCTCTTTGTTTGCACTCTCCCTCCTCCAGCCAGTGTCTTGCCTTGCCCTTCAAAAGCCCTGCCAAAGATGGCCTCCAGCTTCGCAATCTGAGCCTGCAGCTGCGGCTGCCCCGCCCCCGCCCTGCAGCTGCTGTCCGGGAGGAAGGACCGCGAATGGAGAGTGCTCGGCCTGCAGCTGGGGTCCTCCCGGAACGAAGGGAATCAGTGCACAGGTGTGGAGCATCTTGCCTGGGGCTCGCAGGAAGCTGGCTGGGACTGGCCTGTGCTCTGGAGAACAGAAATGTCGGTACCATGGATTTCGTCTGTCTCAGGGGTCCTGCGGCAGCATGGTTGGACTGTTCTTCCAGATATCCTGAGGCAGAAAGGGACGTTCCTGTTTGATTTGGTTTTGGGGCCACACCCAGCTCAAGACTCCTGGCTCTGTGCTCAGGGAACCATATAGGATGGAACCTGTGTTGGCCATGTGCACAGGTAACGTCCTACCGCTCTACTATCCTCTGGCTGAGAGGAGATTCTTTTTTTTTTAAACCTGTTTTTTTTTTGTATGCCGATCTTTCATACATTTTTTTTTCTTATTGGGTCACACCTGGCAAGGCACAGGGGTTACTCCTGGCTCTGCACTCAGGAATTACTCCTGGCGGTGCTCAGGGGACCATATGGGATGCTGGGAATTGAACCCAGGTTGGCCGTGTCCAAGGCAAATACCATACCGGCTGTGCTATTGCTCCAGCCCTGAGAGGAGATTCTTAAATATGCAGCCACCAAGGGACTGCTTTGCCCAATACCCTGAGGACCCCGCTAGGCTCTGGGGCATGCTTTCTCCTTCGTCTCACTTTAACCCCACCTCTGCTTTCTTTCTTGTTTTCTTACCATATTTTCATATCTTTTTTTTTTTTTTTTTTTTGAGGAGGGTGCACACCCAGCTGTGCTCAAGAATCACTCCTGGCAGGGCTTGGGAACCTTATGGGATGCTGAGGGATCAAATCTGGTCAGCCGTATGCAAAGCCAGCGCCCTGCCCACTATCCTATCACTCTGGCCCATCTATTTTCAAATCTTGTACTGAGCTGGTTTGCACTGGGAGATGTGATTTAGGCTGGTGTGTCCTGAGATCTGAGTATTGACAGGAAGCTGTACTGTTTTTGGAAGCATGCTCCTGGGCCCTGCCTGTGAACTATTAAATCCATCTCTCCTGGGCTGAATCTATTGTTATCCGCCCTTAAGTGATGGGTGTCTCAATGGGTTCAGGAAGCACTAGTTCCAGTTGATTCCGGTAAAGGGGCTTCCACAGTAGCCTGGTGAATCTGACAGGAGGTGGAGATAGACAAAACCAAATACAAAAGGCACAGGAAAGAGTGACAACAAGAAAGGTTAAAGGTGGCCTTTTCCTTTCCCTCTTGAATTCTAATTTCAGAAATGGATCTATCAAGCTATAGATTTATATGCAGCCGCTGCCACATCCAATCTCCAAGGGACCAGCCCCTTCGTGCTATTTAATTAGGCTGTTTTCTAATCGCATATGGAGGGAAGAGGCAGACTTGGCTCCTTTCCCTGGAGAGCATTAACTAATGGCAATCTTGATTGTTCAGCAAGGTCTTTCAAGGAAAAGTCTGAGCTTTCTAAGACAACCCCCATGTAGGGTGAAGGCCCCCAGCACCCATCAAAACCTTCCTGAGGCATCTCAGGGACTGGAAGGGCAAAAGGCAGTGAGCAGCTATGCAGCAGACCAAAGCAGAAAAGCTAAGGAAGGTGGGTGGGTACACTTGGCTTTCGAAGACAATAGCCGTAGCTCATTCCAATTTCTCCTGTAGCCTGATTCAAAACCTCTCTGGCGCCACTGCACACTGTTTCACCTTGAATTACTCTTCACCCCTTCAAACGTGTAATGAGCATTCTCAAACAGGCGTAAGAAGCTTGCTCTCCCCCAAACAGGCCTGTCAGTTCTCTAGGGTAGGGAAATCGTGACTTTAATGGGGTCTTAGATGGTGGAACACTCACTCGCAAAGAAAAATGGGCCTGTCACTAATCTCTGAAGCAGAAGAAAGCCAGCGCTCCCATTACTGCAGCGAAAGGGAGGGGCAGGGTGAGAGGGCAAGAAAACAATGGCGACTCTCACTGTGGAGGCGGCCTTTTGTCTTGGTCACTGGCTGGCCTCAGGCCTTGGGGATCTTCAGGCAAGGCTCGAAGCACTGCCCCAACCTTGCAGCCCCAGGGGCAGGACAGGACTCTCAGCTGCCTGCTCTCCACAGCCACGCCACCTGAGGTCCACTGAGGCTCTGAGGAAGCAGAGAGGGGAGTACTGCAGAGCTATGAATTCTGGAGCAAAATAGAAATATTTAAATAGAAAATAAAAGCAAATGGGAAATATTGATTTGATTGGTACTGCAGTTCCAAACCACCAAAATTAACGAGTTTACTTCTTTCCCCAAAGGTTGTATAGCTTTTTCTTTTTGCTTCTCTGCAGACTGTCTGCCTGACCCTATGGAAAACAATGAAAACTTTCCAAAGCAAATAAAAATGTGCCAAACAATGTGGTCACGACTCTTGGCCTCGAAGGACAATATTAAGCAGAGGCCTTGGCAAAGCCCAACTCAGGTGGCAGTGCAGGAAAGTTGATCTTTTTTTTTTTTTGTAGGAATTCTCAGCCAGCCCTTCAGAAGACCACCACCTTGCTCATACTTTGAAAGAGGCCAGAGGAAAACATTCAGTCTCAATGAACTTAAAGAGATTAATTCAGGCCATCCTGGGGCCAAGCCAACAGTGAGAAGTTTGAGTTATAATTTTTTTTTTTTGCTTTTTTGGGTCACACCCAGTGATGCTCAGGGGTTATTCCTGGCTCTGCACTCAGGAATTCCTCCTGGCAGTGCTTGGGGGACCATATGGGATGCCAGGGATCGAACCCAGGTCGGCTGCGTGCAAGGCAAACGCCCTACCCGCTGTGCTATCATTCCAGCCCCGAGTTATAAATTTTGAAGTGAATTCCGGAGCAAAATAGAAATATTTAAAGAGAAAAATAGAAGCAAATGAGAAATACTGATTTGATTAGTACTGCAGTTCCAAACCACCAAAATTAATGAGTTTACTTCTTTCCCCAAAGGTTGTCATTTATCATGAACAGCCAATTACCTGCATATCAGTAATTCTGTAATGCTGGAATGAAATCACAGTTGTTTCACTCAAACACAGATCTTTCAGGGTGGTAGTGATGCTCCCAAACCTGACACTTTCATCAAATACAAGCTTAAATGATGCCTAAAATCAGTTATTGCCAAGTTTCTGAACCAAATAATTCTGTCCCACGGAATTTTTTTGTACCTTGTAATTGAACTACACTATTTTGGTTATTTTCTACACCATTCTCCTTCCTCTCCACCTTCTGTGGCCATAAACACAGAACGCCCTATACAGGAAGGCTGATGAGGCCGTGAGGGGCCTTTGTCTGGCCAGAGAAGGGGGGTGGGGAGGCAATCAATACTTCATGGAATCTTAGAGGACAGGCAATGACAGATAAAACAAGTAGCCCGTAACAAAGATTTACTTGTGATTCATCACATTCACTCACGATGCAAAAATATTAAGGAATGGGGCATTTTCTGGCGGGGCTTTACTGAAGCCGAGCCCGTTAAGTGGTTTCCGTTGAGTGCTCAGCCATCCATGGAAAGTGAGAATTGATGCCGTGCATGGGCTGACCTTTGATTGCAGGCTGCCAAGACTGATGTGCCGGTATTGCGGGGCGAAATGGAAGTCGTTAATTGCCCAGGGAGTCCTAACTGGGACACGAGAAGGCAGAGGCATCTTTCCCGAGCCAAGCCCAACTCCGAATCAGCACCGCGGACAGCGCCCTGCCAGCCACGAATTCTGCTAACTGGTGCGGCGCTCCCTTTTCCTTTTACCATCTTTAAATTACTGTTGCAAGAAAACGTGCCCTTATTAACAACAAGTGTAACGATTGGTGTCATTTTTAAGGGATAATGTATAAAGCTTTCTTGGGGGAAAGAATAGAACGGGCGGGTCACAACAGGGGAAGTGCCTGTACGCGTTGGCGGTTCTTTCTAGGTCTCCCCCGTAGCTTTCAGGCACTGAGGCTCTGCTCTTGGCGAAATGGAGAACATGGGACAGAACCTTGCAGTTTAGTCTTCCTCCCTCAATTCTAAGGCATCGCACTCCATCAGTATCCAAAAGCGGTTCACGAAGCCTTTCAAAATAAACCAAAGAAGCCGGACAGCGCAGGGAGCCCCGTCAGCCACCCCTCCTGGGCTCCCTCCTCCTTGCTCGGGGGCGCGCGAGGGGGACCGGTGTGCCTCTAACCTCTTCTTAAGAGACAGACATGGGGTAGAATTTAGATTCCGAAAAACCGAAGCGTTAAGGGCTTCCTTACTAATAGATCCGAGGGAGAGACGGAAATGAGGGGGTACAGAAAGTGGGCATCCGGGGGGGGGCTATAATCCTGGCGGACCCCAGAGCTTTGAAATTGCTAAAGGCCTCGAGTCCGGGCTCTTCGTCTCCCGCCCGGTCCCCGCCAGCACGCCGCGCCCCCCCCCTCCCCCGCGCCCTTCCCCTTCGGCTCTAGGCCCCGGGAAAGCGCAGGTCTGCGCGGGAGAGCGCAGGCACGGCCGGCCTCTACCTGGTAGCCCGCCACCTCCGCGCTGTGTCGCTCCTCCAGCTCCAGGATCTGCCTCTCCAAGGACTCGTTGGCGCCGCGCAGCCCCTCGATCTCGATGGTGCGCGCCTGCAGCTGGCGCCGGTACTCGTGGATCTCCTCGCGGCTGGCGCGGATGGCCTCGGTGCTGCGCGCCGCCTGCTCATTGAGGTTGGCGAACTTGGACTTGTACCACTCCTCGGCCGACTGCAGGTTCTTGGCGGCCAGGGACTCGTACTGGGCGCGGATCTCCCGGAGCGCCGAACTCAGGTCGGGCTTGGCCACGGCCACGTCCACCTCGGCCGCCGCCTGCGACGAGGCCTGCAGCGTGGCCAGCAGCTCGGCCACCTCCTCATCGTGCACCTGGCGCACGAAGGCCAGCTCGTCCAGCAGCGACTCCACCTTCTTCTCCAGGTCTAGGCGCGCCAGCGTGGCGCCGTCCACGTCGCGCTGCTGCGCCTTGAGGGCGCGCTCGGCGCCCTCGCGCCCGCGGCTCTCCTCCTCGCAGCGCGCCCGCAGCCGCTGCACCTCGTCGGCCAGCCCGTCGCGCTCCAGCAGGGCCTGCGCGCGCGCCGAGCTCGCCTCCTCCAGCTGCGCGCGCAGCTCGCGCAGCTCGCGCTGGAACAGCTCGCCCACGCGCGACGGCTCGGCGTGGCGCTGCCGCAGCGCCGCCAGCTCGGCCTCCAGCGCGCGGTTCTGCGTCTCCAGCTGGTGCACCTTCTCGATGAACACGGCGAAGCGGTCGTTGAGGCCCTGCAGCTGCTCCTTCTCGTTGGTGCGGATGATCTTGTACTCGTTGGTGCGCGCGGCCGCCTGGCTCAGGTCCAGGCCGTCGGGCGCGGCCGCCCGGCGGTAGGCGAGGCCCAGGCCGAGCGACGAGGCGGACGAGCAGGCGGCCGAGGAGGCCACGGTGCAGCGGGACAGCGACTGCGAGCGGAAGCCGCCCGCGCCGCCCGCCCCCGCCAGGCGCGAGGACAGGCGCGAGCCGTCGCCGAACACCTTGCGGTAGGAGGAGGCGGCGCACAGGTAGTGCTCGGAGCCGAAGCTCATGGTGCCGGGAGCGGGGTCGGGCGCGCGGCGGCGGCGGCGGCGGCGGCGGCCGGGGCTGCAGAGGCAAGGAGAGGTGCGGTGCGCGGGGCGCGGCGGGGCGGTGCGCACCGGCTTTTAAGGCGCCGGGGCGGGGAGGGGGGGCGCTGGGGCGGCGCGTTGGGGGCGGAGCGAGGGAAAGGGGGGGCTCCCTGGAGCGGGGAGCGGGGAAGCGCAGTGACTACCGCAGCGGCGCGCGCCCGGGAGCTGGGGACGCGGGGACCCAGCGCTCTGCGGAGCGGCCAGCCCTGGGCTGCAACCCACCTACCCCCACCCCGAGGCCCCCAGAATCATCGGCCGATTTGGAAGTGTCTGGAGGGAAGGGATTCCTAACCGACTAGGTGGCACGCCCGGAGAACACTCAGCTCGGTCCACAGCCCATGTTCCTGTGTTCCCCAGGGCCGCCTTCACCCCGCGGGGCCGTGACGGTTTGCGGGGAGGTTTCCCGTGCGCCCGCCCCCAGCCCGGACCCGCAGGGTGAGGCTTTGTCCTCTGGCTCAGCCCCTTCAGGGTGCCCCGAGGACAAGTGCGTCAGAGAGCCTCTCGGCAAGGATCTCTCTGCGGCGCCGGGAGTGCCCGGGGGCGGGGCGGAAGGCTCTGGGGGAAAGCCACCCCTAAAAAGAGAAAGAGGGGCGCGCGGGAGGTGATGGGGGAAGGAGCTGGCATGTCTGCAGTGGGCAGAAGGGAGGCGTCCCCGCCCGCCTTGGAGGAAGTGCTCTTCCGCATTGCATCCTCCCACCTTCCTGATTCCTTTATCCCTCCCGTCCCACGGGGAGTGGGGATCCCGGGCTTTGTAAAACCTCATCTGACTGCGAGAGCCCCTTTTACACATGGATTGACCATCAGGGTGGAAAAGCGTGGAAGAGGATGAACCTTTATTTACTGGTGGGGGTATCCAGTAATGGATCTGGAATGATGTTCTTTTTTGGAGGGAGGGAGCACCTGGTGTTACTGCTGGCTCTGCACTCAAGGATTACTCCCGGCGGGCTAGAAGGGCCATATGGGGTTTTGAGATCAACCCTGCCCGGCAGCATTCGAGGTAAACGCCCTACCTGCTGTGCTACCGCTCAGGACCCCTGGAAAGACATTCTTGGTTTTGGTTTGGGGGCCATATCGGGCTGTGCTCAGGGCTACTCCTGGCTCTGAGCTTAGGGATCACTCCTGGCAGTGCTCTGGGGACTATATGGGTTTCAGGGATTTGAACCCAAGTCAGCTGCTTGCAAGGCAAGCTTCCTACCCCCTATATAATTGGTCCCTGAAAAGACATTCTTGGAGGGTCTGTGGTGGATATTTGCTCCTAAGATGTGGTGGTGGCTTTGAGAGGGAGTAGGAGAACTTTGATTAGAATACAGGATTCCAGACGGATACTTTTCTGGATTTTGGCCTCTCAGATGTGTAACTTTCTAAGTTGCTTTCCTTTCCCAGGAGGAAATAGTGTCTGAGACAGGCTACTTAAGGAAGGGGAAGGGAAATTTTAGGGGACCGTGGACTGACCTATGGATCAGGCCAGGCCACAGCATGGTCCCCTGGTTCCTTTTTATTGACCCAAATATGAGCTGGAAGGATTCAATTCTGACCCCTCCAGACTCAGCACTCCGTGATGAGGTGAGGCAGAGATGAGTACTGACCCGGTTCTAGCACTGCTGTTCATCCTCCCCACTGGCCATGTGTCACTCCTTTCACAGGGAGTGACCTCTTTCTATTCACTCTTTATGATGCTGCTTTCCATGGGCTCAGCTGCAACTCTGCCGAAGGCTGCTGGCTATTATGCTTTCTTTTCTTTTCATTTTTGGGCCACACTGGTGATACTTCTGGCTTATTCCTGGCTCTGCACTCAGGGATCACTCCTGGCAGGCACAGTGCAGGGGCATCTGGGGTGCTGAGGATTGAGTTCATGTCAGCCACATGTAAGGCAAACACCCTACCTGTTGTATCTGGCCTCCATCATACTTTCTTTCCTCACTGCGTAATTCTACTTATTAGAGCAGTGAAACTCTTGGACTCTCATTAGTTTCTGTGCAGCTAGGATAAGCCTAAGGAGGCTTCTGAAGAGGATTAATAGAGGGCAAAGTGGCAGGCTGGTTGGTTAATAGAGTGGAAAGGGTGGGTTTGAATGTGGCTTCAGCCACTCAGTGGGTGGCTGTAACAGTACCTCTCCAGGGTCCTGAAAAACTCCAGTGGCTGCTTGTGGTGGTGCTGTGTAAACTGAAGAGGTATACGGGGCCCATTCGGTGTTTGGGTTTGTCATCATCGTCCTCTTAAATAAAGGGCCACGGCTTTACTCCTACCACCACAGGATATGGTTGAGTTTAGTGCTGGGATTTCAGGAAACTATCCCCCGACCCCACCCAGGCCTCAAGGAAAGACTTCTCCTTTGGAGAGAGAACATGGTACCAGGGCCAGGGTAAGAGTAATTTAATGGAAACAACCACAGGTTATTAGAAAATAAGGGCTGGAGCGATAGCACAGCGGTAGGGCGTTCGCCTTACACGCGGCCAACATGGCCGACCCGAGTTCGATTCCTCCGCCCCTCTCGGAGAGCCCGGCAAGCTACCGAGAGTGTTCGATATGCCAGACACAGTAACAACAAAAGTCTCCAATGGAGACGTTACTGGGCCCGCTCGAGCAAATCGACGATCAACGGGAGGGCCTTTACCTTTACCTTACTTGGTGGTGGTGGAGGGGAGGCACAGTTTCAATCTCATTTAACCCTCATTTCCATTTCAATCAGGGCTACTTAACTAGCAGAATGTATAGGTTAGGGTTTCACTTTATTTTCTCGGTCCATCCTCCAGCAGAAGCAATATTCCAAAAGCATCATTTACATGGAGGAGGAGAGTGAACATTTGAATAAGCGCTTGCTTTGGCAGCACACATACTCCAAAGGGCTTGAATGTGGATGAAAGAGGGTGGGTTCTGGAAACACCTCCAGTGGGCTGCATTTTGCAAGGTCCACAAGCTTCTCTGAGACACTCCACTGAAGGACATTCTCGTCTCCTTGTTGGCATCCCACCCCAGCCCAGATGTTGGCTTTCATCGTTTCAGCATCAAGCGGCATTACAAGGGAGGGATCTTGGCTGAGCCTCAAACCACAATTCCTTCCAGCTGGCTGGGTTTCCTGAGGGAGAGCCGGCCCTTTGCAGAGTCCCTGTCTTCTTCCTCTGATGTGGGACTCAGGCGCCGCAGACACTTTGGCTGATGGTGCCTGGGTTCTCCCTGTAGCCCCAGCCCTGTGGCCTCCCCCACAGTCTTTGGCAGTGCTCACCACCCTCCCAGCTTTCGAGGCTTTGTCTTTTGCTCTGCCCTCTTAAGCAATTTCTTAGCTGTTGGGCCTGGCAGTGGCAGAGAGGCTTTTGGAAAATGTCTCTTTCTGAGACATCTAGTCTTATGCCAGGGTTCTTAACCATGGGACTTTGCACATGCCACTTTTGTTTCCTGGGCCTTAATTTTTTCCTCTATAACTTTGCAGTAAATCCATTCACTTAAGTGGTCTCTAAACATGGCTGATCATTAAAAGTACCTGGGAGGGACTGGAGGGGTACTGTAGTGGGTAGGGTGTTCACCTTGCCTGTGGCTGACCCAGATTCAGTCCCTGGCATCCCATATAGTCCATCAAGCCCTGCCAGGAGTAATTCCTGAACACAGTCAGCAGTAAGCATTGACTGAGCACAGACGTGTAGCTCCGAACCAAAAAAAAAAAAAAAAAGAGAGACAAAGTTACCAGGGAGTTTAAATTTATATTTTCATGCCTTACCCCAACCCACTGAATTGGGGTTTCAGAGCACTTGATGGGAAAGGCTGGGGTGCTGGGGCTATATAGCTCAGTGACAGAACTTGCTTGCCTTGCATGTGTGAGGTCCTCCCATGATCCCCAGAACCACAAAGTAAGAATTAAATAAAACCCTTCAGCCAAGGGTCCAGGGTGTAGCTCTTGTACAAGTCATGCAGGTGTGAGATCCTGAAGAAACAGGGCATTGCTGAGTGGAAAACACTGATATCAGATGTTACTATGTGACAATGTATAGAACATTCTCAGTGTGTAGTAGCGGTTCCCAAACTTGCCTGAGCTCTTGGCTCTTTTAGAAAACTGAGGGACTGCAGTGATAGAGCAGGTAGGGCACTTGACTTTCACACAGCTGACCCAGGTTCAATTCCTGGCACCCTGACCCTGCCACGAGTAATCCTTGAGCGCCTGAGTTGCGATTATGGAAGGGCAACCCTAGAAGCCTCTAAAAATTGATCTATTGGGTCTGGGAGATGGGCTGGCAGGTTCTTGCTTTGCACATGGCTGACCTGAGTTCAACCCCTGGCACCACACACATTTTTTTGAGCACCATCAAGAATGACTCTTGGGTACAGAGCCAGGAGGAAGCCCTGAGCACAGCCGGGTATAGCCCCCCACCCCAGACAAATTGACATTGGTTTATAATCCTTAGGAGAGTTTTTGGTGTTTTGTGTTTCAGGGCTGGGGAAGGAACCCAGGGCCTCACACGTGCAGGGCAAATGCTCTGAGCTGTCTCCAGCCTCTATGGAATTCATGGAGTTAGAGAGAAAGTGAGGAGAGGGAAGAGAAAGATGGAGTTAACCCTGGGAAGGTATGTAGCTGACGTCATTAGCTGTGTAATATCATTGTATTGGTTGTGTTCATGTACTCTAGTTATGTAAGGTATCATCATTGTGGAGTTGAGTGAATGGTACCTGGGAACTTTCTGTATTATTTTTGCAACTTGTAAGTCTTTTACTTCAAGGCAAGAAAAAGCTCTTTGAAGAAATATAAATAGGCAGATGTTCTTTGTAGATACATTCTGACACATTTATAGTCTCAGTGTCATGATTTATATAACGTACTCTCAGATGGTTTGTGCCCTCAGACAGAGAGGAGAGAAAGCAAATGTAGAAGTTAATGGTGACAGGGACCAGAGTGATAGTACAGACAGCGGGAAGGGCTCTTGCCTTGCATGAGCCTACTGGGGTTTGATCCCTGACACCACCAGGTACCACCAGGTTTAATTCCTGAGTGCTG